AATCTTTGGGAAATTTTCAGCGCTGTGTGGTCAGGAATTGAAAATTTTATTTATTCCCATACCTTCTTGGGGTAATTAAAATAATTAGACAGAAGACTAGGAATTGTCAGGAATTGAATAATTCCAATACTTTTTAATGAAATTCCTGAAATTTTGGATTGGAATATAATTAATTAATTATTCAATTTTTTTACATTATTTTTATTAAATACATCATATAATTAATTTAATTACATAGAAATTAGTACATTATATACATATTATAATTATATACATACATTAATTTCAAATTATTAGAAAAACAAAAAATTTATTGCAATAACAAACCAGATTTTGTTAGCTTAGATACTCGAAGAAAAAATTCTCAAGAAAAAAAAAACTTCCAAGTTTATCCCTAGCAAAATTTTAAGCCTAATTTGTACCTTACTTTGAACCGAGAATTCTCTTCTTTCTGAGAAATACAATTTTTTATAAAGGATTCTATAATAGAAAAATGGACCTAAAGAGCCTACAATCTGCCTAAATAAATTATGTAGCTTTCTTTCATTTTCTCCTATCTTAGGTTGATTCTAATAAGTGTAAGGTTAAATTCTCAGTATCTAAAAGGTAAAAAGGCTGTTTTTTGAACAATGAAATTGAAATGAAAAATTCACAATATTGCGTATTTAAGTAAATACTATTTCCAATTTCGTATCTTAATATAACCAGAGCCCTCCTGTTGTGAAAGCCACAGAAAAAACCTAATCTCAAATTGAGTACAAAATTTATACTCAATTTGTTATGTATCAAAAATGAGACAGGCATATGGCGCCACGTTCTATGTCATTTAACATGAACTCATTTTGAAATGCAACAAATATGAGTCCAACTTTTTTCTGTGAGGTTGATGGAGTTTTATATTTTATTGCACCTATACATGCTTTAAGGTCCATTGAGGTCTAAATAGATATTAGTAAGAACGAATTAAGTGTCAAGTAGGATGAAATAGGGTCAAAAAAAGTTTATTTGCCTGACATTAAAAAATTCAAGTAGTCTCATAAGGTTCATTTTAGGATTAAAATTTAACAATCAAAGCGATGTTAAAGTCATGTTAAGAGAAAGAAATAAATACCAAAAGGTTTAAGTTAGGATTCAATTAGGTTTATGAGGTTGGAAGAATGTTAAAAATTTCAGCTTGGGATTTTTCAAACCACAAGGCAAAATCTTTCAGCAAAGACTCATCGTCAATGTTATTTTCTGCTTCATTTGTAATTGTACACTTTCCTTTGATGCATGTTTCATCAGTTGAACACTTTACATTACCGCAATTCTGAAATACACAGAAATAAGTGTTACGATTAAAACTCGCAACAGTTTTTTTTCCCTCTGCTCTTTTTTAAATATTATTTCTAAATTAACTGAATAATATAATTTACATTTACGACACAAATAACAAAAACATCCCCAATGAAAATCCCGATGTAAAACAATAAAAACTAAATTATTAAATCTTATTACCGTTGATGTTGATGAATCACTCGTAATTGGTGCCTCTGTATTCGAATTTAAATTCTCTTCATATTCTGCTGGATTATTCCGAATGCATTTCGTAAAATCTTTACTGAAGAAGAAGATAATTTATTAAATATACAATATATAGGTAAGGTTCAAAAAAATATTCAAAAATCTAATGGTGATAAAAATTCTCAGAAAATTTAAAAATATGCAATTATTTTTTCGGGAGAAATGAATATTTCCTTCATTAGACTTGCAGCAATTTTTGTGGTGTTAAATTAAAAATTATCGAATTTATATTAAGTAATGTAAAAATGTAATTATCGAAAAATTTCAATTTAACTTATTTAACTATGTAATGAAAATTGGGATAAGTGAAACTTTGTTTAAATAAAGTATCGATGAAATAAAAATTGACTGTCTTAAAAATTTAGCTATGTAGAATTTCTGTTAAATGAAAATTCTATTAAATAAAAATTAGATTGTATAGAAATTTTTTGAATAATACTTTTGTTAAATGAAAATTTTTCCGATATAAAAATTGGGCTTATTATACAATCTACTTTTTAAAATTCTACTAAATATAAATTCAATAATTTTTAATTCGACTCCACAAAAATTTCGGCAAATCTAATGAAGAGAATATTCATGCATCACATTTTTTTTCTGTATTTCCAGCACTAACAATAAAAAATTACAAAGAAGAAAGAATAAACTAAAGTTTTACTAAATCTTATAATTTAAACAATTAGTGTTTATGAAAACTGGAATTTATAAACTCGAGATATTAATATACTTAATGATATACTTGATAACATACTTAATGATCTTCACTGTATGGGGTCAGTTGAGGTAAATTGGGACGAAATCGATATTTTTCACAAATTACGTAAGTTTCTTCCTTTAAAATGTAATATTTGCCCCGAAAATATTTGTCCCCATTTACCCCAAAATTTAGAAAAATTCATAAAATTCGGGGTAAATGGGGACAGCATAGTTTCTAAGAAAGTTTTAAGAAAAAAGTTTCCTTAAGTATATTACTGTATTAAGAGATGAAAAAACTTGAAAAAAATCTGTAGTAGATATATAATAGTTAAACCAATTGAATTTTTTTTTTTTCATTTCAGTATTTTTTCTCGCATTTCAAAGAAAACAGACTTAAAAATCATACTGAATTTTTTTCTTATTCCTTATGACTTCCATAACAGAAATTCACTTGAATTTTTGATTTTTGTTAATTTGGTTAATAATGACAAGCTGTCCCCATTTACCCCAAAAATTTGAAAACTCAGGATAAATAGGGACAGTTTGTCATTATTAACCAAATTGCCAAAAATCAAAAATTCAAGTGAATTTCTTTTATAGGAGTCATAAGAAATAAGAAAAAAAATTTGGTATGATTTTTAAGTCTGTTTTCTTTGAAATGCTCGACAAAATACTCAAACAGTTTGACTTTGATTTTCAAGTTTTTCTGCATTGAGCGATAACTTTTTTTATCTTGCTGCCAATTGTCAAGATAAAAGCTTGGCAATACTCAAAACCTCTTGCAGTTGATCTGAGGTTAAAATATTGACGTTGAACTTAATTTTAAAACTGTAAATTAAGCTCCAAAACCTCTTGTCCCCATTTACCCCAACTGACCCTACAAGTGTAAATATTTTAAATTTTATACGTACCTTAAAACTGATTGGAAAGTTTTTTTCGTACATGAGGAAAATAAAAGTTTGTTTTTAGTATAACGATTATAACTCATGAGGTAACCGTCTGAACTAGAACAATTCACTTTCTTACCCAACTCATCATGTGAACCAAAGCTATTGGAAAAAATATACATAAATTATGCTTTTAGTCTAATACATTAAATTTTACAAATTAATAAAAAATATTCAACCCTGTATATCGATAAAATAAAAGTAAAATAATATAGTTTGTGATTCTTACACATGACCTAATTCGTGAGCAGCAAGAGTAAACGCGTGGTAATCATACCAATCTTCAAATACAGAGGAACTTAAGTATTTCTGTTCAGTAGTAGCACTTTTGCATACTTCACCAACATACGTTAAACCTTTAACAAAGCATTGTTGTAGTTTACATTTCAATTTACATGTAATGCAAAACCGAAATATGTGATTTAAACTTACCAGAATAATCTTTATGAGTTTCCTTATCCCTAAAATCTCTTTTAGTCATTAACATACCTATATCATAATCTATCCTTGGTTTAAAGAATTTTTCCTTACTTAATAAAGTAGCAAATCCGTGTAAACAGTCTTGGATGTTCATTTGTCCTTCGGGCAAATTCCTGATTGATTCATTAATAAATGGTAGTGGTTCCTTTAGTACAAAAATGATTTCAATTAATTGTTGAAAAAATTTTCAGTACATTACTGAATCAAATATTCTCTATTTAAAGCAATTAAATGGTATTGATATAATCAATGATTTCGATATTTAAAACATATACCATTTAATTGAGAGAAATATTAATAATATTTTATGAAAATAAATATTCATAATATTCGTGCAATTGATTTAAATAAATATTATTTCTCAATGTATTAAACTTACTTTAAGTATTACTATTTTTCTAATATAGAGGCGAATTTGTGGAGTTTCAAATTGTCTGAATAGTGAATCAACTTTATTCCAGAAAGTCAACATATATTGTACCGCTTTCATCACGTTTTTGTTAAATTTTTTACTATAATTAAAAAAAATTATTAAACATTGCCTAGAATTAAAGTGAAATAAAGTAATTTATATTTAATAAAAATAGTAATATTTTAAAGCAAGAACAAAATAAATAGAATAAAGTTATGGTAACTTACTTAAAAAGTGAATCATCAACGAAAACCATAATTTCCGGATAAACTATTTTTGGAGTCACTCCAACTTCTCTTCGGGACACACTTTTAATTTTCAAAATTTCATCATCGACATGCTTATGTGCATGAAATTCTAAACAAATTAGACGTAAATTATCAATATTAATATGAATAATAATAAAAATGATTATTGTCGAATATTACATTTTTAGTTCAAATTTTTTTAAGACTTTTAATCAAAATTTATAGTTTCAAATAAGAATAGTTGTGCTATCGAGTAATGTTAAAAAATGGAGATTTTACTTTTACCTGACTTGGAGGATTAAAACTTATTATTTACTATTACTTTAATTCTTTACATCTAAATACACCAAATTTTAATTTATTTTTTTATATGTAAAGAAAATACTTACGTGAAGCATTATTAAATTTTTGTTTATAAATTATATGTTCATCAGTATTTATGAAACCTTCGGCATCACTTTCAAAGGTTGCAGAATTTTTTTTCAACAAATCTCGACGTTTACGAAGATGATTGGGCAATGGTTTAATCACATAATTGTTGTCGATTATTCCATGCTGTTAAAAATTAAAATATTTAGAATTTAAAAAATTTGAATGCATTTAATATGAAAAAAAATGTATCGCACAATATAAAATAAATAAGTATATACTTACAAATTCAGATATTCCACGTTTATTCCGAAACTGTGTTACAGATGAACCAGTTTTTTTATCTTGATAAAAAGTATAGTTCAGGTTTTGCAAAACCTACAATCATAATAGTTATTTTCATACCACATTTTATACATTTTTTAAAGCAATTTGTTGGTTATTTTAAATCTATATAGTTTTCAAATTGACTTACCCGTCTATATAGAAAAAATGAAAAATCAAAATTGAATAATATCTTTTTGCCGCATATTTAAGAATATTTTGCATATATTCTATTATTAAATTATTAAATACTTAAGTTCGAATACAATAGTCTTAAAATAATGAAGACTTCTTATATTAGAAACTATATTTTAATTTGTAAACTATTTCTGAATTTACGAATTAGTTTTGAAAATTATTTTTAAATTTAAGAAAATTCTTTCCTATTTTAAGAGTTATATTTATTCTTAAATTAAGAATAAATTAAATAAGAAACATTTTTAAATGTACGCCAAGAAGCTATTTCTAAATTTAGAATTGCGTTTCTTTCTGTGAACAGACCCTATGGGCAAAAAACTATGTTCGTTCTAAAAATGTACAAGGAACATCACATAAAGCAATAATTAAAAAAAAAATTTTTTTTAATTCTTAATTTTAATGACATTTTCAGTAAAGAAAAGCAATTGTATGGGTATAATTACCTCGGTTAACGGTACACAAGAAATATTTATATTTTTAAGTTGCATTTTTTTAAAACAGTAAAATATCTTTACATTTAAGAATATATAACCCTATTGCAAATCCCCACATGGGAAACCACATGGGAAACCACATGGGATCCTATGTCAAAAACTATGTAAAACCCCATTCCCCGTATGGGAAACCATATGGTTTCCCATATAAAAACTCATGGGAAATTGGGACAGGAATTGGCATAGGAAAATATCAAAACGAGGTTCCTCCATTTCATTTCCTATGTCAAATCCCATGTCAAATATCATGTTAAATACCATGTTAAATACTAATTGAGATCCTTTATCACTTTTTTGACAAATTTTCCCATGTCAAACCCCATGTCATTTTCCAAGTAAAAACCTTTATCATTTTTTTGAAAAATTTTTCCATGTCATTTCCCATATCATTTCCCATGTGAAATCCTTTATCATTTTTTTGAAAAATTTTCCCATGTCAAATCCTCTTTCGCCTTATGGAAAATACCCACATGGGAAAGCATATGGGAATCCACATGGGAAATGGAATACGATTTCATGTGCATTCTTCCAAAGGATAAAACAAATAGATTTAAGCATAGAAAATCATATAAGATTTCATATAGATTCTGAAATTTCAACCTAAGATTTCACATGGATTTACATATAGGAAACGATATAGGATTTTATTCGGGAATTTTTTAGTTGGCTGCTTTATGCAGGCGGCAGTTTACAAAAAAAATTAATTATTTGATTAAATATCAAATAATAATACTTCAACTCATCTGAAAAAAAAAATGTTTACTTTACTTCTGCCTTAGACTCTCAGCTTTTATAGTATTCCAGACTGATCTCAACTGTGAGAGAAAATATTTTCACCATCTGGTGGTGAAACAATGAAACTATAATGACGATCAACATCTATATTGAAATTTCCTATGTCATTTCCCATGTGAAATCCTCTTTCATTTATTCGAAAAATTTTCCCATGTCATTTCCCATGTGAAATCTTATCATTTTTTCGAAAAATTTTCCCATGTCGTTTCCCATGTGAAATCCTTCATCATTTTTTTGACAAATTTTCCAATGACAAATCCTCTTTCGCCCTATCGAAAATACCCACATGGGAAAGCATATGGGAATCCACAGAGGAAATGGAATACGATAAAGGATTTCACATGGCAAATGACATGGGAAAATTTTTCGAATAAATGAAAGAGGATTTCACATGGGAAATGACATAGGAAATTTCAATATAGATGTTGATCGTCATTATAGTTTCATTGTTTCACCACCAGATGGTGAAAATATTTTCTCTCACAGTTGAGATCAGTCTGGAATACTATAAAAGCTGAGAGTCTAAGGCAGAAGAAAAGTAAACTTTTTTTTATTTTCAGATGAGTTGAAGTATTATTATTTGATATTTAATCAAATAATTAATTTTTTTGTAATCTGCCGCCTGCATAAAGCAGCCAACTAAAAAATTCCCGAATAAAATCCTATATCGTTTCCTATATGTAAATCCATGTGAAATCTTAGGTTGAAATTTCAAAATCTATATGAAATCTTATATGATTTTCTATGCTTAAATCTATTTGTTTTATCATTTGGAAGAATGCACATGAAATCGTATTCCATTTCCCATGTGGATTCCCATATGCTTTCCCATGTGGGTATTTACCATAAGGCGAAAGAGGATTTGACATGGGAAAATTTTTCAAAAAAATGATAAAGGATTTCACATGGGAAATGATATGGGAAATGACATGGGAAAATTTTTCAAAAAAATGATAAAGGTTTTTACTTGGGAAATGACATGGGGTGTGACATGGGAAAATTTTTCAAAAAAGTGATAAAGGATCTCAATTAGTATTTAACATGATATTTGACATGGGATTTGACATAGGAAATGACATGGAGGAACCTCGTTTTGATATTTTCCTATGCCAATTCCTGTCCCAATTTCCCATGAGTTTTTATATGGGAAACCATATGGTTTCCCATACGGGGAATGGGGTTTTACATAGTTTTTGACATAGGATCCCATGTGGTTTCCCATGTGGTTTCCCATGTGGGGATTTTCAATAGGGAAGATTGTAAACAGAGAGTTTAACATATATCTTCATACTGTTAATACATACATTTTGTATTTCTTCATAATCAACGGAACTACGATCAACATTATTAGTGGCAGTATAAACTTTAGTTTCTTTGCCAGCAAGTAAACTATCAGTAGGATTTAAATTATAATCATTGGTCTTTCCATCTCTTTTAATTCGAATTGTTAATTTGTCGTCGGATATTTTATGACCAATTGGAACCACCTCATAGTCAGATTCTAGAAGATAAAATTTAAATTTTAATCTTAATTTAATACACCAAAAAAATGGTCTCGAAAATATATTGCTAGATAGTTGTATTTATAAATTTAATAATTTTTCAAATTAATTTCTATTTATGCTCATTTTTTACTGAGTTTCGCAGTGCAAAAGTTTTATTGTATTGAAAAATTAAAATTTATTATTCAGTCTTAAATAATTACCATCATTGAATAAAAATCTATTGTCAGCATAATGCGATTGAGTGAATGGCACAAAAAAAGTGCAAAATAAAATTGTGAAGTAATACATCTGTAAATATAAAATATTAAAAGTTAATTAAACTCAATATTGAGAAAAAAATATATATATACTTTAGAATTAACCTTCTCTAAAAGTAGTGTAGAGATTAACTAATGAAAATTTTGGATGTAATTACATTTTAGATGGTGTCTGTATATATATTCAAAAAATCACTGATATTCTCCCTTGTTGATAAAAAATTATGATTACGTAAATTCAATTCACTTGAATCAATATTGATATTTCAGTAGTTTTAATTTAACTTTGAAATAGAGTGAAACTATTCCTTTGTAAAGCATTTGTATTACGTACATAAAAGTAAAGATTATCGTTTATACATGCTATTGACAGTAAGATGTACGTAATAAAAAATATAGTAAATTATTAAATATTCATATCTTTATTAACGTATTGGAATACTACAATAGATTTTCACACGTCAGTATCATATTATATTATACAGAAATATATTTACATTCGTTGTTAGTGCGTCTGTACGTAACTGACGTTGTCTACTTCAAATATTTAATTAAATAATACCCTGTAAAAAAAGTTGGATAGCGAGAATCGGGGAAAAACGTATTGAAGCTCGGTATGTTAAATCCGTTATTTGAATTTTAACATATTGGAGTGTTAGGTCGAATCCGTTGTGTGTTGTTAGTCCAATACACGGAGAAAATCTGAAAGCAATGAGTATTTTTTCCCATAGCACTGGCTACTGTGTAAACCAAAAAATTAAATTTCAAAACTTCGAATGTTCTCCACACAGCACTGAATGCTCTGCAGAAAATAATCACAACTTTTTTTTTTATTTGAATTTTTAAATATCAGAATTTTTATTTGTTCGAATTTTCATTTGTCCAAAATTACAAATAAACGAAAAAATAATTGACAGTAAGATTTTCTGTACAATTTTTAAAATTTATTAAATCACGATTTTCTTTGATAATAATTTTTGATTGGTCAATTTTTTTTTAAATTCCCGCCAAAATCTTAAAGTCGATTGTTTGTTCGATCATTTGCAATTTTGGACAAATAAAGATTCGTCGTTGAAATTAAAAATTCTAATTAATGATTTTTATATGGAATAATCATGCAATAACTTTCAAAAAATCTGGCAGCCCCCTGCGGGGGCGGCCACGTTCTCATCACGCGCTTCGCGCGTAGGGGCTCGCTTCGCTCGCTAGTTTGAGCGCGCCCCGTGGCGCGCGAAGGATAATCGTCCCGCTTCGCGTTCCGATATTATTACGCGCTTCGCGCGTTTTGTTTGTTTATTACAATTCAAAACCTATTAGCATTAATTCCTTTTTAACTACACTCTGTAATACAAAAATTTTCCTATTAAATTTAAAAATTGTATTAATTGTACTACCAGAAAGTAGTTGAATGACCCAAGAATCTATTTGGTAGAATGAGATTTTGTAGTTGTTTCAGACTTTGTAGTTGATTTAATTAATTTTGAAGTAAAATGTCAAGAAGAAAGAAATTATTTTTATTAATTTTATTAAAAAGAATAAAATTAATTACACACAGAGTTAAAATAAGTAAAAAAGTAGTTATTTTAAAAGTGGATGTTCATATAATCGACTTGTTTTGAAAAATTTATTAGAAACAACTCATAGTCTTTATTAAAATGCGTTAAATTAAATTATAGAAATAGGTAAGGTTTAAAGGTATTAGAATAAATTTTTTATCGGGCACTGAAGAATGACGGCACTGTAGCTGTTCAAACTTAGTTCCTTAATATTGCGCCGTGGATTGGCCAGGTCTTTGTAATTAACGAAAATCGACAAACCAAATTATTTACTAAAATAAGATATTCCGCTTTGAGCTAATTTCAATTGAGTAAAAGAAAAAATTAATTGAAGTGCGATTCCAGGTGAGATTTTGACTTTTTCGAAGTAGGTTAACCGATTGCAATGAAACTTTGTTATATATAGTAAGACTAATCTTTAACGTAAATTTCAGCTTAAAATATTTGTTAGTTTACGAGATTTGCAATAATAACAAAAAATGCGAGTTTAACTTATTTAATTTTAATAATTTACGTGTATAAACAATTGCGATTTCTGCTAGTTGACGTGCAGACGACATTGCGCACGCAGCATTCTCCTATAACTAGCTGACGTGATTCGTGGACTAAATTGGCTACGTGAGAATGCTGCGTGCGCAATGTCGTTAATGTTCCTTTGGAATATTAAAGAAAACACAGGTAAGATCATTTTAGCGTTTGAGTGATTGAATTTTAGATTGACGCGTGAAATTTATTCAATTATTATTTAATAATTTTTTTAGTTGTAAAATTATAAAAAATTGTTCTGAAAGAGATTTATTCCTCTCATTTTCCTTGACATTTTAAAAAAAGTAGACCTTAATCCGATTATTAGAACGGAAGATATAGCACTTTAAAATTTTTTGTTATTATTGCAAATCTCGTAAACTAACAAATATTTTAAGCTGCAATTTACGTTCAAGATTAGTCTTACTATATATAACAAAATTCCAAAGTTTCATTGCAATCGGTTAACCTACTCCGAAAAAGTCAAAATCTCACCTGGAATCGCACTGAAAATTTAAAAACACTAAAAAAAAGAACTTTAAAGTAAATGCATTTTTTAAAGCAACAAATTTATTATATGAGGATTCGCTCTCATGTTTTTATTCATAAAAATTTTTTAGTACAATTTATATAAGTGAAATTTTTGGTTTTTATAAATTAAATTTCATTTTCTTAAAGTACTTTGACTTTAAGGATAACATTCTCATCACGGCACTCGCGTTTCACGCTCGAAAATTAGAAACATACAATAGGAAAAGGAGGCATCCATTAAATTAACGAAATTTTTACAGGTAATTTGAGGCTCTATCAAATAGTGTACTAAAAGAACCGAAAATTTTTAAATAAACAATTTACAAGCATTAAAAAAAAGATTTTTTTAGAATTTTTGTTCAGTTTTTATAATTTTTCAAATCTTATTCCTTCAGAATACCTTTAAATGCTAAAAATATGGTGTCAAAAATGTTCCAATACGCCATTTTGAATTTTTAAAAACTGACTTCAGAATCGTAATGAGCGACCTACACACCAAGGAGTAGAAAGATTTATTTAAATTTGTTAAAAAGATTGTTGAAAAATGAATTTTCTCTTAAAAAATAGCAATGTTGATACTTAGTTAATTCATAATTCTTTATAATTTCGCCTGCTACACTTATTATTTTTGTTTCACTTCACAATGCTTTCGTTATAGTGGAAAAAATGTTTTAGGAATACTGCTTCAAAAACTTTAAATCTAGAGATGAAAGTTGCTAAAAGAAAAGGTGGCAAAATAGGTTAAAACTGGGACGCAAAAAATTAATGAGTAAAATAACACATCGAAAATAATTTAAAATTTTTGTTACCTTAATCGTTATAGAATATAACTTTTTTAACTTTTTTGTTTAAATCTGTATAGAAAAGTGTTAAAGAAAAAAAAGTTTACAAATCTACAAATAAATAAATTTTAACTAATTCAAAAGTAAATAATCGAAAAAATACGAAATTGTGGTATAAATAGCGCAATATAAAGTATTTCAAAATAAAGGATTTTTTGAAAACAATTGAAATGTTTGGAAATAGAAAACAATAGTTGGACTTATAACAAAAAAAAAATCGGAAATTTATGAGTAAGTCACTGTTATTTGTGTTAATTTAAGGTGGTTTAAACAGAAATAATACATAGATGAACATAGTTTTTCAAAATAAAGTAATTTTTAAAACCTATTTTTTCGGCATCAGAAAGGCTTGAAAAGTGGAGATTTATATGAATTAGAAGTTGGTCAAAATCGGGCAAATGTAATACTTTCTCATTATGATGAGAATGTAAAAATAAATTTTTAATTAAAAATTTAAAATTTAAAAAAAAATAGAAAATGGCGGACTCAATATGGCTACCCAATATGACGGAAAAATTTGAAATTGATATGCTTCGTTCAAAATTCGGTGCTAGTGAACTTGTAGGGTCGGTAAATCAAAATTTGAGGATCGATTTAACAAATTCAAAATTTGGATTCATAGACACCAAAAATCTCCGTGTACCGAATTTTAAACTAATCGAATCAATGTTAAATTATTCCGTTATGATGAGACAGCCATTTTGAAATTTTTAAATCTAACCCCAAATTCGAATTCAAGAACCTCGAAAACAACAGTGTACTCATTGATACTTAAATAGAAAAAGATTTACTATTTTCTTCAAATGTGTACAAATACGTCCAAAATCACAAAAACGGAACGTCTTTTTATTGGGATATATATGAGCCATGGACTGTCAAGGGGTTAGATAGAAAAAAAGGGCTAAAAATAAAAGAAGTTCACTAAAATCAAAAGTTAGCAATCAAAAACTTACGATATTCTAGTAAAAACAGTGCAACATGAACTAATCAGAAACATTATGAAAAAAATTGCAATTTTTGGAAATGGATAGCAATGGTTCACTTATATAAAAAAAAAAAAAAAACAAACTAAAAAAAAAAAATTCGGTATTTTATGTGTAAGTTACTTTAATTTATGTTATTTGAAGGTGGTTTAAAGAGAAATAATACATATTTAAACACATTTTTTCAAAATAAAGTGATTTTGCTCTGCATTTTACCCACTTTTTAATCCGTTTTTGTCATTTTTTGTCTTTTTTTAAAAAAGTGCTATAACTTTTTTGTTTTAATCGCTATTAAAAATTGTCAAAGGAAAAAAGTGTTTATTTTTAGTCGTAATTTTCGAAAAAAAATTGAAAAAATTTTTTTTTTGAAAAATGCGAATTTTTGAAATTTTTAAAAACTCAAAATTTGAATAATTTTGTTGATTTTTGACGAAATCATCTGGCTAACGAACTCAGGCGAGATTTTGGTACACTTAAAGTGTATACCAAATTTGAAGTCGATTCATTAAAATTTGTTCAAGTTATCGTCGGACAAAATTTGTCTACAGACATACATACAGACATACATACAGACAAACATTTTTTTAAGACCCATTTTTTCGGCATCAGAAAGTCTCAAAACGTCGAGATTCACTGGAATTAGAGAAGGCTCAAAATCGCCCAAATGTAATACCTTCTCATTATGATGAGAATGTAAAAATAGTAACACGTGTATAATTTTATTTTCTTTATATTCGACAATAAGTTTTCATATATTTTACCAATATCATTCAACTATATATTATTTATCAAAATATTCCAATATTTTAATAAGATAAAATAATTATGAATATTTTTTTTTATTGCGTACGTCATATTATCAATAGATAGTGTAAATAATAATAATATTTTTGGATATATTGAAATATTTATCTAGAATGGATTTACTTGAAAATTTTCCACAAATAAAATTCAACGCTAATTATTAAGTAACATTAGTTTTAATAATTTTCATAAATTTCGAATACTTTCAAATTTAAACAAAACAAAAAAAAATCATTTAATTCTATTTCGATCTGATATCTATATAATTTTTAAATAACATTTTCATTTGAAAAATCACCCAAAATTTTTTATTTTTCAATACAATAAAACTATTGCAAAGAGATATTCACACCCAGAGAAATGATTTATTTGAACCAAATAAAATATATTTGAGTTAAATAAACGTATATTTGTCTCAGAGCCTACTAACTTATTTACTTAACGTAAATAAAAATTTTATTTGTCAGAAACAAATTTTTCTTTGGCTCAAATAAATTTTTTATTTCAATGAAATAAAATATATTTGCAACAAATAAATGAGTTAGTAGGCTCGGAGACAAATATACCATTTCTCTAAATGCAGTAAAAATTAAACAATTATAAATAGAAATTTATTGGAAACAAGTTGTAAATTCAAATATTGATTACCATTTTTAAAAAAATTTTCAATTAAAGTATCGGTAAAATATAAAATCTCTGTCTTAACAATTTAGTTAATTAGAATTTCAGTCAAATGACAATTCTACTAAATAAAAATTAGATTGTATAGAAATAAAGAATAAAATAATATAATTATAAGTAGAAAAAATAAAATAAGTAAATATTTAATTATTATTATCATTTAGAACCTTTAACGAAAATGTAGTTTACATATTTAGTCAACTTTCGCGTAAAACATTTGCTCACATGCGGACATTTTAATATTTAAATAATCTTTTCTGAACCTAGCGATTCACGCTACTTCCAAATTAACCTTTAAACATTCAATGAATCTTTGGGAAATTTTCAGCGCTGTGTGGTCAGGAATTGAAAATTTTATTTATTCCCATACCTTCTTGGGGTAATTAAAATAATTAGACAGAAGACTAGGAATTGTCAGGAATTGAATAATTCCAATACTTTTTAATGAAATTCCTGAAATTTTGGATTGGAATATAATTAATTAATTATTCAATTTTTTTACATTATTTTTATTAAATACATCATATAATTAATTTAATTACATAGAAATTAGTACATTATATACATATTATAATTATATACATACATTAATTTCAAATTATTAGAAAAACAAAAAATTTATTGCAATAACAAACCAGATTTTGTTAGCTTAGATACTCGAAGAAAAAATTCTCAAGAAAAAAAAAACTTCCAAGTTTATCCCTAGCAAAATTTTAAGCCTAATTTATACCTTACTTTGAACCGAGAATTCTCTTCTTTCTGAGAAATACAATTTTTTATAAAGGATTCTATAATAGAAAAATGGACCTAAAGAGCCTACAATCTGCCTAAATAAATTATGTAGCTTTCTTTCATTTTCTCCTATCTAAGGTTGATTCTAGTAAGTGTAGGGTTAAATTCTCAGTATCTAAAAGGTAAAAAGGCTGTTTTTTGAACAATGAAATTGAAATGAAAAATTCACAATATTGCGTATTTAAGTAAATACTATTTCCAATTTCGTATCTTAATATAACCAGAGCCCTCCTGTTGTGAAAGCCACAGAAAAAACCTAATCTCAAATTGAGTACAAAATTTATACTCAATTTGTTATGTATCAAAAATGAGACAGGCATATGGCGCCACGTTCTATGTCATTTAACATGAACTCATTTTGAAATGCAACAAATATGAGTCCAACTTTTTTCTGTGAGGTTGATGGAGTTTTATATTTTATTGCACCTATACATGCTTTAAGGTCCATTGAGGTCTAAATAGATATTAGTAAGAACGAATTAAGTGTCAAGTAGGATGAAATAGGGTCAAAAAAAGTTTATTTGCCTGACATTAAAAAATTCAAGTAGTCTCATAAGGTTCATTTTAGGATTAAAATTTAACAATCAAAGGATGTTAAAGTCATGTTAAGAGAATGAAATAAATACCAAAAGGTTTAAGTTAGGATTCAATTAGGTTTATGAGGTTGGAAGAATGTTAAAAATTTTAGCTTGGGATTTTTCAAACCACAAGGCAAAATCTTTCAGCAAAGACTCATCGTCAATGTTATTTTCTGCTTCATTTGTAATTGTACACTTTCCTTTGATGCATGTTTCATCAGTTGAACACTTTACATTACCGCAATTCTGAAATACACAGAAATAAGTGTTACGATTAAAACTCGCAACAGTTTTTTCCCCTCTGTTCTTTTTTAAATATTATTTCTAAATTAACTGAATAATATAATTTACATTTACGACACAAATAACAAAAACATCCCCAATGAAAATCCCGATGTAAAACAATAAAAACTAAATTATTAAATCTTATTACCGTTGATGTGGATGAATCACTCGTAATTGGTGCCTCTGTATTCGAATTTAAATTCTCTTCATATTCTGCTGGATTATTCCGAATGCATTTCGTATAATCTTTACTGAAGAAGAAGAGGATAATTTATTAAATATACAATATAGTAAGTTAAGGTTCAAAAAAATATTCAAAAAACTAATGGTGATAAAAATGTCAGGAAATTCATAAATATGCAATTACTTTTTCGGGACGAATAAATATTTCCTTCATTATATTTGCCAGAATTTTTGTGGTGTCGAATATTCGGAATCAGAATCATAATTTTGTTTTAAATAGAAAATAATTCCGGCAAATCTAACGAAGGGAATATTCTCAGAATTCTTAGAATTAAACAATTAATATTTATGGAAACTGTAATTTATGAACTCTAGATATTAATATACGTAAATGATCTTCACTGTATAAAAGTGTAAATGTTATAAATTTTACACGTACCTTAAAGTTGATTGAATACTTTCTTTCGTACATGGGGACATTATCCTTGCGTTTTTAGTACCATGATTTGTATTCATAAGGTAGTTGTCTGAATTTAAACAACCCGTTTTATTACTATCATGAGATACTCCAAAGCTAATGAAAAAAGTATATATTAATTATTCTTTTAGACAATCATTAAAATTAATTAATAATAAATATTTAACCCTGTTTGTCAGTAAAATAAAAATAAACATAGTTTGTAATACTTACAGATGAGCTAATTCGTGAGCAGCAGTAACAATCCCTGTAGCACCAATACCTGCACTCCAATTTTCAATTATACCGGTACTATAGTTTATCTGATTATCCTTATTATTTTTGCACACTCCATTAAGAAAGGCCTCACCTTTAACAAAGCATTGTTGTAGTTTACATTTTAATTTACACTTAATGCAAAACCAAAATATGTGATTTAAACTTACCACTTGCATTTACACCAGATCGTCTAAACATTAACATGCCTATATCATAATCTATCTTTGGCCGAAAGAATTGTTGCTTATATAAAAGTTTAGCAAATGAGTATAAACATTTTCTTGTATCTATTAGTCCTTTGGTCATATTTTGGATTCCTTCATTAATGAATGATAGTGGTTCCTTTATTACAAAAATGATTTCAATTAAAAGTTGAAAAATTTTTGATTACATTACTCAATTAAATATTTTCTATTTCAAGAAATTAATTTGTATACTGAAAATCAATGATTTTGGTATTTAAAACAAACTCTATTTAAATGAGAGAAATATTAAATATATTTTATGAAAATAAATATTCGAGTAGGAAAGAGCGGGGCTAGTTGAGCATACGGGTAAGTTGGGCAATCGAAATATCTCTGAAACTATGAATTTGCCACTAAATATGAAATAAATTTTTTTGATCTGAAGAAACAAATAATAAGTGATTGAACTACTCTAACTCTTAAATGTTATTTATTAGAAGTAAATTACTGTAGAGATTTTTCAAAAGGAATCCATCAGTATTCATAGCAAGCAATTTGAACTTTTCGTTGAGGAGCTATGACCGGACAAGTGAAAAAATGCTCAACAAGCCCTCTCCTTACTCTAATTGATTTAAATAAATTATAATTTTTCAATGTATTCAACATACTTTAAGAAATACTATTTTTCTCATGTAGAAGCGAATTTTTGGATGTTCCATTTGTCTATATAATAAATCAACGTCATTCCAGAAACTCAAAATATATTGTAACGCATTCATCACATCATAATTGTATTTTCTGCAATTAATAATAAAAATTGTTAATTATTGCCTTAAATTAAAGTGAAATAAATTAAATTATATTTAATAAAATAGCAATTTTTATAAGCAGGAACAAAGTAAATCAAATAAATTTATTGTAACTTACTTGAAAATTACATCATCAACATAAAGCAAAATTTCTGGATACACAATGTCTGGAGTCACTTTAACTTCTCTTCGGGACACACTTTTAATTTTCAAAATTTCATCATCGACATGCTTATGTGCATGAAATTCTAAACAAATTAGACGTAAATTATCAATATTAATATGAATAATAATAAAAATTATTATCACTGAATATTAGATTTTTAGTTCAATTTTTTTTTTTCATATAGACTTTTAATCAAAAAAAGAATTACTATAATACTATGTTGCTATACAATGAGAAAAATCTGCTATTAAATCAACAGCATTTCTGCCAAAGGTATAAAAATTATTGATTCAAAAGCATATGCTATAGAATTTGTAAAATGTTTTACAGATTCTACAGCATATGCTTTGGAATCAATAATTTTTATACCTTTGGCAGAAATGCTGTTGATTTAATAGCAGATTTTTCTCAGTGTATTATTCTTTATATTATCTTCTCCCAAATTTACGCTTAAAGTTAATTCATGTGAATTTTTTATACAGTACTGTTAACTTTATTAATTTTAATTTTTCTATCAAATTTATAATTTCGGATAAGGATAGCTGTGCTATCGAGTAATGTTAAAAAGTGAAGATTTTACTTTTACCTGACTTGGAGGATTAAAAATTATTATTTACTATTACTTTCATTCTTTACACCTAAACACACACAATTTTAATTTATTTTTTTATATGTAAAGAAAATACTTACGTGAAGCATTATTAAATGTTTGTTTATAAATTATATGTTCATCAGTATTTATAAAACCTTCGGCATCACTTTCAAAGGTTGCAGAATTTTTTTTCAACAAACCTCGACGTTTACGAAGATGATTGGGCAATGGTTTAATCACATAATTGTTGTCGATTATTCCATGCTGTTAAAAATTAAAATATTTAGAATTTAAAAAATTTGAATGCATTTAATATGAAAAAAAATGTATCGCACAATATAAAATAAATAAGTATATACTTACAAATTCAGATATTCCACGTTTATTCTTAAAGTGTGTAACAGATGAACCAGTTTCTTCACCTTGATAAAATTTATGGTCGATTTTTTGCAAAACCTATAATCATAATAATTTTATACATTTTTTAAAGAAAATTCTTGTTGTTTTATATATATATATATATATATATATATATATATATATAGTTTTTAAATTGCCTTAACCGTCAATATAGAAAAAACGAAACTCAAAATTGAAGAATATCTTTTTGCCGCATATTTAAGAATATTTTGCATGTATTTTATTTTTAATGTTCGTAATATCAGAAAAACTTCTGGAATTAAGAACTATTTCTTACTTTGAGGACTAATTCTTAATTCAAGAATTATTATTAAATTTAAGAATTCTATCTGATTTTAAGCGTTCGTTTATTCTCACATAAAAAATAAAATGCTTGTGAAACATTTTTAAATGTACGCAAAGAAAATGTTCGTAAATTTAGAATTACGCTTTTTTCTATGAACTTGGGTAATTATAACCAAAATATGGGAACTCTTCAGAAGGAAGTTTGTTTACAAGGAATTTCACATAATAGTTAAAAAAAAAAAATTTTTTTTAATACTGAATTTTAAAGAAGTTTTTAGTAAAGAAAAACAATTTTGTGGGTATAATTATACCTAGATTAACGGTACACAAGAAATATTTATATTATTAATGTGCATTTTTTAGAATTAGTATTTCTTTACATTTATGAATTTATAACATTGTAAATAGAGAATTTATCGTATATCTTTGTTAATACATACATTTTGTACTTCTTCATAATCAATGGAACTATTTTTAACATTATTAGTAGCAGTATAAACTTTCGATTCTCTGCCTAAAAATAAACTATCTTTTGGATTTAAATGATAATCATTGGTTTTCCCATCTCTTTTAATTCGAATTGTTAATTTGTCGTCGGATATTTTATGACTAATTGGCACCACCTCATAGTCAGGTACTAGAAAAGAGAATTTTAATTTTGAATTTAATTTAATACACCAAAAAATAGTTTTGATTAAAAAATTAAATTATTCTTCTAATACTTACCATCGTCGATGTAGAACGATTGAGTAAAGGGCACAAAAAGAGTGCAAAATAAAATTGCCAAGTAATACATCTGTAAATATAAAATTTTAAAAAATTAATTAAATGCAATATTGAGAAAAAAATATTCACACAGCATCAGATATTTTAGAATCTCCTAATTGGTTATATCTGTTATGGAAATTAAAATTCTATTCGTTTCCCAAGGATATCATGTTGCTAGTACATAGGGTTTTAATGTGCAGTTTATAAAAATTTTTCAAAAAGAATTTATTTCTAAGATTTTTTAAGGGATGTTAATATTAGATGTTTTAAAAAATACTATTATTTATCAAATAATAATGATAATAATAATGATTTTTAAAAAATGATAAATAATTTGTCAAAATTAAAGAAAATAATTAAAACATTTCTTACCCTACTCCAAAAGTAGTGTAGAGATTAACTGATGAAAAATTTGGATGTAATTACATTTTAGATGTTGTCTGTATATATACTCAAAAAATCACTGATATTCTCCCTTGTTGATAAAAAATTATGATTACGTAAATTCAATTCACTTGAATCAATATTGATATTTCAATAGTTTTAATTCTTCGTTGAAATAGAGTGAAACTATACCTTGTAAACCATTTGTATTATGTACATGTGTTTGCGCCACTTTGAAAATTTTTATAAACGAAAGGACTACCCCTAATAACACAAGATATCTTGGGATATATTGATAATATCCCGCAGATATCCTAAGGATGTCCTATGGATATCAAAAGGATCTCTTGAGGATATCCAAAAAATCGGCGGTTTGGATATTCTTTGTATATCCCATGGATATCTGAGGATATCCACAGGATATCTTCTGGATATCTCTATAGACTTTCATAAATGTCCTTCAGATATCCCATAGATATCGTCAGGATATCCCACAGATATTTTCAGAATATTCTCATTATATCTTCTGGATGTCAAGAAGATATTCTCAGGATAATGTTTTTAAAGTCATTATGAGACTACGAGTGAGAATATTCTGTGAATTAAATTTTATATAAATAAAATTATTTATTAACTAATTTTTTTCTCATTCGTGATTCATTCCTTTATTCATATGCTTAATATTGTCAGAAAATAAATTGGCTTTAAACAATATAAATTCTTCCCCGCAAATAAGGAATAACTATTAATATTAATTATACATTAAGTGCATGAGTTTATTTAAGAACTTTGAAAAATGCGTTTCAAATCTTCATTTAAAATAAATTAGAAACTCATAAGATTTTTGTTTTTATTATATTATTATTCATTATATTAGCTTAACAATTTTAATCTTTAAAAATATATATTGAGATATTAAATATACCGTGAATTTCCTAAGAATATCCCACGGATATCCTGAGAATATCCCATGGATATCCTGAGGATATCTCATGGATATCCTGCGATATAATATCCAATAGATATTTTGTGGATGTCTTAGGAATATCCTGTAGATATCCTATGGATGTCTTGTTGATGTCCCACAGACCGGCGGTTTGGATATCCTATGGATATCCCAAGATATCCTGGGGACCATTCTAGGATATCGACCATTAATATGGATATCCTAGGGATATCCTTTTGTTATGAGTGACAAAGCTTCTTCCACGAGGAAGCAAAATAAAGTAAATTATTAAATATTCATATCTTTATTAACGTATTGGAATACTAGAATAGATTTTCACACGTCAGTATTATATATTATACAAAAATATATTTACATTATTTGTGAGTGCGTCTTTAATTGACGTTGGTATACGTCAATGTTTTATTTAATAATATATGGGCAATTCCACGTGAAATTTTCGTTGAAAAATATTTTTTTCGATATCTGTATGAAAATTAAGAAAAGAGGATATATTTTTTTATTTGATAAAAATGATGGTTTATGATTTTTTAAAATTTAACGTCATAAAAAGCAATGTATTTTTAAAACATTCTATAATCTATTGTAGTAATGTATAAAAAATTATGCTGTATCTATGTATTATTGAAGATTAAAAAAATAAGTAGTAGGTGGTCCTTTATGTTCATTTCAGGAACATTTTGCTTCCTCGCGGAGGAAACAATAAATTTTTTTCAGTCATTTAATGGATTTAAATCATTAAAATTGATTTCAAGTACAAAATTTTTTAGCTAAAATGTGAATTGTTGATTTTTTAACTTCCGATAATTCTTTAAATTTAAATAAAATCTATACTTTATTTATACTAATCGATTCGTCTTGACGTAAGGAAGACAATTTTATTATATATCACTTTAAATTTTTCTATTTAAAAATTTTATCAATTAAAAAAAATTTTTTTGTAAGAAAGACGATAAAATTTTTTTTGGGCTTATTTTTAAAAATCATCTCGTCATTTTTCAGAGATTAATGTGACAAATAAGCCTACCAAATTTTACCCAAATCCATTAAAACCTGATTGCAGTACAAAAAAAAAAATTAAAAATCGAAAGTGTCTCTCTTTGAGAAAATTCACATTTTTAAAGGGACTTTCTGGTTTAGAATTGGCTAAAAAAAACACGTTTTAAAACTTTTATTGAGAGAAAAGTATTAACTCTTTGCGGTATGAAGGCACGCTGAGCGTCCTATTTTTTTTTTGTTTTTTAATTATTTTAGTAAAAAATAAACAATAAATGTCGAAATTTTATATGTTTCCATGCCTAATATTTAGCATAATAATACATAAGTAAAAAACAATTTTTTTAGTTGAAAATTAATAAAAACAAATTTGTTTAACTTTCACAAAACAACAAAATTAATACTTTTTAAAATAAAAATGCAGTTTCTGTTAACCTCACAAAAAAATAAAAGGCATTAAAATAAGCGTTGCAGCTTATTTTAATGCCTTTTAATTTTCTGTGTTTTAATGAAAATTAAGTCATAAATTTTTTTTTACAATCAGAAACGTCTAAAGTTATTTTTAGAATTTTTTGCACATATTTCGCTGATAATGAAATTGGTGTCAGATTTAAAAAATTTTAAATGGCGGACAATTTTTTTAAAAGTGATTAAATCCGCTCGAAAATGGCTACTCGGGGGTTTTTGGGGTCGCTGATGACGAATCCGGTGTTAGTTTTTAAAAATTCAAAATGGTGGATCCAATATGGCGGACTACTTTTAGAAAATGAATTTATGAATATCAAATTCGAATACAATCACCCTAGCGGATTGTATAATGCGAATGCTCCACGAAATTGGCGGAGCATTTGTGTAACAAGAGGTTGAGATTGAAATTTTGTCTCAAATTTATAAAAAAAGATGAAATATTTAGTTAAATGATTAAAACAATAAGATTTTTGTTTTTTATGATGATTATTGATAAATAATTATAAAAATTTAATGTTTTTATTAATTTCAATGTATTACAGTTTATTATGAACATATGTCCATAAAATCAATATAGCCGCGGTTAATAGAAGGTAGGTGGCAGCACTCTTTTTTTCCTTTCCTTTAATTTTTTCAGCAGTTTTTTTATCAAAAGCAAATCCGTTATTCGTTTAACTAAAAAATAGGTAAAAAAATGTATTATTTTATCATAAAATTAATATCCTAATCAAACGTATTGATTTAAAAAAAATATTAATAATTTTCACCAATATTTTTAATAAAAACATTGATTTTTTTCAGCCACGTTTAAAAAAAATCATTTTATTAACAATATTTTAGACAGAAAAAAAAAATTTTTTAAAGAATAATTTTTTACAAAACTTTTTTTTAAAATATAGATTCTTTATTTAGGGGATACGACAACATATATTGAATTTAAAAAAATGTAATTTTGTATCCATTTTTCATATTTGAAACCACAAATAAAAATCTTTATCAACAGAGAGGTGGGGATTAAGTTTAAATTATTATTAACAAAAAATCTATATTGCCGAGCGATTATTTCGCAAATTCAAAAAATCCCAAAACTTATATTGACCTAGCTCAGCATCCGCTGGACCTATCAAAAAGTGCGCCATACATTTTTTGTTCAGAACTTTCTTCTAATTACTTTGGCGCTATTGCGGAGCGATTATCTCGAAAATTTAATTTTTCGAAAAATTGTCATAAATTTATTTGAGCGTAGAACAGCATCCGCTGGACCAATCTAAAAGTGCGCCATACATTTTTTGTTCGAAACTTTTTCCGTATTTTTTTGGTGGTATTCCGGAGTAATTATCTCAAAAATTTAATTTATCGAAAATTTTTCCAAATTTGTTTTCTAGTGTACCTCAGCATCCGCTGGACCAAACAAAAAGTGTGCCATACATTTTTTGTTCGCTACTTTTTGCTAAAGACTTTGGCGTTATTCCCGAACGATTATCTCGAAAGTTTAATTTTTCGAAAAATTTTCATAAATTTATTTGAGCGTAGCACAGCATCCGCAGGACCAATCAAAAAGTGTGCCATACATTTTTTGTTCAGAACTTTCTTCTAATTACTTTGGCGGTATTGCGGAGCAATTATCTCGAAAATTTAATTTTTCGAAAATTTTTCATAAATTTATTTGAGCGTAGCACAGCATCCGCTGGACCAATCTAAAAGTGCGCCATACATTTTTTGTTCGAAACTTTTTCCGTATTTTTTTGGTGGTATTCCGGAGTGATTATCTCAAAAATTTAATTTATCGAAAATTTTTCCAAATTTGTTTTCTAGTGTACCTCAGCATCCGCTGGACCAATCAAAAAGTGTGCCATACATTTTTTGTTCGCTACTTTTTGCTAAAGACTTTGGCGTTATTCCCGAACGATTATCTCGAAAGTTTAATTTTTCGAAAATTTTTCATAAATTTATTTGAGCGTAGCACAGCATCCGCTGGACCAATCTAAAAGTGCGCCATACATTTTTTGTTCGCTACTTTTTGCCAAAGACTTTGGCGGTATTCCCGAACGATTATCTCGAAAATTTAATTTTTCGAAAATTTTTCGTAAATTTATTTGAGCGTAGCACAGCATCCGCTGGACCAATCTAAAAGTGCGCCATAAATTTTTCGTTCAGAACTTTCTTCTAATTACTTTGGCGTTATTCCAGAACGATTATCTCGAAAATTTAATTTTTCGAAAATTTTTCATAAATTTATTTGAGCGTAGCACAGCATCCGCTGGACCAATCAAAAAGTGTGCCATACATTTTTTGTTCAGAACTTTCTTCTAATTACTTTGGCGGTATTCCGGAGCAATTATCTGGAAAATTTAATTTTTCAAAAATTTTTCATAAATTTATTTAAGCGTAGCACAGCATCCGCTGGACCAATCTAAAAGTGCGCCATACATTTTTTGTTCGAAACTTTTTCCGTATTTTTTTGGTGGTATTCTGGAGTGATTATCTCAAAAATTTAATTTATCGAAAATTTTTCCAAATTTGTTTTCTAGTGTACCTCAGCATCCGCTTGACCAATCTAAAAGTGCGCCATACATTTTTTGTTCGCTACTTTTTGCTAAAGACTTTGGCGTTATTCCCGAACGGTTATCTCGAAAATTTAATTTTTCGAAAATTTTTCATAAATTTATTTGAGCGTAGCTCAGCATCCGCTGGACCAATCAAATAGTGCCCCATACATTTTTTGTTCGAGATTTTTTGCTCAATTTTTTGGCAGTAATCCCGAGACATTACCTCGAAAATTTAATTTTTCGGAATTTTTTCATAAATTTATTTGAGCGTAGCACAGCATCCGCTGGACCAATCTAAAAGTGCGCCATACATTTTTTGTTCGCTACTATTTGCTAAAGATTTTGGCGGTATTCCCGAACGATTATCTCGAAAATTTAATTTTTCAAAATTTTTCATAAATTATATTAAATGTAGCTCAGCATCCGCTGGACCAATCTAAAAGTGCGCCATACATTTTTTGATCCAATCTTTTTGACTATTTTATTTATGGTATTCCTGAGGGATTATCTCGCAAATTTAATTTTTCGACAATTTCTCCAAAATGTTTTTGAGTGTAGCTTAACATTCGCTGGACCAATTAAAAAGTGCGCCATTCCTTTTTCGTTCAGAATTTTCTTCTAATTACGTTGGCGGTATTCCGGAGCAATTATCTCAAAAATTTAATTTTTCGAAAATTTTTCTAAAATGTTTTTGAATGTTGCTCAGCATCCTCTGGACCAATCAAGAAGTGCGCCATACATTATTTGTTCGATACTTTATTTTAAGAAATTTAATTGTATTCCCGAGCGATTACTGGAATTATTTAAGGAAAGGAAAGAAAAGTGCCTTCCATCTAACTTCTAAAAAACGCGGCTGTAATGATTTTATAGACAAATGTTCAGAATGAACTGTAATACATTGAAATTAATAAAAACATTAAATTTTTATAATTATTTAACAATAATTATCATAAAAAACATAAATCTTATTGTTTTTATCATTTAACTATATAGTTCAACATTTTTTTATGTTTGAGTCAAAATTTCTATCTTAACTTCGTGTTTCACGAATGCTCTGCTAATTTCGTGGAGCATTCGCATCATGCAATCTGCCAGGGCATCGACCTTGAAAACCCCTGAATAACGAGTTTTAAGCAAAACTGTCAAATTTAAAAAAATATATCCGCCATATTTGTTTCGCAATTTTCAATTTTGAAAAAGTAACATCAGATTTATAATCAGCAATCCCAAAAACCCCCTAGTAACGATTTTTATGCGATACGAAATGATTTTTTTAAAATTTCTTTTGCCGTATTGGATCGGCCATTTTGAATTTTGAAAAACTGACTTTAGATTCGTAATCAGCGACCCAGAAAACCCGCGAGTAAGAAGTTTTAACCGAATTGCATTTGATTTTCAAAAAGTCGTCTGCCATTTTGGATCTTCTATTTTGAATTTTTTAAATCTGACACCGAATTCGTTATCAGCGACCTTAAAAATGTAAAAATGATATATGGTATTGCGATTAATTATTCGTACCTTAAAGGGTTTTAAGAAATTGCAAAAATTCTTGTTGGACATTGTTGATCTAAAGTAATTATTTAACCAGGTAAAATTCTTAATCCTTGTTTGTTATTTACATATTCTGCTGGATTATTCTGAACGCACTTTGCAAAATTTTGACTGAAGGCTTAAGCACAACTGCTTCGCGAACGAATCGAACATAACCTTATTTAATGTATTTTTCCATTAATTGAGGTTATGTTCGATTCGTTCGGGAACGGCGTTCGCGAACCTATTGTGCGTTGGCCTTGAAGAAAAATATAATTTATTATATAGGTAAGGTTCAATACAATGTTTAAAAATGTAATGGTGATGAAAATATCAAAAAATTCAAAAATATTCCATTTTTTCACATCTTCAGCACCAGCAATTAAAAAGAATGCCAAAGAAAAAAGAGATAATAGCAAATCTAAAGTCTTACTCTTAGAATTAAACAATTAATATTTCTTTCCCCACTGTATTCAAGTGTGAATGTTTAAAATTTAGTATTATAAAACAGTTCGAATAACATTTTTCGAACATGGGGAAAATAAAATTCTGTGATGCCTGCAATAATATATACTGAATTTAAGTATAAATATTCTTAAATAGGCGCTAAGAATATATTTTTAACTTCAGTTAATAATAATTTAAAATTATTGTTGTCTGAATATAAAACTATTGAGAAAACAATAAATTTCAACATAGGGTGATTTTTATGTTTCAGACCCCCTAAAAATTTTTTAATTCCCCTTTTTTATTTCTTTAAAAAACAAAAAAATGAGATTAAAAAAAAATTTTTTAGGGGGTCCAAAACATAAAGTCACCCTCTATACAAAAAATTAAATTTATTTAACCTATATTAACTAATCCGGTGACGTATCGTATGAAAATTCAAATCTTTTCAAGAAAATGCTCTTCTATAATATCAGAATTAATTAAATTTAAAAAGATGGGAGAAATTAATGACACTTGATAACTTAAGTTTGTTTAAAACGAAATTATTTATTTAATTATTGCATAGAAGAAGTACAATTTAAAAGTAAGAGTTGAAACAATACATAAAATATTCATGCACATTTGTTTACATTATCAAGTTTAGTTTTACTAAATTACCGACGTTTAAAAACTGGAATACTGATTTAATGTATTTTACTGAAAATTAAAAGGAATAGTTTGGATTATATTAAAATTGTCCGTGATTTGGTGGAATGTAAGAGTTCTCAGGTTGGCTGGCTTCTGGAGCGAGATAAGTATTATCAACTTGTCTGGATTCCTGTTCAGGTGCGAGATAAGTGTTTTCAACGTTTCTTGATTCCTGATGTTCGTGATGAGCTTCGGGTGCCAAGTAAGCGTTGCTGACTTGTCTCGTCTCTTGTGCTGCCTCTTGAGGTGCCAAGTAAAGATTGCTTGCTGAAGCTTGTGGCTTGGGGTAGTCATAGCCAGACTCTACATTTTCTGATGCCGCTGTTTCCGGTTGAGGATACTGATAGCCTGATGCTACTTCTTCAGAAGCTGCTGGCTGATGATAATGATAGTGATCCTCATCACGATGTCCAGGAAGACGACCCGCAGCAGCCGCAGCCAAAATGGCACCAAAGATAATGATCTGCATTAAAAAAAAATGATTTTATTATTATTTCTAAACATTCCGAAATTTGTTTCCAAAGTCAATCAGTTTCTATTTGCATCTAAATTTTTATTTAACTCAACAAATTATTCTTTCGAATATCAATCCATTTTTAAGACAAACGGATTCGAAATAAATTAATAATTTTCTTTAAATATTGATAACAAAATTTATTGTTATTAAAATATTTAACAAATTCCCTAATAGCAACAGACATTTCAGAATATCCTATGGACGTCCTATCCGTATTCGGAAATTTGAATATCTCTAGGATTTCCTCAGAATATCTATGGGAGACATCCTATGCATATTCTACTTTCCGGTTATCCCTAGGACATCCATAGGATATCTTAATAATCCGGGTTTTTAAATTTAACTACGTTAGAATAGAACAGCGAAGTCTTTGTTACTTTGTCGATACACGTACCGTTTTCATGGTGAAAGGTAAGATTCAAATCTTGTCAGCTTTACGAAAAGAAGTGAAGGAACTGATGTTTGACTTTCCAGATTTTTGAGTTTATATACTCATGAAATCTGAATAAGATTATTTCTGTGTAGAAGGGGCTCAAAGTACCTTGACTTTTGATTATTCAGTCTTCAAAAACGATGGAGAAATTTTAACTTAATTTGTATCGCGAGTATTAAAAAATAGGAACTATTACATATGCAAATTTTAATTTACGTACATATTTATAATATTATTTCTATACAATTTTTAAATAAGTTATAACTTTATTATGCTTTTTTTTTTATTTTAAGACCAAAATGCTTTACATTTGTAATATTATTCAGTATTTGTGAACTCATTAGTTTTACAAAATTTTAGTATTTAAAATATAATTTTGTGCATCTAAAATTTGTAGTTAAGTTCAAATAATGTATATATTAATGAATTTGAATGAATATAAATAAAAAATTTGAATACATGTTTCGATTTTATAATACTTGTAATACATATATATATGAAGTAAAGAAAAATAATAATCAAAAATTAATGTACTTTATCCCCTTCCTCGCAGAATGAATCTTATTCAGATTTCATATGAGTATATAAACTCAAAAATTTGGAAAGTCAAACATCAGTTCCTTCACTTCTTTTCGTAAAGCTGACAAAATTAAAATCTTACCTTTCACCATGAAAACGGTACGTATATCAACAAAGTGAACAAAGACTTCACTGTTATTTTCTAACGCAGTTAAATTAAAGAAATTAAATATTTTAATAACAATAAATTTTGTTATCAATATTTAAAGAAAATTATTAGTTTATTTCGAATCCGTTTGTCTGAAAAATGGATTGATTCGCTCTCTAAATCTGAATTAGTAAAAATGTTTACTATAAATTAAATTAATGACTCACTTTTTGCTTTAGAATTAGTTAAATTTTACTAATTGTTAGTAAAAGTTACTAATAATTAGTAAAATTTTACTAATTGAGAAGCAAAAAGTGAGTCACTAATTCAAATCAGATTTAGAGAGCGAAAGAATAATTTGTTGAGTTAAATAAAAATTTAGATGCAGATAGAAACTAATTGGCTTTGGGAACAGATTTCGGAATGTTTAGAAATAATAATAAAATCATTTTTTTAATGCAGATCATTATCTTTGGTGCCATTTTGGCTGCGGCTGCTGCGGGTCGTCTTCCTGGACATCGTGATGAGGATCACTATCATTATCATCAGCCAGCAGCTTCTGAAGAAGTAGCATCAGGCTATCAGTATCCTCAACCGGAAACAGCGGCATCAGAAAATGTAGAGTCTGGCTATGACTACCCCAAGCCACAAGCTTCAGCAAGCAATCTTTACTTGGCACCTCAAGAGGCACCACAAGAGACGAGACAAGTCAGCAATGCTTACTTGGCACCCGAAGCTCATCATGAACATCAGGAATCAAGAAACGTTGAAAACACTTACCTCGCACCTGAACAGGAATCCAGACAAGTTGATAATACTTATCTCGCTCCAGAAGCCAGCCAACCTGAGAACTCTTACATTCCACCAAATCACGGACAATTTTAATATAATCCAAACTATTCCTTTTAATTTTCAGTAAAATACATTAAATCATTATTTCTTTTCACAAATGTCCGTTCTTCAGTAAATGTAAACTTGATAATATAAACAAATGTTCATAAATATCTTTTATATTTTTTAAAAATTATAAGTATCTAATTGTTACTATGATGGAATAAATAATATAAATAAATCTTGAAATGAAATAACAAGAAATTGGAGATTTTACATTTTATATTCCCAACCAATCATTATTTTATCTAATGATTAATTCAGTAAAACAATGTAAGGAACATTTCTCTTCGAGACATGTTTTGTTTTATATTTTTTATTTTTGTTTTTAAGAATTTGGTGAATTAATTATAGGGTAAGAAAAATATTTGAACATCGCGAAAAGTAACCTTTTTGTGTTGTTGATTACAAATCTAATAATAAATTTGTAATTAACTAATTATCCCACTAAGAAGTGAGGATTTCAAAAGAATTGAAAAATTTTAATTTTCCATTAAAAAGGATAAATTATCAATTTTTTTTTTTATTCTGTTTGTGTCCAATTCCTATGTATTCTTTGTTGAGACTAAGATTGCTTGAAATTCAATTTCTATCAATTCTGTTTTAATATTTCGCTATTTTTTAAATTCTTTTGAATTTCAAATTCTGAATAAGTAATTCGCCCCTACAGCACCGAAACTTTCCTGAAAATTTAATAAATATTTATTTGCAATATTTGGAATATTTAATTGCAAAGTTTAGTGAAAATTGTGTAAAGATTTAAATGTCCCGATTAAATAAATGTTCAGGAAAGTTTCGTGCTAAATATTTATTCGCAAGTGGGACAATTAAATCTTTACATAACTTTTAATAAACATTGCAATTAAATATTCCAAATATTGGAAGTAAATATTTACTAAAAATTTTCAGGAAAGTTTCAGTGCTGTGGGGGCGGACTAAATATTTCAGTTATACCTGAAACTCAATTCCTATAAATTCCGTTTTTATATTTTGCTAACTTTTTAATTCTTTTGAATTCCGTAATACTCTGAAATAAATGCGTTTAAAATCAAATATCAGTTGACGCACAGCTGAGCAGAACAATTGTTTGGCTTCGACATTGAAAATCAAAATTTCAAATCTTCGGACCATCAAATTTTTTTCTGCACAAAATTTTAAAACAGAATTGAGAAGAATTCAATTGGCATTATTTTCGAGAACCTAAAATGGATAGAAAAGAATTGGACAGAAACGGAATTCAGAAGAATTAAAATTTTTCAATTCTTTTCAATTCCTCGCTTTTTACTGGGTAGTGACCCTGAAAATACCTAAGTAACGTATTTCACGAGATCAATTAAATTCTTTTTTTTTTGATATTTTGGATCTGCTATATTGAATTTTGAAAAACTGATATCGGATTTGTAATCGCACCAACCCCGAATATCCCATAGTAACAAGTTTCAAAGGATTTAGAATGTTTTTTTTTCAATGTCCGACAAATTGGATTTGATATTTTGAATTAATTAAAGACGCACTTATAAGTACATAAATATTATGTATAAATACAGATAAGTTAATGATAACGTCCTTAATTCAATTGTATTACGTTTCAATAATGTATAAAAATATGACTCGCATGATTAAACCCCAAATTTCATTTGACATAAAATCATTTAACGTAAAATTAATTTGATATAAATCTTTATATGACATAAATTTCATTTGACATAATTTTCATTTGATATTAAATTCATTTGACATAAATGTCATTTAACATAAAACTTAATTGAAATAAACTTCATTTGACATAATACTCACTTATTTACATAATTTTAAATTAACATAATTATACATTGACATAAAATTTATTCGACATAATAGTTACTTGTCATAAATTTCATTTAACTTAATTCTTATTTGACATAAAATTCATATAACATAAATTTCATTTGATATAAATTTTATTTGATATAAAATTCATTTGTCATAAAAGTATTGCTTCGTCTGTCCTTTTCCCATACACAGAAGCTAATATGTACGACAAGGATAGCCAATGCCATTTTTTATAACAAATGAGTTTTATGTCAAATGAATTTTATATCAAGTTTCATGTCAAATGAAATTTATATCAAATGAATTTTCCCTCACAGAACTGAAATTTTCCTAAAGATTTCCTAAAGATTTATTTGAAATGTTCGAAATATTTAATTGAAAATTTTAGTGAAAATTGTGTAAAGATTTAAATGTCCCGATTAAATAAATGTTGAGGAAAGTTTCGTGTAAATTCATTTACACATTTCTGTAGAAGGATTTCCTTTTTTATTGCGTATTTAAATCAGTTTTTAATAAAAATTAAATTAATAAAATTTACTTTATTGCAACCTGATTGAAAAACAAAAGAAAGTAGTGAGTCAATAATATTATGCATAACTTAACAAATTTAAAAACATTGCTTTTTACAAATCGAAAATGCCTCGCAGATGCGCAAAAAAATCTTTTAATAAAAAAGATATTGTTAAAAAGAAACGATATGAAGGTGAAATGTTTTTATGAATTTCATTCTTCACATTTTTATCCATCTGTTCAATTTTGATCAAAAATATTATTTTCTTAGGTTTTATTTTAATATTTTATTTTAATTTTATTTTAATAATATTTTAATTAATAAAATTAATAATAATAATAATATATTTTCAATTTTAAACAATTTTAAAATCATTTTGTTATTAATTTTTAAATATTTTTATGATTATACTAAGTGAACAATTGAATTTAAAGATGAAAGTAATGCTCAATTCCAAAGCAAGCAATTAATTCGTAATTTTCTTGAAAACAAACAATTTTTTAAAGGAATTTTTTTTTGTATTCATTTTGTCGATTCCATAGAATGAAACTAATTTTACAGCTTTTCTTTAAACTGTATATTTTTTTATAATTAATGCTTAAAGAAAATGTGCGCAGTTGATATAACCTCAAGGCACCACAGTATTTTTAATTTTATCGTTAATATGTAGGTTTATTTCAACAAATTGTTGTTTATTTATTAAAACATACTAATATATCGAAACGGTTTTCTCAGTTTTTTTTTAAATGACCTGCAAAATTTTTAAAAATGTTTTTTTTACTTCCTGTAAAAACAGTGAATTGGCACTTGACCCCTTTTGTCATTCTACCCTTCAATTATCTTTCATATGCGAAAAGAATTGCTTATTATATTCTCATCACATGAGAAGGTATATTATTTTAGTTTGAATAGATTAATAATTTTAATTAACATTATATAATACAAGAGTTTAAAAATAATTTATTTCTAAGTTTTTTTTTATTTAATGGTGTTCTGCAATGGCTAGCAGTGGTTGTCTTTCAAAAATTGACACCTCGTAGGTGCATTTAATTATTTTAAAAAATTTATTTCTTGAATGATTGAATTCGTTGAAAAGAAAGTTGTATGTCAAAAACTGTTAAAATACTGTTGAGTTGTGTGTACTTATCTATTTTAGTAATAAAATACACTAAGATACTACATCTTGTAAAAAAAAAAATGATATTGACCATTTTTAAACAGGGTGATATAACTCCAAAATTGTACACAGGGATGTGTTACTAAATTATAAAGTGTGGAACGTCTCAAATGTTACATATTGTCGTTGATAAATTTTACAAATGTCAAAAACAAAAATGCAAACAAATGGTAAATATTTTTTTATTTACGACATAGTAAGATACACTTTAGTGTTGAATTTATGAAAAGTTAGGAAGGATGATTTTAATTATCCCTTCCTTTAATTATTATTTTAATTATTAGAATTGTCCGTGGTTTGGTGGGATGTAAGAGTTCTCAGGTTGACTGGCTTCTGGAGCGAGATAAGTATTATCAACTTGTCTGGATTCCTGTTTAGGTGCGAGGTAAGTGTTTTCAACGTTTCTTGATTCCTGATGTTCATGATGAGCTTCAGGTGCCAAGTAAGCGTTGCTGACTTGTTTCGTTTCTTTTGGTTCCTCTTGAGGTGCCAAGTAAAGATTGCTTGCAGGAGCTTGTGGCTTGGGGTAGTCATAGCCAGACTGTACATTTTCTGAGGCTGTCGTTTCGGGTTTAGGATACTGATAGCCTGATGCTACTTCTTCAGAAGCTGCTGGTTGATGATGGTGATAATGATCCTCATCACGATGTCCAGGAAGACGACCGGCAGCAGCCACAGCCAAAATGGCACCAATGATAATTATCTGCAGAGGAAAAGTAATTTTAATTTTATTCTGTGGTTCGATATCTGCTTTAGGGCCAACGCACAATAGCTTCGCGAAAAGAATTGGTTGGTTTCCATATTGTCCCCACTCGCCATTTGTCATAATTCTCTACAACTACCGCACCCTGCTCTAGTGAAAATTTAGTGACTTTAGTGTTAATATTATAAAAGTTACCAGAAAGTTACTAAGTTTTCACTAGAGCAGGGTGCGATAGTTGACGACAATTATGCTCACAAATGGAAACCAACCGAACGCCTTTCCCAAAGCTGTTCTTTTTTTGCTTATTTGTATACATCACCAAACTTTAACCAAGAAATATAGAAAATTAAATAATTATTAATTAACAACAAAATTTTCGAGCAAAATAATTTATTTTGATAATTGTACAACTGAATCTTTTAAAATTTGATAAAATTAATTTTATTTCTAGTTGTAATTGTTGTTAAAAACAATTTTTTAGTTTAACGTTATGTTATAATGGACTAAGCACCCTTAAATTATTAACAAAAATCGCAATTTTTATCTAATTTATATAAACAATTGCTTATTTTATTCAGTAAAACATTCTCTACAATTGTAAATAATTTTTTTAGTTATTAAAAATGTTGTTAAAAAATTATTTAATAAATAAAATTTTTATTTTGTTTTTTAATTTTTTGTAATATATATTTTTTTATAATTAAAAAAGTGGTACGATTGTAGAGAATCTTACTGCCTGTGAAACTTCAGATAAAACACACAAAACAAAAACATTTTTTTTTTTAAATTTAAATTTTATAAACATTTTTATATTATTAAACTTTTGAAAAAAATTGCTTTTCAAAATGAAATTTTTAAATAAAGTACAAAAATACTATCAAAATAATTTGTTTTATTATTATACGTACAATTTTCATGGTGAAAGGAAAGACTTTGAAAATTTGATAACGTGTATTAAGATCTGAAGGCAACACGAAACTGACTAATAAGCTTTCCCAGATTTGGGAGTTTATATACTCATCATTGAAATAGAATGTAAATTAGATTATAAAATTTTATTCCCTTGAAGAAGGTACTCGGAAGGACCTTGATCTTTAATTATTAAAAAAAATTCAAATGCTTGAAAAGTTTATAACTTGATTTGTATATATCGCGAGTAATTTAGTTTTATTACTTATGAAATATGTTACAAAATGAAGACATTTATCTATGCAAATTTTAATTTATATATACATGTTATTCGGTTCCTACAACCCAGGAAATAAGAACCTATTTAATATTTTTAAATCGATAGGAAGCTGTATTGAATCTGCATTCTTAAACGGAAATCTTCGATTGACTCCGATGCAAATCATTTACATTTTTCAAGTTTTTCTTCCTCATTACCTGTAAATTGAGAGACAGTGATATGTATCTTTTCAATTTTAAAAGCATTGAGCAAATCTAACACTCCAGCGTATAATATTTATTTACAAAGCTCGTTTATTAAAAATTATTAAATTTTGTGCGAAATATGACATAACATAACCTAAAATTTTTCGATTCGATTCAAAATTCTCTAAACAGAATAAAATTTTTCGTTATAACGATGTTTCGTAATGGGAAGCAGTGGTTGTCTTTTAAAAATGAGGTACATTTAATTTGAAAAATATTATTCCCACAATTCGGACAGAAATGTCAAAATCGGAAAATATACCACACTGTAAAAAATCTTTTTGGAGATTGTACATTCACAATTTTTGTATTTGTGTACTATATTCAATAAGGTTATTTTACTACATTAAAAAAAGCACTTTTACCATTTCTCTGTAAATTTACTACTTTCAAAGTGAGTAATAAGTGAAACATAATTAGTTGTTGCATCCGTCACCTATTACCCACTTTGAAAGTAGTAAATTTACAGAAAAAATGGCAAAAGTGCTTTTTTTAATGTAGTAACATAACCTTATTGAATATAGTAATTTTACAAATTTTAACACAAATACAAATTGTGAATGTACAATCTCCAAAAAAAATTCTTTTTTCGCCATTGAGATGAAAAAGTGTCTTTTTTGTGCCTGTTTTGGGCAGATAAAGTAGCACTTTTTAAGGCAGTTTTAATTTTTGCATAATTTTTGTTTTGCTTTTATTTTATTTATCAATTTTTATTATTTTATTTTATATACTATTTCATATATATATATTATATATAAATTCTTTTGAATAAAATAAATTTTTTTTCTTTGAAATTGTTTCACTTTTTCATAACAATGGCGAAAAAAATAGCGTATGTGGCTCGCACGTAGTAATTTTTAGGTTCGGATGATTTCAATACTCGCTGTCTGTGCGACTTCGGTTCGACTTGGCTAGCTTTCGGCTCGCCTTCGTCTCACCTACGTCGCACTAACGAGAGCTCGTACTGAAAATTACATCCTCACCTAAAAAGTACTACTTTACGTGCTTGCCACATAATGTACTAAGAAGCAGGGTTGCATAGTTACGCGTAACTCAAGAGTTTTTTTACGTAAATTACGTGGGTTTTTTTTCCATTTGTAAAATACGTATAATATCCTCCATCATAAAAAATGCATTGTGTTTGAAAAATTTAAGATAATTTACATATGTAATATACGTAAAACACTATGTTATTTACCTAAAGTATATTACATACACAACCCTGTCAGGAAGTAAAATTGGCGAATCAAACCGACAGTGGCGCCGTCCTGGTGCATAGCGGAAGGACTAGATTTAGTGGGAACAAAATGTTAAAAATGCATGGGAAAGCGATAAATTATTTTAATAATTATTTCACTCCATTAGTGAATTAATTATTAAAATAATTTGTCGCTTTTACATGCATTTTAAAAATTTTGTTCCCACTAAATCTAGTTCACTTGCTATACACCAGGACGGCGCCACTGTCGGTTTGATTTGCCAATAGGAAGAGTTTGAGTAGTACTGAAATTTACCGTTTGGGGCAGCATTTGACGGCTACAAAAAAAAATGTCTTATTTTACTTCCTGACTTCGTTTATCGTAAATGAATTTTCAATTTCTTGTGCGTAAATGAAAGTACAACATTTCAGGATAACTGGAATTTTTTTCGATTTTTCCGTTTCTATCAGAGTTGAGAGAAAAATCCTTTTTAAATTAAATGCATCTATGAGGAGCCAATTTTTGAAAGACAACCGATTGAAAACATTAATAATGAATCCGCATTCTTAAAATGTCTGATTTGGGAAGGGGAATCGAATTAAAAAAATTAATAATTATTATAAACATTATTTTTTAGTATTAAACATTTTTTATTCTCAATTTTGAGGTTATGTCAAAGTGGCGATACTTTTTACATTACCGCGAATATTTGAGAAAAAAATCAAGAATTTTCTCTATGACAAAATAAATAAATTAAGAAATTTAAATAAATTTAAGATTTTCTTGAAGAACAATTTTATAAAATTAATAGATTTTGCAAAAAAAAAAGAGAAAATGTAATTTTATTAAATTGTTCTTCAAGAAATTTATATATTTAAAATTGTAATTCAAACGTCAAATATTACGTCAATTTTTATGATATGATAATATCCTTAATTATGTATGACGTATGTAATATATAAATTTATAGACAAATCAGAAAATATACAAGTGAGAATAGATTTTCGTTTTATATATCTATTAATAGAATAAAAAATCTACATTTCACTTTTACTTGACTTTGAAAATATTTACGATTGGGAATCAAAAAATTGAAAACTCCTCTTTTTAAATAAAACTAGTTTTATTGTATCCTATTCTTTGAGAAAAAAGCAGCCACCGCCAATTTAAAATTATTGAATTAATTGTTAAATTCTATAGATACCTGTAGAAATCTTAGAAATTGAGAAATTTAATCAATTTAAATTCATTCTAATTCTAACAAATAAGTAATTTAAAAAAACCCAAATTTCAATTGAATTAGTCTTTTCGATTTAAATTTTAATTCATCATTACAAAGTAGTAAGTTTAAATTTTAATTTTAATTCTAGTAAAAAAAAAATTGTTGAATGCCCCACATGTTCTTTATTTGTACAAAAAAAAAAGTACAACTGTTTAAGTTTGATTTAACGAAATTGTAGAAATTTATAAAAGCAATTTGTCAGTCAAAAAATGTTTATTATATCAATATTTATTTTAAACATTTGAAACACATATATAAAAAAAATAATAATTTTGACTTTTTAAATAGCTCTTCGAGTAATACAAACATTGCTATGCAAATCTTACAATTACATAATATCTTCCTTATTTTTTTTAACTTTAAACTAGAAACACCATTTAGTCCATATACAAGTAACACACATTCGAATCCATAAAAAAAATACATATTTTTCACTTGATATAATAATTAATTGATTTTAGAGAATTATTAATGAACCAAAGCATGCAATTTTTATTTCAAAAATAATTCCATTATTAAGTCAACTAAATTTCATATCAAATAAATTAAATATATATATATATTTATACGTATTTAAATACTCATTCTATGAGATTTAACATTATTTTTATCACAGTATATTATGCTAAAAAGAATATTAAAAAAAAAAAAAAAAAATTCGTTACGACTTTCATGCAAAAGTGAATCACAGCTCATTTAATGTAATTTTAAAAAAACAATCTCAAGCTGCTTTAAAAACTCTTCCTCCGTTATTGGACTTAATGGTCTATATTTCTTAGTTATAAAATCTGTGGGGAAAAAAAAATTATTTTTATTAATTTTTTTCACTTTATATGATGAAAAAAAATTTATTTACTTCAAATAATAATTGGTTACTTTACAATTATCAAATAAAAAATTATTTAAAAACAAATAATTTTTTATTATTTGAATAATATATTTCAAAAATTTAATATAAATAAAATTTTTATTTGATAGTTCAAAATAATATTTGAAAGAAATTTTTTTTTCAAATATATTATTATATAATTAAAAAATCATTAAAATTTGAATAAATTATCGATAATAAAAATATGTGAATAAAAATATTTTCATACCGAACATAATTTTATAAAATTCTGTATCCTTAAAAATTTTTGATGTCTTCTCAGTTGCTGTACATGCATTGTATTGAATTGTCACATCTTTTATAAAACAATTTTTTAAAATTTCTGTTATACATTGCGATAATATTTTATTGTTGTCTACGAAATTAATTAATAATTTTGTCTAAAATAGGAAAAATTTATTTCTTTTTTTTTACATTAAACAATACTTATTTAAATGACTGCTATCAAAAAATAAAAATCCAATAAAAATTTAATTTAGTTATAATTAAAAAATTAATGGAAATAAAAAAATTTCAATTATTTAAAATTAAATTTTAAAATCATAAAAATTATTATTAATATAAAATATAATTTATACCAATATTCAAAATATATTTAGAAAGAAATTTGAAATATTTACTTACAAAGCTTTTTCTAAATGATGGATTTCCTTTTAATAAATTTTCAATCACTGAAAATTCGTTCATTGTTGAAATGGGTAATACTGTATTCATATTTTCAACAAATATTTCCTTCATAGGACTATTATTATTATTATCATCATCACCATCATAATTATTAGCATTATTATTATTATTAATACTATTTTTACTGTTATTATTATCATTACTACTATTTTTATTATTATTTATCATATTGTCAATAATATATTGAATTTTTAGCCGTTCATCTATTTGATTTAGATGAATTATACGAAGAGCTTTCATTATCTTTGGAAATAATAGATGTGGATTTTCTGAAATTAAAATTTTTTCTAAATTAAGAAAATAGAAGAATTAAAGACAAAAAATTTAATGTTAACAAATGACATTTGAGATATTGTTTTAAACATATAGAAAATATTTATAGTTAGTAATTAACTTAATAATTTACTAATTTAGTAACACTAAATTTCGTCATTTATTAAATGTAAAAATTTACTAAATTTAGTCATTTGCTAAATTTAATCCTTATACTAAATTTATTCAAATACTATATTTAACAATTTAGTAATACTAAATTTAGTTTTTTTTTTAATAAATTAATTAATTTAGTAGACTAAACCTAATCACATACTAAATTTAGAATATTTACTTAATTCAGTCATTCACTAAATATATTTATTTACTAAATTAAATAATTTAGTACACTAAATTTAATAATTTCTTAAATTTAGTCATAAACTAAAATTATTCATTTACTAAATTTAAACTATTTACTAAATTTAGTCATTTATTCAATTTAATGAGTTACAAAATTTAGACTGTTTACTAAATTTAAACTATTTACTAAATTAAAAAATTTACTAAATTTAGTTATTTACTAAATTAAATAATTTATAAATTAAGACGACCTACTAAATTTAGTCATTTACTAAATTGGATATGGTACTAAAATTAGTCATTTAAAGAAATTTAATAATTTAGTACACTAAATTTTGCTCTTACATTAAATTTAGTCATATACTGAATTATTTAGACTATTTACTAAATTTAATAATTTACTAAATGCAATAATTTTCTATATTTATTAATTTAGTTCAATAAATTTAGAAAAATAAATATATTCTGAAATTGATTTAAAAAAAAAAAACATAAAATTTATAGTTTTCTTAAAATGAAATTAAAAATATTATTAATTTACTAAATTTTTATCACCTTTTTCTTCTTCAGTAATTATAAAACTGAATAAATTATTTAAATCATCATTGTCATCAGTACGTTCAATATGGTTCTTACAAATGTTGTTAGGATTTTTTGATTTAATTTTTTTCTCCTGTGAATTATAATTAGAATATATTTCATTAATTTCTTGCTTCTGTGAATTATTGTCAAAATTTGTTTTATAAATTTCTTGCTCATGTGAATTACAAACAAAATTTGTTTCATCTCTTTCTTTTAGTTGTGAATTATTAACAAAATTTGTTACTTCTATTTCTTTTTCTTTTGAATTATTAACAAAATTTGTTTCTTCAATTTCTGTTTCTTTTGAATTATTAACAAAATTGGTTTCTTCTATTTCTTTTTCTTGTGAATTATTAACAAAATTTGTTTCCTCTATTAATTTTTCTTGTGAATTATTAATAGAATTCGTTTCTTCTATTTCTTCTTCTTGTGAATTATTGATAGAATTTGTTTTATCAACTTCTTGCTCTTGTAAATTATTATAAAAATTTGTTGCTTTCACTTCAGGATCTTGTGAAATATTATTATTTTTATTAATATTATTTTTTAAATCAATTTTTTTCTTCCGTGTATTATCAACAATAGTTTTTTCACCAATTTGTTTATCATGTGAATTAGTTTTATTTTTCGTAATATTTAATTTTTTTTCAAAGTAATCGAAAGCAACGAGAACAATTTTTGGCGATGCAAATGTAACAGCTGAAAAGAAATTATATTTATTTCCGTAAAAATAATCTCAAGTGAAATAAATAGATAATTCTATACGTATTTTAAACTTTCAATCTATATATAAAAGCTGCCATTCTACTAGAATTTACATCATTTAAGTAACCTGTTACGATAATTAAAAAAAAAAATTTTAAGGCCGAATTGATTTTCCAATTTTTGAAGTTAAAATTAAACTAATCTTCAAAATAAATGTGTTTTTTTTATTATTATTAAAACATTTGTAAAAAAAAAACTTACAGTTCTTAATTTTTAGAGACTGGACAGATCTTTCGAGCGATGCTGTGGAAATGTTAATTAAATATTTATTAAACTTAAAATAACGTTCTTTTAATATACACAGGCCTCGGATCGACTTAAAAGCACAAAAAAAGTCGATTTAGTCGATTTATATTCAAAAAAAAAGTCGAAAAAGTCGATTTTTTTTATTTTAACTAAAATATTTTACAGATTTTTAAATAAAAATTTTTTTTAAATAATAATACTTTTGGAAGGGTTAAAGTTGAAATTTTTAGAAATAATTGAATTTCAAAAGATTTTGTTAATTTTCAAACAATTATTAAATTTTACAGAACTAAAAATAATTTATCAAATAATATTAGATAAAATTTTTTAAAAGTCATTGAATTTTCAAAGATTTACAATTGAGATTTTTGAAATTAATTAAACTTCAAGTGATTTTTAATTAAAAATTTTTGATGATTTCAATAAAAAATTTATTAGAAATTGCGGACAAAAATACAATAATTTGAAAACCCTTTTTAATTGAAAAATGGTTTCAGATAATTGAATTTTCAAAGAATATTATAAAAATAGTTAAAAATAATTGAATTTCCTTAGAGTTATAATTGAAATTATTAAATATCAAAAAAAATTTTAGAAATAATTAAATTTTAGAAGCTTTTAAATTCAAAGTTTTAAAAATTATTGAATTTTAATTGAAATTTTGGATAATTCAATTTTAGTTGATTTTTGATTGAAAATTTTGATAATAATTAATTTTGAATTGAAATTTTAAAAAAAAATTGAATTTTAGTTGATTTTGAATTGAAAATTTGGAAAATAATTGAATTTTCTTTGATTTTGAATTGAAAATAATTGAAAATAATTTAATTTTTTTTATTTTGAATTGAAATTTTGGAAAATAATTGAATTTTAATTGAAATTTTGGATAATTTAATTGTAATTGATTTTTGATTGAAAATTTTGATAATTAATTTTGAATTGAATTTTTGGATTATAATTGAATTTTAATTGATTTTGAATTGAAATTTTGGGTAATAATTGAATTTCAGTTGATTTTGAATTGATTTATGATTTTGAATTAAAAATTTTTGGTAATTTTATTTGATATTTTTTTAAAATTATAAACAATTTTTAAATTTTATAAAAATTTTTATTGAAAAATAATTTGAAATAATGGAATTTGTTATTAATTTTATTAAAATTATTAAAAATAATTAATTTAGTGAAGAATTTTAATTAAAAATTTGTTAAATAATTGAAATAAAGAAGATCTGAAGAAGATCTGCATTTTATACTTAAAAAATATACTGTATTCAAAAAATTTTTTTTTTTTAAATGTAAAAAAAGTCGAAATAGTCGCATTTTATTAAAATAAGTCGAAAAATAGCGCATTTTTGAAAAAAAAAGTCGGAAATAGTCGAAAAAGTTGTATAATCCGAGGCTTGCTATGCAGTCAAAAATTCTTACTATTTTTTTTAATAAATAAATAATTTTAAAAAATAATTATAACTATAATAAATAAATAACTAAATAGCAGAAAAAATTGGTTTTCTTACAATTTTGAAGTTCATCATCTTCCTTCTTTCCTTTACTTGAACTTGTTTTTTCATTCCAAACTAGTTTTTTTGAATTTAATTTTATGGGTGAAACTTTACAAAAAAAAAAAATAAATAAATATAAAAACAGAAAAAAAGTAACAATCAACTAGAAGAAAACGAAAAAAAAAAATTTCTTACTATTAATATCAGTAGATTTCATACTTCGAGTTTGTCCTCTTTCTGAATTTTTCGGTGTAGAATGAGAAGCATCAGCTGATAATTTTTTATTTTCACTGCTTATAGAAGAATTAATTTTGAATTTTGCACCTAGAGATATGGAATTATTTATTATTATTATTATGCAAAATTATTTATATTAATTATTAATAATTATAATTTATTGTTAATAATTATAATAATCAATAAAAATAAACGTTAATATAAAATCTATTTTTGGAAAATCATTACTAAAAAATCCATAAGAATATAAATTAAAAATTAAATAAATTAAAACATTCAATTAATATTTCCTTACAATTGACATTAGAATTTGTTGATTTAATTTTTTTCTTTTTTGAATTATTCGTAGAATTTGTTTCATTCACTTTTTCCGCCTGTGAATTATTATCAAAAATAATTTCTTCCATTACATGACCTTGTAAATTATTATTTACATTTATTGAATCAACTATTTGCTCCTCTGAATCATCAATAGTAATTATTGAATCCATCAAATCTGATTCATCTACTGTAATTTCGAATTTATTTTTTAAATTTCCTGTTGGATTAAAAATTGTTTTTTTCGACGCAAATGAAACAGCTGAAAATAAATTTTTTTTCAAAATTTCTTGATTACGCATTAAATATATTTTAATAAATAATAATAAATAGTAATAATAATAATAATAATTATATTATGAAAATTGTAATAATACTCACATTTTCTAATTTTTGGAGATTTGTCAAATCTTTCGGATGATGCTGTGGGAATGTTAATTAAAAATTTGTGAATTTAAATTAAATTTTTTTAATTTAAAGAAAAAAATTCCTACTTTTTTTATAAAACATAAATAACAGAATAAATAACTAATTATCTGAATAGCACAAAAAATTTAAATTAAAAAAATTGATTTTCTTACAATTCTCAGTTTCATAATCTTCCGACTTTCTTTTCCTTAAAATAGTCTTTTCTTTCCAAGCTAAATTTCTTAAATTCAATCTGTTAGATGAAGCTGTACAGAAAAAAAAATTAAAATAGAAAAAAAATAACATTTAACGAAAAAACAACAAAAAAAAATTCTTACTATTAATATCGGTAGATTTCATACTTCTAGTTTGTCGTCTTTCCAAATTTTTCAATGTAGAAGTAGAAACTTGAACTGTAAAGGAATACAATACAAAATCAAAAAAAATAATAATATTCAATACAAAGAATAGAAATATAAAAAAAAATTTCTTACTATTACTATCACGTGATGTCATACTTCTAGTTAATCGCCTCTCAATTATTTTCGATGTAGAAGTAGAAGTTTTAGCAGATAAATTATTATTTTCACTCCCTATAAAAGAATTAATTTTTTTTTTTTTAAGTATTTTAAATATTTTTTTACATTATACTTAGAGATACGCAATTATTTATAATTATTAGAAAATAATTTTCCAAATTTTCAAATCTGTAAAAATTTTTTTTTTTTTTAATGCTGATAACTTTCTTTAAAATAAAACTATAAATGTTTTTTTTTAATTTTCTGTTTTTATGTAAACTTTTCGAAAATTTGAGGGAAAAATAATTTACCAGATTTTTTGAATTTATTTTTTTTTTTAAATATTTTCAAACTATTTCAATTAATATTAATAGCAAAAAAAATGCAGTAAATTAATATTCCGTTTTGTTTTTCTGAAGTTTTTAAAAAAGTTCACAAAAAAAAAAAAAAAAAGTGAGAATTTAAAAAATAAATTTTTAAAAATCCGAAATTTTGAAATTTTATTATAATAAAGAAATTTCAATTTAAAAATATCTAAACTTAACCAAAATGATTTATAATTTTAATAATTTTTGCTAAAAAAAAAATTGCCAAAACCCTTGAAATTCTTCAATTAGAATTTAAGAACAAAATGTTCTTAAATAAAAAAAACAATTTTCATATAAATAATTTATCACAATTTTTCTTTCTTTAAAAATTAAATGGTTATGTGAGAAATTTCATTTGTTTTTCCTCGAAACAACAAGAAAAATTGTGAATTTATCAATTTTTAAAAATTTATGATTTAATCTATTTTTGAAAAAAACAAAAAACCTTTCTTCATAAAAAAAAAAGTAAAATAAAATTAATTAAAACAAAACTTGAAATTTCTTACAATTATCATCAGAATTTGTTGATTCAATTTCTTTCATCAGTGAATTATTAATAGAAAATGTTTCATCAAATTCTTCATCTTGTGAATTATCAGCAGAATTTGTTTCGTCCAATTTTTGTTTTTGTGAATTATTAACAAAAATTTTTTCTATTTCTCGATCCTGTGAATTATCAGCAGAATTTATTTCCTCTATTTCTCGATCACGTGAATTATTATTTATTGAATCAATATTTTCCTCTTGTAAATTATTAGCAAAATTTGTTTCTTCCATTTCTTCTTGAGCAGAATTTTTTTCATCCACTTTCTCCTTCTGTGAATTATCAGCCGAATATATTTCATTCAATGTTTCCTTCTGTAAATTTGCAAAATTAATTTCTTCTATTTCTTGATCTTGTGAATTATTATATAAATCAATATTTTCCACTTGTAAGTTATTAACAAAATTTGTTTCATCCATTTTTTGTGAATTATTAACAAATATTTCTTCTATTTCATTTCCTTGTAAATTATTATTTGATGAATCAACATTTTCCTCTTGTGAATTATTAACAAAATTTGTTTCTTCTATTTCTTTCACTTGTGAATAATTAATATTTGTTGAATCAACTTTTTGTTCATGTAAATTTTCAACAGAATTTGTTTCCCGTGAACTGTCAATATAAGTATAAATTGGATCCCTTAATTCATTTTCATATGAACTATTTGTAAAAAAAATTGATTCATTTGTTTCCTGATCATGTGAATCATTATTACTATTAACATTTATTGAATCAACTTCTTGCTCATTGTGTGAATTATCAATAGTATATGTTGTATTCATCTCATGATCCTCTGACTCTGATTCAATTAAAGAATTATTTAATTTATTTTCAAAGTTTTCAGAAACACTGACAACAGTTTCTGTCGGTAATGATCTATCAGCTGAAAATAAATTATAACAATTTATTTCCGTATATTCAAAATAATCATCAATGCAATAAATATATAAATAAATATAATATATTATAATATAATTTATAAATATAATATACAAATAAATATATATATATGATGTATTCCACGCCAAAGTGTAAGTCCATCTGCAATTACATCTCCGATTTTTTTGAAATTTTTTTTTCTTTTAGTACTAATTGAGACTAGCTTCCATGAATTTTTTGAAATTTTTTTTAACAAGCCGTTTTCGAGTTATGGAATTGTCCTTAAAAATGCATCAATTTTAAAAGTCTTTTTTCAAAATGTGTGTTTTTAAACGTACTTTTCAACAAAAAAATCAAAAATTTTTTTTTAAACGATAGGTATTACTATCAAATTTTTGAGTTTTAATGATAAAAAGTCATTTTTCTCATTTGACGTACTGATTGATTTTTTTCAAAATTTTTTCAAAAAAAACGAAACTTTTAAGCCTAGCCCGATAATGGGCAAACAATTTTTACAATATTTTCGGAATTTTTCACAAAATTTTTCAATTCTGAATTTTTTAAAAATATTTTTGTTTTTTTTATACTACGTACTTTTATGTATTTTGATGCGCTGATTACGAAAATCATAGTGACAATACCCAAAAATTTGATTTTTATGGTTAAAACCATAAAAAAAAGTCCAAAAATTTATGGTTTTTTTCGTTTATTGGGTTTAAATATGCAAAATTAAAAAAAAACTTTGAAACAAAAGTTATAGATCTTATTAAAATACATTTTTTTTAATTTTGCATATTTTACCCAATAAACGAAAAAAACCATAAATTTTGGAACTTTTTTTTAATGGTTTTCACCATAAAAATCAAATTTTTGGGTATTGTCACTATAATTTTCGTAATCAGCGAATCAAAATACATTAAACTACGTAGTATAAAAATAAAACCAAAAATATTTTTAAAAAATCCAAAATTCAAAAATTTTTGAAAAATTCCGAAAATATTGTAAAAATTGTTTGCCCATTATCGGGCTAGGCTTAAAAGTTTCGTAAAAAAAAGTAGTTTTTTTGAATAAATTTTGAAAAAAATCGATCAGTACATCAAATAAGAAAAATTACTTTTTATCATTAAAAAATTGCCCGTTTGTATTAAATAAATAAATTAATTAATTAAAACTCAAAAATTTGATAGTAATATCGTTTAAAAAAAATTTCGATTTTTTTGTTTGAAAAGTACGTTTAAAAACACACATTTTGAAAAAAAGACTTTTAAAATTGATGCATTTTTAAGGAAGTTATAAGCATTCAAAAATTAAAAGTCTTAAAAATTCTCCAATTTTCAAAATTCCGTAACTCGAAAAATTGCTAAAAAAATTTGAAAAAAAATTTTTCTAGTCTCAATTAGTACTAAAAGAAAAAAAAATCGGAGATGCAATTGCAGATGGACTTACACTTTGGCGTGGAATACATCATATATATCGGAATGCCCTCTAAAGGCGCCTAAAAAGCAAACGAATTATAGGTTATGTTTAAGATAGATTTCAATTTAATTGTAGTAAAGTTTCTTTCTGTCTTATTCTTTTTTAGTAAAAAAAAAAAATTTTTACAAATGCATCACTTTTAATATTCTTTTTTTTTTATTTTTTACTGTGATTTGATTCGTTTTTGTATTTTTACTCCAAACTATCATAAACATAACCTACAATTTTTTTTTTTTTTTTGCTTCTTGGCGCCCTTTCTTCAGAGCGCGTCACAATATTCATATACAATTCAAATTGTTTACTTATTTATTGAAATAGATCCAATAGTCAGAAGACCAATAATATAATAATAATAATAATAATAATAATAATAATTTTTGAAGTATAATGTATTTTTAATTATTATTAAAACACGAAATAACATTTTTTAGCTTCTATAATGTTTTTTTTTATTTATAAATTTTATGAAAGTTTTTATTGATTATTTTCAAATAATTTAAAATTATAAACTATAATTAATTTTAATTTCCATCAACCGGAGAAATTATGAAACAAAAAGAAACGCGCCAATTTTTTTTAAAACTTTTTTCTTTCATCAAAAAATCTAAATTGTTATTGTAAACAATTTCAAAATTCTGAATATCCTTTTTAAAGATTTTCCAAATTTCATTAACAAGAAAAAAATATTTTGACGAAGTTTTTTTCTTTAAACTTATTGTTCTATAATTGTCTTGTATTTGAGTCAATTTATAGAACAAATTTTGATTTTAATTGTAAAAATAAGAATAATTTAATTTTTTTTGTCTGTATATTAAGAAAACTTTTTATAAAGTACTCCAGAGTAAAATAATAAAAGAAAAAAAATTATTATTTAATAACTTTTTCACTTTTTTGAAGTTTGACAATATTTTTTTTCCGTTGCCAATGACAATAAAAATTAAAAAAAAAAACAATTGAGTTACTTTTTAAGCAAAATATTAATTATTTAAATTACGAAACCAAATTGAAATAATTTTCTAATAAAAATTGTACATAAAATTCCATAATTACCCCTGTCGGCGGTTATATGAAATAATTGATTTTAAATTATAAAGTATTTAATTTTAAATTATAAAATAATTGATTTTAAATTATGAAATAAGTAATAAATTAATTTTAAATTATAAAGTAATTAATTCTTAATTATAAAATAATTAATAATAAATTACAAAATAATAAATAAAATAAAATCAAAAATTAAAATTAATTGAAATTTTCAATAATACTTACATCTCATAATTCTTGGATTCTTGACAGATCTTTCGGTTGATGCTGTGTATGAATGTTAATTAAATAATTTTTAAACATAAAATAACATTCTTTTAATGTAAAAAAAAATAAAGTTACTATTTTTTATTTATTTATTTATTTATATCATTCCCCACAGTTCAATTGTGAACATAAAGGGGTAACATTACAATAGATTATAAAAATATATAAAAAAAAAAAAGATACATCTTATTTAAATACATAATACTAATCAAATGCAGTAGATTTTAAAGACTAACATTCTCGTAGATTTAAAATATTATAACAATTTTATACAATTCTAAAAAAAAATTCCGATTTTATTATGCCAATATCGGGGTTTATTTTTTTTCTGAGTAAAAAACATTTTTGATTTAAATAATTAACATATATAGTTATTAATAAATAAATAAATAAATAACTAAATAGTACAACGAAAATTCACTAAAAAAAATTATTTTTCTTACAATTTTGAAGTTCATCATCTTTTGTCTTTCTTTTCCTTGAAATTGTCTTTTCTTTCGAATCAAATTTACTTGATTTCGATTTCTTAGGTGTAGCTGTTTAGAAAGAAGGGAAAAAAAAATTAAAAATAGATAAAAAAAATAACATTCAACATATAAAAAAGAAAAAAAAAGAATAAAACAAATTTTCTTACAATTAATATCAATAGATTTTGTCGATCTAGTTTGTCGATTTCCTGATTTTTTCGGAGTGGAAGTAGATACTTCAGCGGATAGATTATTGTTTTTACTCTTTATAGAATTTTTTTTTGGCGCTGAACCTAGAGATGTTGAATCGTGTATTATTATTAATAGAAAAAAAAAATATTTTAACATACCGCAATGACTTTCAGGGAAAATATAATGGACCGACCATCAAATAATTAATAATTAAAATTTAGAATAATTTTAAAAATTATAAAAAATAATTAATTATAAACAAAGAATTTTTTAAATAGAAATTTAAAAAATTGAATTTCAAAAAAGTTGTAGTTTTTTAGAATTTTTTAGTCCAAATTTTTAGAATAAATCAAATTTTTGATGAGATTTTAAATTGAAAATTTTGTAAATTTTAAGAAACGCATGATTATGTTCTAAAAATCGTTAGAATTTTCATTTTATGGAATTGTCATAATTATTTTTGAGACGAATTTTCATTTGATCGAATTAGAATTTTACAGAATTTTCATGAAAATGACTTTCTATATTATAAAATTTTTATATAACCGAAAATTGAATTCACAGAATTTTTATTTGTTCGAATTTTTATTTGTCAGAATTTTTATTTAACATAATAGGGCATTTTAAAGAATTTTTATTGGGTAGAATTTCATTGCATAGAATTTTCATTTTATTCTTTCAGATGAATTTTCATTTGTTCGAATTATTATTATTTGATTAAATTTCCATAAAACCGATTTTTCTGAAGAATTTTTAACTTAACCGAAAAAATCATTTAACAAAATTCCTCATTGATAGAATTTTCATTTGTTCGAAATTGAAGATGGCCGAATAAACGTAATCGATTTTGGCGCGATTTTTAAAATCAACCAATCAAAAATTATTCATAAAATTGTGATTGGTTGATTTTAAAAATCGCGCCAAAATCTATTACATTTCTTCGGCCATTTGCAATTTCGGACAAATGAAAATTCTATCAATGAGAAATTTTGTTAAATGATTTTTTCGGTTAAGTTAAAAATTCTTCAGAAATATCGGTTTTATGGAAATTCAATCAAATAATAATAATTCGAACAAATGAAAATTGGAGGAAAAAAAAATTCTGATAAATAAAAATTTGAACAAATAAAAAGTCTGTAAAGTGAATTTTCGGTTACAATAAAAATTCTGTAAATATAGAAAATTGTTTTAATGAAAATTCTACTTTTAATAAATTATTGAAAACTTTTTTGGAAAGAATTTTCGGCCATAATATTGAATTTTAGAGAATTTTCAATTGAAAAATGTTTTAAATAATTGAAATTTCGAATTTTTTTTCGTTTTTTTTTTTTTTTTTTTCATATTACCTTCTTTATTTTTGGAGACAGATAAGTTTAGAAATCTTTTTAGACAACTACAGACGTTTGATGGATCGCTCGTACCCTCTCCTCCATCACATAAATAATCATCATTGACCGTGGCTTCTACTTCATCTGAACCTGAACAATATCACTAATTTTATGCATTTTTGATTCGTCAATTTATTTGTCAAGAAAAAAAAAGTTTAAGAATCCCCAAAAAAAAAAACCAATTACCTATATAGTTAAACCAACAGCATTCTCAGAATTATCCACATGCGCAAAGAATACCAAGAAATACCAAGAATTAAAATAATTTTTTTTTTTTCTTTCCTTGAAGAATCTAAATTTCAAAATATGAGAGATAATTTCCTCAATATTGTTCCAATTTGAAATTAAAAATTCTTGGACCAATAAAGACGATCCAATAAATTTTAATTTTTGATTTTGAGGAGTTTTTTCATACAAACTAAACATGCAACTACATTTGGAAAAAAAATACACCATTTTCTAAACTAGAGAGTCCTACTAAAAATAGTAAATAATACATAAAATTTTAGACTTGTTTAAAATTCAACCCATTTTAGAAAAATAATTAAATACAATTTCACTGAATCAGAGCCAATGATATGGAATCATTTGTTTTTTTTTAAAAACAGAATTAACTTTTATTTATTTCGATTAAGATGGGAACAATATTTTCAATCATTAATATTTTTTAATGCTTTTTCACGTAAGGGCATTTTAGTTAAAATTAATAAAAAAAAAATTTAAAAATAAATGAATAATAAATTAATGAATTAAAAATATAGAGAAATTTACTTACCAGGATAATCGCATCTTTTTAACAAAACGTATGGAAGTGAAACATTATTTCTTCCACTATTCAATTCACTTGAATTCCAAATTTGTTTATTTGTATCACCTTTTTTTGTTTTATCTACAACCTTTTTTGAATTATTATTATTATAATTATTCGCAGTGTCAGTCCAATCAGTTTGCATACTTTCAAAGATTTTCTGTGCTTCAGTAAAAGTCTCTAAAAAAAAAGATAAACAAAATTTACAATAAACAATTTCCTATTTTTATGCGTTTCTTTTTTTTTTTTTTTAATTTTTCAATTTTATTTAACTAATTTCACTTTCAATTATTTTATTTTATTTAATATTAGTTTTCATTTTTTCTCTTTTTATTCGACAAAAATGTAAATAAATTGTAAATAATTTATTATAATTTCTAAATGTAAAATATAAATATAAAAAAAACCAATTTAAAAAATTGCTTCTAGTTTCAAAAAATTATTTTTTTTTTGTTCATGTAAAATTTAAAATTAATTTTGATATTTTAATAAATATTTGAAAATTGATAAAAATAAAAAATGAAACGAAACATACTTGCTTCATCTACAAATTCAATTTCGTATTCCATCCAATTGGAAGGTGCTAAAGCACAATTTTTCAATTTATTATTTAAATTTTTCATTGTCCAATTATCATAAGGTGGCGAAGGAAATCGAGTAAAATATTTATCTTCATTTTCACTGAATCTAATCCAAGTGGATAGAACAATGTCAATATCGGTTTTTCCATCGTCATCCTCAGAGCCAACAAACGATACAAGTTTGTATTGATATTTATTCAACGATTTATCTTCAATTGAATTATTCAATTTTTCCATTATCATTTTGAGACAATAACTGAAAATAAATTTTTTATTATTATTATTAAATATAATCGAATTAAAAAACAGATTATTAAAAATAATCTGATTAATAATTAAATTATTAAAGATAATTGAAAATTATCCTCAAAATTATTATTAAAATAGTACAGTCAAAATTTTTATACAGGCCGCGAATAAACTTTAAGACACAAGAAAAGTCGTTTTAGTCGATTTATATTCGAAAAAAAGTTGATTTTTTCAATTTTAACAAAATTTAATTGGTTAATGAATATTTTACTTTAAATTAACTAATGTTATTAGATATTAAATTCATTTTATTAATTCTGTAATGATAATAATTTTATATAAGAACATTATCAAGAATTATTAGAAATAATTGAAATTCAAAAGATTTTGTTAATTTTCTGAGAATAATTAAATTTTACAGAAATGAAAATAATTTATGTTTTGGAAAAAAAAATGATTTCACATATTTAAATTTTCGAAATATTGAATTTCAATTTTAATTTATTACCATTGAAAATTTGGAAAATAATTTAATTTTTAGTATTTTTATTGAAAATTTGAAAAATAATTGAATTTCAATGTAAACTTTGGAAAATAATTGAATTTCAGTTGATTTTGGATTGAAAATTTTAAAATAATTGAATTCTAGTTGATTTTGAATTGAAAATTTAGAAAATAATTGAATTTCAATCGAAATTTTGTAAAATAATTGGTTTTTAATTGATTTTGGATTGAAAATTTTGAAAATCATTGAATTTTATTTGATTTGAAATTGAAAATTTTGAAAATAATTGAATTTCAGTTGATTTTGAATTGAAAATTTTGAAAATCATTGAATTTTAGTCAATTTTGAAAAGAAAATTTTGAAAATAATTGAATTTCAGTTGATTTTGGACTGAAAATTTTAAAAATCATTGAATTTCAGTTGATTTTGGATTGAAAATTTTGAAAATTATTGAGTTTTAGTTAATTTTGAAAAGAAACTTTGGAAAATAATTGAATTTCAGTTGATTTTGAATTGAAAATTTTGAAAATCATTAAATTTTAGTTAATTTTGAAAAGAAAATTTTGAAAATAATTGAATTTCAGTTGATTTTGGAGTGAAAATTTTGAAAATCATTAATTTTTAGTTAATTTTGAAAAGAAAATTTTGAAAATAATTGAATTTTAATTGAAATTTTTTTAAAATAAATGAAATTCAACTGAAATTTTTGAAAATAATTGAATTTTAGTTGATTTTGAATTGAAATTTTTGAAAATAATTAAATTTTAGTTGATTTTGTATGATAATTTTGAAAATAATGGAATTTTAGTTGATTTGGAATTGAAATTTAATTGATTTTGAATTGAAATTTTTGAAAATAATTAAATTTTAGTTGATTTTGTATGATAATTTTGAAAATAATGGAATTTTAGTTGATTTGGAATTGAAATTTAATTGATTTTGAATTGAAATTTTTGAAAATATTTTAATTACAAAATGCTTTCAAATAATTTAATTTTCGCAGAATATTAAAAAAATCATTAGAAATAATTTAATTTCAGGAGAGTTATAATTGAAATTTTTAAATTTCAAAAAATTTTAGATTGTAAATTTTAGAAGCTTTTAAATTGAAAATTTTGAATATAATTGAATTTTCAAAAATTGTGTTAAATTTCAAACAATAATTATTATAATAAGAAAAATTTTTAGTCATTTTTGTTGATGAAGAATTTAATAGAAATCACATAAAAAAAATTTAATTTTAAAAGTTTGTAATTGAAAAATGCTTTCAGATAATTGAATTTTCGAATAATATTATAAAAATCATTCATTTAAAAATAATTTAAATTTTTGCAAATTATTTGAATTTCAAGTGATTCTGAATTAAAATTTTTTGATAATTTTATTTGATAATTTTTTTTTTTGTTCGTTTGAAATTATAAATAATTATTAAATTTCATAAAAATTTGAATTGAAAAATAGTTTAAGATAATTGAATTTGTGAAGAATTTCATTAAAATTATTAAAAATAATTAATTTAGTGATGAATTTGTTAAATAATTGAAATAAAGAAGATCTGCATTGTATATTAAAAAAAAATATTTTGTTTAAATTTGTTTTTAAAGATGTAAAAAAAAAAGTTGAAAAAGTCGCATTTTATTACAATAAGTCGAAAAAAGTCGTATTTTTGAAAAAAAGTTGGAAAAAGTCGTATAATCCGAGGCCTGCTATACAGTATAATTTTATATCTATCCTTATTTGAACAAAAAAAAAAAACTTTAATTTTTTCTTTTCTTCTTTTTTTCAATATTGAAAAGATTCGAATTATTCATATTATATAATTTACAAATTTAAAGGACAACAGTTCTTTTTAAAAGATATTATCGTTTTTCACAAAAGAGTACTTAAATAAAAAAATAAATAAAATAAAAAATATTCTTTTTGTGTTCCAAATTTGGCATCTCAAAAATATTCAAACGAAACTGAAGTACACAACGTTTATGATAAACGATTATTAAAGAAAAATAAATTTTTTAAATGAAAAATTCTATAATTCTTTACCTAAAAAATATTTCTTGTTATTTTCATTAATCAACAAATTATAAAAAAAAAAATTTTTTAGGCAAAAAATTATAAAAAATTTTGTCATTTTAAAAATTATTTCTTTAAAAATCGTTTAAAATAAACGTTGCGCACTTCAGCTTCGTAATATTCAATACAAAATTTTGAAAAACTAAAATTCTTTAGTGTCCTTTGGTGACTAAATTTTTGTAATTAGTTAAAAAAAAGAAACTTTTTTTTTTTTTGCAGAAAATTAAAATATAAATAATAAAATGTAAAAAGTTTCGTTTCTTTAACTTTAAACGCCTTTTTCTCGAAATGATGATTTCGCTACTGGCAAGTAGCATAATTCGAGTTATCCGATTAACAGGATATTTATTTTATTTTATTTTTTTTTTCATATCTTGATTTTGCCGCCCTTTGATCGTACAAAACCAGCTCAGTAAAAATATATTTTTCTTTCTTAAAAAATTTACCGGTATTAATAAAAAAATAATAATATTAAAATTATGATTGTAAAAAATTTCTATTCATTTTAAGAAAATTATTATCGAGAAAAAAAATTTTTTTCTATTATTTTAACAACTATAATACAATACACACTATTTTTTAGTTTTATAAAAATATTTATATAAAAAAATATTTAAAAAAAATATATTACAAAATATATAAAAAAAATATTTAAAAAAAATATAAAAAAATATATATAAAAACAATATTATTTAGAAAAATTTATTTAAAAAAATATTAGAAAAATATATTTAAAAATACCAACAAAAAAAACATATAAAAAAATTGTAAAAATTTTTTTTACATATTTTTTTAAAAATTTATTTTATACGAGGAAAAAAACACGTTTTTGTAGATTTAGTAGAAAATCGTTAAAAAAATCAATAAAATCAATGAAACTACTTCTCTCTATAGAAATGTTCAAAGAATAACATACGAAATTAATGATTTACAAAAAAAAAAAAACTGTAATGTTTACTATTTCCTATAGGATCACCAAAATCATATTTATTTTTTCGTATTTATAGTTTTTTTTCGTTAGTCCTTAAAATAATATTAAGGTTTAAAATTATTCTAAATATACTTAATTGAACATTTTTCTTTGAATTATTTCCGAAAAAATAGATAAACTAAATAAAATAATTCGATTAAAAATTATTGATCTTTAACGATTTTACAGCAAAACTACGAAAAATTGATTTTTTTTCTTCCATACAAAAAATATATGCAAAACTTCATCGACTTTAAGGCAACATTAAAATCAAAATAAAAAAAACATTTATTTTTATTTATAACGAAATTTTCGTTAAAATTGATCAAAATTCTATTTTAATTTCTTAATTATAAATTCCATTCAAAAAAATGAAACCAAAAATAAAATTTACATTCCAAATAAGAAATTCAAAAACTGTCTCTGAATTTAAAAAAAACAACAACCTTATCCTAATTAAAAAAATCTTTTTAATTTGTAACTAAAGAATAAATAAACAAACACAAAATAAATCAATAATAATAATAAAATTCACAAGAAAACGATACAGTCAATATTTACCAAAAAAATAAATAAAACATAAATTCTGTATAATAATTACCTTAAATTTCTTCCAATATTATAACACTTGGGAGTTTATTTTATATAAAAATTTAAATTTAAATCCTTAATGCAAAAAAAAAAAAAAAAAAAAATGATATCACCACGTGTGCATAAATATTTTAATACATAAAATAATCCAACTACATATATGCACGAGTCATCAGTCAAATTATAGGTTAGGTTACACGATCAGTAATTAAACGCTAAACAAGAATCTTTGATATATAACATAATTTAACAAAATTATTATGCTTATAATAAAAAAACATACAACACATTTAAAAAGGAAAAAAAAACAATATAATATTTATTTGGTTGTACAATATAATAAATTAATAAACGTATATAGATAGATTAAGCACTGAGGTAGACTGACAAATGCATGATGGCAAACATCATACCCCTACCTTATATACTAAAGGCCTTTCTACAATTCAAATTGAGTCTTTTCGATGTTTTCTCAGGGTTCGGAAACCTAGCTCAGGTTGAATTTTTCCAAAATGTTTTTGAGTATAGCTCAACATTCGCTGGACCAATCAAAAAGTTCGGCATATGTTTTTTGTACGAAACTTTTTGACTATTTTTTTTAGTGGTATTCCGGATCGATTATCTCACAAATTTAATTTTTCCAACATATTTTTTAGTGTAGCTCAGCATCCGCTAGACCAATCAAAAAGTGCGCCATACATTTTTTGTTCGATACTTTTTTCTAAAGACTTTGGCGGTATTCCCGAACGATTATCTCGAAAATTTATTTTTTTAAAAATTTTTCCAAATTTGTTTTCTAGAGTAGCTCAGCATCCGCTGGACCAATCAAAAAGTGCGCCATATATTTTTTGTTCAGAACTTTCTTCTAAATACTTTGGCGGTATTCCCGAACGATTATCTCGAAAATTTAATTTTTCGAAAATTTTTCATAAATTTATTTGAGCGTAGTACAGCATCCGCTGGACCAATCTAAAAGTGCGCCATACATTTTTTGTTCGAAACTTTTTCCGTATTTTTTTGGTGGTATTCCGGAGTGATTATCTCAAAAATTTAATTTTTCGAAAATTTTTCCAAATTTGTTTTCTAGTGTAGCTCAGCATCCGCTGGACCAATCAAAAAGTGCGCCATACATTTTTTGTTCGCTACTTTTTGCTAAAGACTTTGGCGGTATTCCCGAACGATTATCTCGAAAATTTAATTTTTCGAAAATTTTGTTTTTTTTTTCTTTTTTACATACATATATACTATAACTATTTAAGATATAGACGCTTGTTTTATATACCAATCTCATATTAGTTTCCGTTTTGAAATATGACGATTCATTTGATTCTTTTATTGATTTTTAAACCATATTATTTTTATTTCCTTAGATAACAAGCAGTACAATGGCTACATGTTTATACATAACTTGTATGAGTGTTGCACTTTATCGCATTTTCTTGTTTCGTACCTATATTTCTTCTTTTAAATGTGTGACATCAAGTATACAGGGTGTTTCAAAAGTATGGAAACTTGCAAATATCTCGAAAAGTACGAATTTTTGTAAAAAATGTTTAAGACAAAATTTGTTCCAAACAAAAAGATGAACATCATTGAAATAAAAAAAAATTGGGCCCGGAGCCCAATGTTGGGCCCTACAATGAAAAAAGTAGTTTTCTTAAATGAGACCACTAATTTTCAGTATCAAATTCGTAATCCCCATGAAATTCTGCGTTCAGACATGTGGTATAAGTGCCCAAAATATTGGGCCCAATCCAAGATATTGGGTCCAAAATTTATCAACAGATAAATAAATTTTAAAAAATCGCATCTTGGAGGGATTTTGAGATAACAGAATTAGAAATTGAGCATAGAGGCCAATGTAAGATTCTGCAGCCCAATGTGAGGGCCCAATATTTTTGGAATTTGTACCACAAGTCTAAGCCCAGAATTTCATAACGATTCTGAAATGGATACTGAAAATTAGTCGGTTTTATTTAAACAACTAATTTTTTTTAATGTGGGCCTCACATTGGGCCGCGGAATCTTACATTGGGCTCTGTGTCCAATTTGAAAATAATCTTCTAATTTCTAATCCTGTGATCTCGAAATCCCTCCAAGATGCGATTTTTTAAAATTTATTTATCTGTTGATAAATTTTGGACCCAATATCTTGGATTGGGCCCAATATTTTGGGCACTTATACCACATATCTGAACGCAGAATTTCATGGGGATTACGAATTTGATACTGAAAATTAGTGGTCTCATTTAAGAAAACCACTTTTTTCATTGTAGGGCCCAACATTGGGCTTCGGGCCCAATTTTTTGGTTTCAAAAATATACATCTTTTTGTTTGGAACAAATTTTGTCTTAAACATTTTTTACAAAAATTCGTACTTTTCGAGATACTTGCAAGTTTCCATACTTTTGAAACACCCTGTATAATTCTGTACACTATAAAAAATTAAATATTTAAATTAATTAATACCAGAAAATTTTGAAAAATTTTCCTGTCTATTTAATTTTGAATAATAATAATCGTGGACTTTTGATGACTCCCACCCCTCTCACCAACAGTGTCCACGTGGTATATGGACTGCCCACTAATGCTAGTGCATTTGTAAATGCTTATTACGGTCTTAGGGATCAAGTGCTACCGCATCGCAGAAAGAATTTTGGTTTACCACAGTACCACACCTATTCTATGTAAGTTTGTCCAAAAATTTTTACGTTTAGTTAAAAAAATTTTAATAAATCAATTTTGCCATAATACTTTTGAATTTTTTTTCCATAAAATAGTAAAATAATGTAAATAATGAAATTCAAATACCAGGGAAATATAAAAAATAAATTTCAAATAATTGCAAAAAAAAAAAAAAATGAAATTATAAATTATTATAGTGCCAAATTTCTTTTTCGGCAAGTAATTTTATATTTAATAACTTATAATTTGCTAAAGAAAAAACTGAAAAATCGAGGGAGAAATAAAAAGTATTTTCATGTGTTTAAATAAATTTTTTAAATTAATAAATTATTAATCGAAAGTAAAATGAATTTTAAACAATATATGATTGATTGAAAATATTATTTAAATAGATCGTTAGAAAAAAATAAATTGTAAATTCATGTAAAATAAAAATTATAACAAATGATATTCAAAATTTGCAAAACTGTAAAAAGTTGAATTTTTTATTATTATTAATTTAGTATTATTTATTTTGCACAGTGAAAAATGTTGCCTCTTATGGTGCTTTTATACCTCTAGTATTTTGGTCAAGCAATCGGCTGGATTAAATTTTCAAGGAGGAATCACTGAATTTGATTGGCTTTAACAAAATTCAATTTTCACGGTGAAAACCTAATATTTGTCAGAGCCAATAAAATTCAGTGATACAACCGTGAAAATCCAATCCAGCCGATTGCTTGACCAAAATACTGGAGATATAAAGGCACCTTTACACCCAACTTCTTATATATGTTGGTTAATTTCCATTGTCCCCAATAGCCAAAATCCCTATTTGCCATTTGTCACAATTCTCGTCAACTACTGCACCCTGTTCTAGTGAAAATTTAGTGACTTTATTGTTAACATTAAAAGTTACCAGAAAGTTACTAAGTTTTCACTAGAACACGGTGCGGTTGTTGATGAGAATTATGAAAAATAGCGAGTGGGGACATTAGAAACCAACCTTACATTTCTATATAAAGTCGAGTAAACGAATGCGGGATTTGGGCTTCCTAACCTCAAAATGTATGTAAATGTTACGTATCCCTTATTAAAATCAATGTTTATAGAACAGAATAAAACAGAATAGAAACGTAACCGGAATCGCAAACGCAACCGAAAGAATGAGTTACGTTTTTATTCTGCTCAGGCCTTATCATTTTCACGTTCAGTGCCATTTTTATAGGGCGATAATTAAAGGTCTCTCTCTTTCCAAAAGAATTTCAGAGACCGTTTGACACTTTTAAGGTATGAGCATAATAAATTTTTCCTTTCTCTATTCTTCTAATTGCGATCCAATTACGTAGTGGGTTACGTTTCTATTCTGCTTTTGGCCTTTACGTATTCGACGCAGTTGTGCTCAGACCTTTATGCGTGACTTCCCAACTCTGATTATAGCGTTCTCTTCTTTCGCATTATTTCTTGGAACGACACGGAAGATCATCAACCACATGGAAGATAAAAAATTTAATTTCTTGTAAATTACTGGTAAAATTTATTTTATTATAATCATTTCATTTTAATAATTAAAATAATTCTTAATTATAAAAATACATTTATAGAATTGTGTAACATAATATATAGCAATTTAGTTTAATTTATATGAAAAAAAATTTTCCATTTTTGGAATAGACCAGAAGAAGGAATTTTTTTTAAGATTTAAAAAAACAAAAATTATAAATTTTCTTTTGTCAAATTAAAAACCGCTTATTTTATGTAATTTCAATACTTTTTTTACTCAATCTTACAGGATAGGTAATAAAATTTTGATTAGCTTGTAATAAAACGTATTTGTTAACCTCAATTATTCCATAGCGTTTGGTAAGGAGAATTTTTATCGAAAATTTAATTTTCTATACTACAATTTAACTTTTTATTCTCATTAAATTTTTGAAAATTTCCTACAATTTATTTAATTATTTTTACAAACAGAACAAAATTATATCATTTTTTTTGGGGATTCTTAAAATTATCTATTTTTTATTCAATTTATTTTTATACAAACTTTCTATTTCCTTAAATTTTTTGTCTTCATTTCCAAAAATTGTTTTTCATTATTCTTTTCCAATTTTTTTTCTTTCAATTCATTGTTTTTTAGAATTACTTAAATTTTATGTTGGTTTTAATTTTTTCGAATTTTTGTTTTCAATTCATTTTTCTAAAATTCTTTTTTTTATAGATTTTTTCATCAAACAAAAATTATCTTTTTTTTCCAAAAAAATTCTTATATTTTAGGAATTTTTAAAAGAATATTATTCAAAAACAAAAAAAAAACGATACTACCCGCAAGATTTCTAAAATGATTATTGATGAGCTGCGCTGAAGAATTTACGAAAATAAATTATATTTTTTGTAATACATATAGAGAAAAATATTTGCTAAATAAATAAATACAGAATTTCAGTTAATAATAAACTGGTTATTAAAATTTAAGAATAGTTAAATTAATGCTAAGAAATAGTCTATAATATTTAAATTTTACAGGCCTCAGATTATACGACTTTTACGACTTATTTCAATGAAATGCGACTTTTTCAACTTTTTTAAAATTTTTTTTTAAATTTTAAACAAAATACATTTTTTTAGTATGCAATGCAGATCTTCTTTATTTCAATTGAAATTCATTTATTTTGAAAATTTTCAATTTAAAATTAACTAAAAATCAATTATTTTTGTTTTATTTGTATCAAAAAGTACAGCCGTAGGATTTTTTTTTAGGAAAATTTTCAATTCAAAATCAATTAAAAGTCAATTATTTTACAAAATTTTGATTGAAATTCAATTATTTTTTAAATTATCAATTCAAAATCAACTAAAATTCAATTATTTTTAAAAATTTCAGTTGAATTAGATTTATTTTCAAATTCTATTTAAAATGAACTAAAATTCAATTATTTTTAAAATTTTCAATTCAAAATCAACTGAAATTCAATTATTTTTCAAAGTTTCAATTTAAATTCAATTATTTTTCAAATTTTCAATAGAAATCTTAAAAATTAAATTATTTTCCAAATTTTCAATGGTATTAAATTAAAATTGTAATTCAATTTTTCAAAAATTTAAATATGTGAAATCATTTTTTTTCATTTCTGTAAAATTTAATTATTCTCAGAAAATTAACAAAATCTTTTGAAATTCAATTATTTCTAATAATTTTTAATAATGTTCTTATATAAAATTATTATCATTACAGAATTAATTAAATGAATTTAATATCTAATAAGTAATATTAGTTATTTGAAGTAAAATATTCATTAACCAATTAAGCTTTGTTAAAATTGAAAAAAATCGACTTTTCCGACCTTTTTTCAAATATAAATCGACTAAAACGACTTTTCTTGTCCCTTAAGAATAGGTCCTAGTAAGGCAGCACCACCTATATCGAAACTAAAATTTTGGAAAATTATTTACAGTATTTACTTGAAAGCAAGACAATAAAATAGTTTTTCCTTTAGGATAATTGATTATTGTCAAGAAATATACCAGCTAAAACTTTTTTGAGTTAAAATAATCACGAAATAACTTGTGACATTTATTATCTACTAAATGGCTGTCAAAATCAGTAAAAATAGTGTCAATATGTTATGTTAAAAAAAAGTTTTTGTTGTTATTTTCGTGATTGGTGAATCTTATCTGGTATATTTTTTAGTGTTTATTAATTCTCCAAATGAAAATTGCATTCTTTTTTGTTATTTCCGAGAAAATATTTTAAAAGTTTTCGTAAAAAAATATGCTCATATGTAATTTATCGTCATTAATTTTTTTTCATTATTTTAACTCAAAAAAAGTTTTAGCTGGTATATTTCTTGACAATAATCAATTATCCTAAAGGTAAAAGTATTTTATTGTCTTGCTTTCAAGTAAATACTGTAAATAATTTTCCAAAATTTTAGTTTCGATATAGGTGGTGCTGCCTTACTAGGACCTGGCTTTAAGGGCAAATAAAATTTATTCGAAACAAATAAATATTTATTTGCCTCTGAGACTTGTGTATTTTTTCTCTGAATTTATATAAAAATATATTTTAAAAAAAATAACAGTCCCTTATAATAATATAGATAATAACTATTTTTTAAGAACATAATGTAGGACGCACGCTGAAGAAAGAGACCTCTTTAAGATGCAAAAAATTATAGGTTATGTTTTAAAATGAAAATACAGAAAAAAGATCAATTCTCAATAAATATTCAATAAAACTGATTTTAATTTTACATATAAATAAAAATAAACTTTTAATCACGGTAAAATTATCGTAATATCATATATAACATATAATTCGTTTAATTTCTAAGATCCCTTTTCTTCAAAGCGTGTCACATATTTTGAATAACATAAAATTTTATAATTTCAGAAAATAAATTTTGTCGAAAACAAGTAAATAATATCATTTTAGAAAATGTTTTTATCAAGGAGAAGGTAATTATAGTTTGTTAATTAGAAATTAATTATCAATTAATTAGAATACCTAAAATATTTTTTAAATAAATTAAATTGAAAAAATTTTTTTTAATAAACCAAATTTTTCTTTAAAACTGTAAAAAAAATGCATTTAAAATAAAAAAATCTATTTTTTAGTATTTTTTTTTTTTTTATTATTTTAATATAATAATTTGTAGAAATAAAAATTTTATACTTTTATAGAAAACAATTTTCAACACAGTGGCCTTATAAGGAACTTTTAAGAGATGATTTATTATCAATACCACCTTATGCTGTACCTTTGAAATTGTTAAAAATTTTAAAAAATAATTTAAAAACAAATAAATCAAATGTTGTTGATAAATTTTGGACAACATTTATCAAAAAATTACATCTCATTGATGAAATTGAGGAATGTGATTATTTCTCTATGTTAACAAATCTACTCTATTTAGAGGAATGTTATAATAATGAGTCCCTAGAAAATACACTGAAGATGCAAAAAATTAAAATTTTATCAACAGATAAATCGCATTGTTTTATGATAATATTAAATATTGAAGAGGATTTTTGTTTTTTAAAAAAAGAAACTTGCGTAGACGTTCGAAAAGAAGGAAATAGTATAAAATATCCATTGAAAATTATTGAAATACACTTCAATCATATTTTAGTTGAACCCGTTTATCCTGTAGGGTAAATATAATTTTATTCTAATTTTATTTATTAATTTTATAATTTAATTTATAATTTACTTTAATTAAGATAAATTCAGGCCTCGTATTATATACGAATGTTTCAAATTTTACCGACTTTTTTTTAACTCATTTTTAATAAAATTCGACTTTTTTTTACATTTTTTTTTACAAAAATTTTTAAACAAAATACGTTTTTTTATTATGTAATGCAGATCTTCTTTATTTCAATTATTTAACAAATTTTTATCTAAAATTCTTTATTTAATTAATTATTTTCAATAATTTTAATGATTCTTGACAAATTCAATTATCTTAAAAAATTTTTCAATTAAAATTTTTATGAAAAATAATAGTTTATAATTTTCAAAAAAAAAAAATTAGCAAATAAAATTACCAAAAAATTTTAATTCAAAATCACTTGAAATTTAATTATTTGAGAAAATTTTAATTTTCAGTTATCTGAAAGGATTTTACAATTAAAAACTTTTGGAATTCAATTTTTATATGTGATTTTTAATAAATTCTTCATCAACAAAAATCAATAGAAATTTCTTTTATTATAATATTGTTGTCTGAAATTTAACTATATTTAAAATTATTTTCAAATTTAAAAAAAAAATTTTTTATTTCAATTTTTGTCTGTAATTTCTAATAAATTCTTAAATTATTTTCAAAAAATTAAATTCCAAATCAACTGAAATTCAATTATTTTCAAAAATTTTCTATTTAAAATCAACTAAAATTCAAATATTTTCTAAAAATTCAATTCAAAACCAATTAAAATTCAATTATTTTCAAAAATTTCAATTCAAAATTAATTAAAATTCAATTATTTTCAAAAATTAAAATTGAAAAGCTTCTAAAATTTTTTGAAATTTAATAATTTCAATTATAACTCTACTGAAATTCAATTATTTTTTTATGATTTTTATAATATTCTTCGAAAATTCAACTATCTAAAATCATTTTTTAACTTAAAAAGTTTTCAAATTATTGTATTTTTGTCTGCAATTTCTAATAAATATTTTAGTGAAATCATCAATAATATTAAATTAAAAATCTCTTGAAGTTCAATTAATTTTAAAAATAAAAAATTGTAAATCTTTGAAAATTCAATTATTTCTAAAAAGTTCAACTTTTTTTTAAAAATTTTTTTTTAAATTTGTCTTACTTAAATAAAATTTTGAAAATTTGTTTTACAATTAGTTTGATTTTTAAATATTCGAAATAAATTTTCTTGATAATATTTTTATAGAATTATTATCATTACAGAATTAGTAAAATGTATTTAATATATCTAATAACAGTTATTTAAAGTAAAATATTTATTAACCAATTAAATTTTGTTTAAATAAAAAAAATCGACTTTTTTTTATAATATAAATCGACTAAAACGACTTTTTAGTGCCTTAAAGTCGATCCAAGACCTGATTATAATGAAATGAAAAGTAATTTTTCTCTCATTTTTTGCATCAGATTTTGGAAAAGTTTATTTAAAATTACACACAATTTTGAGAAAAAAAAATCTTTTAATATTTATTAATTGTTTTTTAAAAATGTTTTTAATCGATTTGAATTAGTGTAATTAACTTTTTGACAATTAAAATTTACTACTAAATAAATTAGAAAAATCAATGTTGTTTTTATTAGAAAAAAAGCACTAATTTTTTTTTTTAACAGTTTCGAGAAACAACACAATGCAAATGAGTATTATTATATAGAACTCGATTATTCAAATTGGCCGATTAGAGTTTGTCATTATGCTTTAGAATTATTGAATGGCGATGAAAAACTTAATAAGTTTCTTCTTTATGATAAGAGATTAGCAATTGAATCAGAGGTGTAAGTAAAATAAATGATTATTTTTTTAAATATACACTTATAATTAGAAAATTTATTAATTATTTTGATAATTATTGTACTTAAAAAATTATACTAATTATTTTGATAATAAGTATATAATTAAAAAATTATAATACTTTAAAAAAAAAATGCAGTCAAATCACAAAATGGTTTAATGAGACTGTGGCAAAAAATCCCGAGCAAATGCAAGCAGTTGAAAGAATTGTTGGACGAACATCGTATCCGTCGCCTTATTTAGTTTTTGGTCCACCGGGAACGGGAAAAACTGCCACAATTGTCGAAGCAGTTTGTCAAATAAATAAAAGGGGCAATAATGTTTTAATTTGTACTCCATCAAATGCTGCGGCTGATGAAATAACAAGGAGACTATTGAAATATAAAATACCTGATGACGATATTTATCGTATGACTAGTAAATCAGTCGAAAGGTATAAAATATAAAGAATATATTTTGATTTTTGATATTAATAATAATTATGACGATTTTTCATATTTAGAAAAAATATACCTAATGATGTCAAAATTTGCATGAATTTTGAACGTGGAGGAATTGAATATCTTCATAGTTCGGAAATTAAATTTAAAAAAATAGTTATTGCAACGCTTGTTTCAAGCGCAAGGTAAATGTTATTTTTTTCCGAATATTTATCAGTATAAACAAATTGTAATTAAAAAAAAAAAATTATATTTAAATTAAAATTAAAAAATATAATTTTCTTTCATATTTTAAAATTTTTTATATCTTTTACACTAGCAGAGTGTATAATGAATCTAATATTGATACTTATAAATAATTTCAGATTTTTGCGACTGGGCACATTAAATCATTATTTTAATTATATTTTTATTGATGAAGCAGGTCAAGCAACACAACCTGAAACAATGATTCCATTTGCTATTACTGAAAAACACAGGAAATGTCAAATTGTAATGTCAGGAGATCCAAAACAATTAGGACCGGTTGTAATGACAAAATACGGCAAACATTTGCTTGGTATTGAATTAATTTTTATTATAATTATTCATAAATATTAAAAATATTGGAAATATTTTTTTTTGTTTCCTCTTAATTTATAATAAATAGAAGAAATTTAATTAATTACCTTAAATATAAAAATGCAAGTAAAAAGAAATAAAATTAAAAGAAAAATAAATTGAATTTTTTTTTTAAATTAGAATTGCTTAGAGAAAATTAGAAATTGCTATTACACAAATTTCAAACAATAATAATTGAATTTTAGACAAATTTTTAATTTAATAATATTATAAATAATTGAATTTTTGAAGAATTTTATTTATTATGTGATAATTAACAAACAGAAGTTCCTTTATTTAAATTATTGAAAATAAATAAATCGTCGGTTAGATGCAGAAACGTGCCACTTCAGAGTAGTCTTGAAAAACGAGTCATTTCATAAAACATTTGAGAAACCTGCCATTCCAGCTGAGATTTGGAAAACATGCCAATTCAGAATTGACGTTCGTTTTTTTTTTTAGGTTGGCAGTATTGAATTGTTATAAATTTTTACAAAAGATTTTTTCATTACTATTTTTAATAATTATTTTATTTATTTCTTTTTGTTTTATTTATTTTAATTGTATTATAATTAATTAACTTTTTTCTATTATAATTATTCTTTATTTATTTTATTAGTTATTACTTTTTTTTGAAAATATAATATTTTTAAACATTTTGAATTACGGATTATTTTAATTTTATTGAGAGTGTTGGTTATACTTTTAAATTTGTTTAATAAATATGCCATGATTTTAGAAATTGTTAATCAAATAATGAATAATTAACAAATTTATTTAATAAATTCATTAAAATACTCTTTTTTCAAACAATAATAACAAACATGTAAAATACAACATGAAAAGTCATTTTCGTACAAGTTTATAATCTTTCAGTAGTGTCAACCTAAAGAAAAAAAAACGAACATCAATTCTGAATTGGCATGTTTTCCAAATCTCAGCTGGAATGGCAGGTTTCTCAAATGTTTTTTGAAATGACTCGTTTTTCAAGACTGCTCTGAAGTGGCACGTTTCTGCATCCAACCGACGAAATCAATTATAATTGAATTTTTAAATAAAAACAATTATAATTTTTTATAATTAATACAATTTTAGGATATTTTAAATTTAAATTAATGTTGATTGAAATTTCTGAAAATGATATAAAATTTTCTAAGAGTTTTAGTTAAAAAATTTTTAGTAAATTAATCTAATTTTATGGAAATAATTCAATTTTGAAAGAGTTGCAATTAATTTTTTTATTTTAATTTTAAACAATTTTTAAATTAATTCTTAGTTTAAAAAAGAAAATTTATTCAAAATTCAGAAAAAAAATTAAGTTTCTCAAAAATTTGAATTGTAATTTTAAAAGTAATTGTCTTTTCGAAAAAATTTTAATTCATTGAAATTTTGTAAAATTTGATTGAGAATTTAGAAAAATTATTGAATTAAATGAAAATTTAATTTAATTTTTTGAAAATAATTTAATTTTCAAAAAAAATTTTATTTTTCAAAAAAAAAAATTTTAATCAAAAAATATGTCTACATTTATTTTAGGCAAATCGATGCTTGAACATTTAATGGAAAAAAGTGATCTTTACAAAAAAGATAACGATAATAAATATGATCCAAATTTTATAACAAAACTCGTGCAAAATTATCGAAGTCACGAGACAATACTTCGATTGCCAAACGATATGTTCTATGATGGTGAATTAGTTGCATGCGCCGGGGAAAATGTTAAAATAGCCGAAAATTGGACTATTTTACCGAAAAAGAAATTTCCCATTATTTTTCACGCAGTACACGGATACGAAGAGATAAATTCATTACACAGGTTTTTTTTTTATTTTTAAATCTTCTTTGAAAAAAAAAATATTTTTTTTTACTCTAGAATAATTTTAATAATTAATTTTATTTATTTAGCGTCGCAAATGAAGAAGAGGCAAAAATTGTCATTAAATATGTTGAAAAATTACTCGATGATGGATTTAATGGTGTTGAAATTAATGAAAACAATATCGGTATCGTGACACCATTTAGATCACAAACAAGCTTAATTACAGAAATTCTCAATCAAAAAGAATTATCCAATATTGCAGTTGGAACTGTAGAAAGTTTTCAAGGTCAAGAAAAGGATATTATTATTGTTTCATTAGTACGTTCTGCAATTTTTGAACACGATGGAAAATATCATGTTGGATTTTTGTCTGATGAAAAGGTAAGTGCCTTTTGTTAAAAAAATTTATTGGGTCAGATTTATCTGAATATTATTATTTGCCCTTAACAATATTTTAATTTAATTGAATTCGGATTTAACAGAATTTCTTTTGAAAGGAATCTGAATTTAAAAAAAAAACTTATTTAACCAGATTTTTACTAAATATAATTTTTATTGAAACAAAAATTTATTAAATAGAATTTTTATTTAAGAAAATTTGTCATTCATCGAAATTTAATTTGCTTGAACTTTCATTTACACGAGTTGTCACTTTACTGAATTAAATAATATTAAAAAAGAAAGTTATAATTTGGTAGACAAATTTAAATTTCGCGCTTAAATACTTTGTTCGAACATTTGTAATTTCGATGAAATGAATAGGTGATTCCCCCATTTCAAAATTGAACCAAGTAGAAACTGCGCTTGCGCTATAACATTTCTCTTAAGACACTCTCACATCTTTTTGGCTGCCTGCAGGTTACTATGGCAACGCATGAGAGTGAGTGAGAAAGAAAATTTGAATATTCAAATTTTCTGTCTTACTCATAACCGTGCGTTGCCAATGGTAACCTGCAGGCAAGCGTCATTATCGATAGAAAAAGACGCTCTTATTTAAAATGTTTTAATATAAAAAGAAAAAGTTTAGAAAATTTTATCGTTTTCTAAACATTTTTTTATATTAAGGCATTTTAAATAAAACTTTTATAAAATATACATTTATTTACTCTTTTTGCAGAGGTTTAATGTGACAATAACACGATCAAAATGTTTAATTATTGTTATTGGACATCCAAAAGTCCTGCAAATAGATAATTGTTGGGGAAAATTTATAAAATATTGCACAGACAATAAAGCATGTCGTGGCGATAGTTTTCAATTGTCAAATGTTTTATCTAATAGTGAAATAAAAATTCTTCTTAATAATAGGATTCATGAGACAGAAACAGGTCAGAAAAGAATTATGAGGACTTTTACCTTAGGAGATTTTATAGTAAAAAAGTAATTTAAAATTACTTTTTTTTTGTTTAAATTGTTTTGCAAGCAAAAGAGAACATATTGTTAAATGAGTTTTAAAAGAAAAAAGAGACAGAAATCGTTTTTTTTTTTAAATTCTAATTTAATTAGAAATCATCTTCATCAGTGTTAAATGTAAAAATTAATTTATAATTTTCCTTTAATCATTTTTACAATAAATATTTACTAAAAAATTGCTTCTTCAAATTTTTACATGTGATTTCACCTTAATTAATAAACTTTATTCACATCTCGTTGGTTGGTTTCCATTGTCCCTACTCGCCATTTGTCATAATTATCGTCAACTACCGCACCCTGCTCTAGTCAAAATTTAGTAACTTTTAACTTTAAAAATAAAGTTACTAAATTTTTACTAAAAAAAAGGTGCGGTAGTTGACGAGAATTGAGAAATGGCTAGTTACGAAAGTTGTAACTTTTACGCCTGCATGTAATTTCACCCTAAATCCCCTATAAAAGTGTCACATTTTGGATATTCCACTTTAAAGTGGAATTTCTTTGTCTCCGGGAGAATAAAACAAGTTACTAAATTTAATCGTCTCTGCCTATAAAAACTTTTAAATTTTTTGGGGAATTCTCTATGAGAATAGCTAAATATAATTTAGTTTTGCTCTCCCAAAAGCCAAGTCCAAAAAAAAACCAGTTTAAGAAAAATAGGTAGTCTACTATCTCATTTGTACTCATGATTTTCTTGGACTTGGCTATTGTAGAATTGCCTTTAATCCTTTACGGTTGGTTTCCATTTTCCTCACTTGCCAAAGTTCCCACTCCTCATTTGTCATGAGAATTATGACAAATGGCGAGTGGGGACAATGGAAACGAACCTTACATTTTTATATAAAGTCGGGTACACTCGTGGCCAGATATGTATGCCTACACTTTTTTGTTCTTTTCTAACGCACGTGTTGCCATGACAACATGACAAAAAAGTGTAGGCATATACGACCAAGAGTGTACGTGAAACGAATACGGGAATTGGGCTTCCTAACCTCAAAATGTATGTAAATGTAACGATCCCTTATTAAAATCAATGTTTATAGGCCTGAGCAGAATAGAAACGTAACCGGAATCGTAATCGCAAACGAAACCCGAAGAATGAGTTAGAGAAGGATAGACACATTGTTTGTCGTTCTTTAACTCATTATTCCGGTTGCGTTCCGGATTATTCAGTGCCATTTTTATAGGGCGATAATTAAAGGTCTCTCTCTTTGCCAAAGAATTTCAGAGACCGTTCAATACTTTTAAGGTATGAGGATAATAAAAACGAAACCGTAATCGCAAACTCAATTGGAAAAATGAGACAAAATGTTTATCCTTTTCTCCTTTCTCTATTCTTCCGATTGCTATCCAATTACGTAGTGGGTTACGTTTCTATTCTGCTTTTGGCCTTTACGTACTCGACGCAGTTGTGCTCAGACCTTTATGCGTGACTTCCCAACTCTGATTATAGCGTTCTCTTCTTTCGCATTATTTCTTGGAACGACACGGAAGATCATCAACCACATGGAAGATAAAAAATTTAATTTCTTGTAAATTACTGGTAAAATTTATTTTATTATAATCATTTCATTTTAATAATTAAAATAATTCTTAATTATAAAAATACATTTATAGAATTGTGTAACATAATATATAGCAATTTAGTTTAATTTATATGAAAAAAAATTTTCCATTTTTGGAATAGACCAGAAGAAGGAATTTTTTTTAAGATTTAAAAAAACAAAAATTATAAATTTTCTTTTGTCAAATTAAAAACCGCTTATTTTATGTAATTTCAATACTTTTTTTACTCAATCTTACAGGATAGGTAATAAAATTTTGATTAGCTTGTAATAAAACGTATTTGTTAACCTCAATTATTCCATAGCGTTTGGTAAGGAGAATTTTTATCGAAAATTTAATTTTCTATACTACAATTTAACTTTTTATTCTCATTAAATTTTTGAAAATTTCCTACAATTTATTTAATTATTTTTACAAACAGAACAAAATTATATCATTTTTTTTGGGGATTCTTAAAATTATCTATTTTTTATTCAATTTATTTTTATACAAACTTTCTATTTCCTTAAATTTTTTGTCTTCATTTCCAAAAATTGTTTTTCATTATTCTTTTCCAATTTTTTTTCTTTCAATTCATTGTTTTTTAGAATTACTTAAATTTTATGTTGGTTTTAATTTTTTCGAATTTTTGTTTTCAATTCATTTTTCTAAAATTCTTTTTTTTATAGATTTTTTCATCAAACAAAAATTATCTTTTTTTTCCAAAAAAATTCTTATATTTTAGGAATTTTTAAAAGAATATTATTCAAAAACAAAAAAAAAACGATACTACCCGCAAGATTTCTAAAATGATTATTGATGAGCTGCGCTGAAGAATTTACGAAAATAAATTATATTTTTTGTAATACATATAGAGAAAAATATTTGCTAAATAAATAAATACAGAATTTCAGTTAATAATAAACTGGTTATTAAAATTTAAGAATAGTTAAATTAATGCTAAGAAATAGTCTATAATATTTAAATTTTACAGGCCTCAGATTATACGACTTTTACGACTTATTTCAATGAAATGCGACTTTTTCAACTTTTTTAAAATTTTTTTTTAAATTTTAAACAAAATACATTTTTTTAGTATGCAATGCAGATCTTCTTTATTTCAATTGAAATTCATTTATTTTGAAAATTTTCAATTTAAAATTAACTAAAAATCAATTATTTTTGTTTTATTTGTATCAAAAAGTACAGCCGTAGGATTTTTTTTTAGGAAAATTTTCAATTCAAAATCAATTAAAAGTCAATTATTTTACAAAATTTTGATTGAAATTCAATTATTTTTTAAATTATCAATTCAAAATCAACTAAAATTCAATTATTTTTAAAAATTTCAGTTGAATTAGATTTATTTTCAAATTCTATTTAAAATGAACTAAAATTCAATTATTTTTAAAATTTTCAATTCAAAATCAACTGAAATTCAATTATTTTTTAAAGTTTCAATTTAAATTCAATTATTTTTCAAATTTTCAATAGAAATCTTAAAAATTAAATTATTTTCCAAATTTTCAATGGTATTAAATTAAAATTGTAATTCAATTTTTCAAAAATTTAAATATGTGAAATCATTTTTTTTCATTTCTATAAAATTTAATTATTCTCAGAAAATTAACAAAATCTTTTGAAATTCAATTATTTCTAATAATTTTTAATAATGTTCTTATATAAAATTATTATCATTACAGAATTAATAAAATGAATTTAATATCTAATAAGTAATATTAGTTATTTGAAGTAAAATATTCATTAACCAATTAAGCTTTGTTAAAATTGAAAAAAATCGACTTTTCCGACCTTTTTTCAAATATAAATCGACTAAAACGACTTTTCTTGTGCCTTAAAGTTGGTTTCACAATAGGCAAAATCGTATCGTTTTAAAGGCGATTTTCAAAACTAAACGATTCGCAACAATAGAAAAAGTATGCGCGCGCATCATTTCGTCCTGAAAATCGTCTTCCACAATCATCTGATTGTGGAGCAAATCTAATGTCGATCTGAGGCCTGAAATTTTATGTTTGAGATAAATATTATTTATTGAATATTATCTAACTGTTAATTTTAAACAACTATAGGGTAAATGCACTAATTACGGCGCGATTCGAGTCAAAACACCTTTGAAACAGAAAATTCGCCATTTCTATTGTATAAAGTAAATTTAAGACTTATTAAACTAAAAGCTTATGTTATTTAGATATTAAAAAAATAATTTTAACTTTATAAAAATCGATTATTTAAACAAATATGAGAAATTAAAACTAATACCGTAATTTTCTATTGCGGTGCGTTTGTATCAGTTTCGTTGTATCAATTACGGTGACCAAAATTACGTTTATTTTGAAGATATTTTGCCCACCGTAATTGAAGCCAATGGAAATCTTAAAAATGTTTCAATTACGGCGAAGGAAAAAATTTCATCTCAAATAATTAAATTAATAATTGTTTAAATGTGCATCTTTATTAGTAATTGTATCAAAAAAAAGATTAAAATAATATTTTTTAAAATCATTTTGCAACAGTTATATTAAATATAATAGTAATAATAGTGATTTTTTATGAACGCGTCGTAATTGATGCACTTACCCTGCACAAATATTTATATGTTGTTTATAAAAAACGAGGGGGAATTTACTAGTTAAAAACGTGTACACTTGACTACCGGTATTACATCTCATATTACCCTTATTACTAAGTATTACACGTTATTACAGAGTATTACACATTATTACAGAGATATTACAGAGTTTTTTGCGTTATTACATCACCGTAATAACGCATTATTACACGGTATTACACAAGTATTACAGGAAGAGTGTACACTTGACTACCTGAGTAAATTCCCCCTCGATAAAAAATTATTTTTTATGTAAAAATTTCAAATTTTAGAATCAGATTTCATTAAAAATAGGTCTACTTTAAAAAAAAACATCGTAAAATCAAATTTTTAAAAATTTATAACTCAAAAATTTGGGTACTTAAAAAAATGCTTATGCCATGTTTTTTTTTTTTTGAAAGAACGAAAAAAAATATATTTATCCGAATTTAGAAGGTAAAATATAAAATATAATGTAAACCACACTTTGATTCTATATTTTCAGAAAATAAATTTTTATTGAGAACGAGTAATTAAAAAAAAATTAAAAAATGTATTCGTCCTCGAGAATTTCACGGTAATTATTAATATTTATTTATTATTTTCTTTAAATAATAAATGCTCAAATTTTTTATTTATTGTTTTAAAGTGAGAGACAATATGCCCGTAGCTTGTTCAGTGATAAATTAGAAGAAATTCCAAGTTATAATGTTCCAAAGGAACTTGTGGAAGTATTAAAAAATCTTTTAAAACCAAATATGATGAAAACCAATGATAAATTTTGGACATGTTTCATCAAAAAGTTGCCTGAAATAAATGATATTGACGAATGTGATTTCTTTGAAATGTTTAAAAAACTTCTATATTTAGAAGAATGTTATAGTAATGATTCTTTGGATAATAATTTAAAGAAAAAAAATATTAGAATTAGTGGTGCAAACAAAGATGGTCATTTTACGATATGTTTGAATAAAAATGATGACGATGATCTTTCATTTTTAAAAGAAGGAAATAATGTAGATGTTCAAAAAATAGAAACACGTTTTAAAATTGTGCAGAAACATTCATTTGAAATTATTAAAGTATCACCGAGAGCTATTATTTTGGAAGCCCTTAATTATTATACGTAATTAGCATCAACTTATTTAACCTTCAAAATTTAAATATTTTTATTAAATACTTAAATTTAAATGACGAATCTTATTAATTTGAAAAAATTAAATCCCGTCTTTAAATTTTTATTAATATCAATTTCGAAAGCTTTTTTGATGCCCTTTCAATTGGTAATATGAATTTTTTAAAAAAAATGTTTTTGACAAAAAAAAAAAAATGAAACTCAAAAATAAATTTGACTTTTTCGGAGTGAAACACTTTATGTCTCCAGAACAACTCGAACTATTTTAGTATGCCCAAGAGTAGTTTTGGTATAAATTTTATGCTATTAACGCCGCAGCAGTTGTTTTACTAAATTAGTAAGTCGTTTTCATACGAAAACAGTAAGAAATTTCTCTCCGTGCATATTTTTGTAGAAAAAAAAAAAAAACTTTAACTCTTCCAAAATTATTATTTAAAAAAAAAAATTTATTTAAATATCTGTAAAACTTAATTATTGCCTGAAATTTTTTTTTTACCATAAAAACTAAAAATTATGACAAAATTTTTAATTCGAATAAATTGCTTAAATCAGACTTGAAAAAATTATAAAAATCGAACTTTAAGAATTTTTTTTAGAAATTTGTCCTCCTTAAAAAAAATGGGGCACATGATTATGTTCTAAAAATCATTAGTCAGAATTTACATTTTATCAAATTTCATTTGTCATAATTAGTTTTTGAGCCGAATTTTTATTTGTTCGAATTAGTATTTTGCATAATTTTCATCATAACGATTTTCTATATATATAATTTCCATATAACCGATTTTTCATACTACAGAATTTTTACTTAACCGAAAAATCATTTAAAAGAATTTCTAATTTATAGAATTTTCATTTGTCCGAAATTGCAAATGGCCGAACAAACAATCGATTTTGGCGCGATTTTTAAAATCAACCAATCAAAAATTATCCATAAAATTGTGATTGGTTGATTTTAAAAATCGCGTCGAAATCGATTGTTTGTTCGGTCATTTGCAAGTTTGGACAAATGAAAATTCCATTAATTAGAAATTCGGTTAATTAAAAATTTTGAAGTATGAAAAATCGGTTATATAGAAATTATATCAAATAAAAATTCGAACAAATGAAAATTCATCTGAATGAATAAAATGAAAATTTTGTACAATAAAATTCTACCCAATAAAAATTCTTTAAAAGCAACCAAATTTTTTTGGTTGAATCAACAAAATTTTTGTTGTCCCAATCAAACTTTAGTTAGGACAACAAAAATCCTTTTTTTCTAATTTTGGTTGTGTCAAACAAATTTTGTTGATTCAACAAAAAATTTTGGTTGCTTAAATACCAACCAAAGTTTGGTTGTCAATACCAAATCATTTTTTCAGTGTGTTAAGTAAATTTTCGGTTATATAAAAATTCTGTAATATAGAAAATCGATTTGATAAAAATCATGCAAAATATTAATTCGAACAAATAAAAATTCGGCTCAATACTAATTATCACAAATGAAATTCAATAAAATGTAAATTCTGACTAATGATTTTTAGAACATAATCATGCGTCCCAATAAAATTTTTAAAATTTGTTTTACAATTAGTTCGATTTTGAAATATTCGAAATAAATTTTTTTGATAATATTTTTGTAGAATTATTCTCATTAAAGAATTAATAAAATGAATTTAATATCTATTAACATTAGTTATTTAAAGTAAAATATTTATTAACCAATTAAATTTTGCTTTAAAAAAATTGACTTTTTTTCGAAATATAAATCAACTAAAACGATTTTTTTTGTGCCTTAAAGTCGATCCAAAGCCTGTGCATATTACCAATCGAAAGAGCATTAAAAAAAGTTTTCGAAACTGATATTTTAATAAAAAAAATTTATTTTAATATTTAAGAGAAAAAAAAAATAATTACAAGAAAAACCATTTTTTCTCAATTTTATCACTTGACCTGAAATCCTCCATTTACAGGTACTTTTTATTTTTGTTTTTTTTTAACAGATTCAAAAAACAACACACTCTAAATGACGTTTATTTTATGGAACTCGATTACTCCAATTGGCCAATTAGAGTTTGTCAATTTGCATTGGAATTATTATTCAATAGTAATGGATCATTGAATTCGTTTTTTCTTTATAATGATTTATTAGCAATTAAATCAGAGGTGTAAGTAAAATAAATGATTATTTTTTTAAACATACACTTATAATTAGAAAATTTAGTAATTATTTTGATAATAACTATATAATTAAAAAATTATAATACTTTAAAAAAAAAAAAAATGCAGTCATATCATAAAATGGTTTAATGAGACTGTGGCAAAAAATCCCGAACAAATTCAAGCAGTTAAAAGAATTGTTGGACGGTCATCGTATCCGTCGCCTTATTTAGTTTTTGGTCCACCGGGAACGGGAAAAACTGCCACAATTGTCGAAGCAGTTTGTCAAATAAATAAAAGGGGCAATAATGTTTTAATTTGTACTCCATCAAATGCTGCGGCTGATGAAATAACAAGGAGACTATTGAAATATAAAATACCTGATGACGATATTTATCGTATGACTAGTAAATCAGTCGAAAGGTATAAAATATAAAGAATATATTTTGATTTTTGATATTAATAATAATTATGACGATTTTTCATATTTAGAAAAAATATACCTAATGATGTCAAAATTTGCATGAATTTTGAACGTGGAGGAATTGAATATCTTCATAGTTCGGAAATTAAATTTAAAAAAATAGTTATTGCAACGCTTGTTTCAAGCGCAAGGTAAATGTTATTTTTTTCCGAATATTTATCAGTATAAACAAATTGTAATTAAAAAAAAAAAATTATATTTAAATTAAAATTAAAAAATATAATTTTCTTTCATATTTTAAAATTTTTTATATCTTTTACACTAGCAGAGTGTATAATGTATCTAATATTGATACTTATAAATAATTTCAGATTTTTGCGACTGGGCACATTAAATCATTATTTTAATTATATTTTTATTGATGAAGCAGGACAAGCAACAAAACCGGAAACAATGATTCCATTTGCCATTACTAAAAAAAATTTTGATTGTCAAATTGTTATGTCTGGAGATCCAAAACAATTGGGACCGGTTGTTATGACTAAACATGGAGAACACTTGTTAGGTATTGAATTAATTTTTTATTTATAATTATTTATAAATACTAAAAATATTTGAAATATTTTTTTGTTTCCTCGTAATTTATTATTAATAGAATAAAATTTAATAAATTAGTTAAAAATAAAAATGCAAGTGAAAAGAAAAATAAAATTAAAAGAAAATAAATTGAATTTTTTTTTTTCATTGAAAATTAGAAATTGCTATTACACAAATTTCAAATAATAATTGAATTTTAGACAATTTTTATTTTAATATTAATTTAAATAATTGAATTTTCAAAGAATTTTTTTTTATTTCGTGAAAATTAACAAACAGAAGTTCCTTTATTTAAATTATTGAAAATAAATAAATCAATTAATAATTGAATTTTAAAATAAATACAATTAAGATTTTTTTTTAGAATTAATTGAATTTCAGGATATTTTAAATTAAAATTTTTGCCTTTAAAGATTTCTTACAAATTGCAAAAAATATTTGAATTTTATACAATTTTTAATTACATTTTTTGAAAAATAATTAATTTGTCAAAGAATTTTTGTTAAATAATTTTTAAATAATTAAATTTTCCAAAATTGTCAATTCAATTTTTTGCTAAGAATTAAATTTTACAAAATTTTTTTTGCCAATAATTAAATTTTACAAAATTTTCATACTTGAAATTTTTAAAAATTTTTGAATTTATGAATAACTTTATATTTAAATATTTGAAAAAAAAATAATTTAGATTTTTAAATCATAATTTTTAATAATTAAATTTTCTGAAAAAATTTATAATACAACTTCTATTTAAAAATATATAAAATCTTCAGTATTTAAAATTAATGAGTTAAATCTATATTTTTAATTTATAAATTGTTTAAAGAATTAAATTATCAATGTTGTTGATTAGAATTTCCAAATTTTATAACAAAACTCGTGCAAAATTATCGAAGTCACGAGACAATACTTCGATTGCCAAACGATATGTTCTATGATGGTGAATTAGTTGCATGCGCCGGGGAAAATGTTAAAATAGCCGAAAATTGGACTATTTTACCGAAAAAGAAATTTCCCATTATTTTTCACGCAGTACACGGATACGAAGAGATAAATTCATTACACAGGTTTTTTTTTTTTATTTTTAAATCTTCTTTGAAAAAAAAAAATATTTTTTTTTTACTCTAGAATAATTTTAATAATTAATTTTATTTATTTAGCGTCGCAAATGAAGAAGAGGCAAAAATTGTCATTAAATATGTTGAAAAATTACTCGATGATGGATTTAATGGTGTTGAAATTAATGATAACAATATCGGTATCGTGACACCATTTAGATCACAAACAAGCTTAATTACAGAAATTCTCAATCAAAAAGAATTATTCAATATTGCTGTTGGAACTGTTGAAAGTTTTCAAGGTCAAGAAAAGGATATAATCATTGTTTCACTTGTTAGATCTGCAGTCTTTAAACATGAAGGAAAATATCACGTGGGATTTTTGTCTGATGAAAAGGTATGTATTTTATTAAAAAATTTTAATCTATAAAAATGATTTTAAAGAAAATAATTTTTTTATATAGAAAAATTTTTCAATTTTAATATTTAAATTTAATTTAATTTAAAAATTTATAAAAAAATGCTAATTACTTAAATTAATTTATTATTGAAAAAAAAATTAAAATCAAATCAATCAACATTATAGAAATATTAAAAAAAAAAAATTTGCTACATAAAATATTAAAATTAAGAATAATTTTGGGAAAAATTTGCAAAACATTATTTATTCTATTTACAGCGATTCAATGTCACAATTACAAGAGCAAAATCTTTATTAATTGTTATTGGTCATCCAAAAGTATTACAAATCGATAATTGTTGGCGAGCATTTATAAAATATTGTAAAAATAATGATGCCTGTTGTGGCGATAATTTTGAAATAACAGATTCTTTATCTGAATGCGAATTAAAAATTCTTCTTAATAACAGAATTGAAGAGAAAAAATCAAAAAAACAAAAAAATAGTAAATTACAAGAAGATTTTACTTTAAATAAGATTGAGCAAAAAAAAGAATTTCTTCAAATACCCAAATTCAAGTTTCAAAATAGTAATTTACAAAAAGATTTTACTTTAAATAAGATTGAGCAAAAAAAAGAATTTCTTCAAATACCCAAATTCAAGTTTCTTGGTTCAGAACTGAAACCCTTGTAGTTTTTAAGAGGAATGAAAAAATATTTTTTTAATCAATGAAGAAAGAAAACAAAAAATTTTTTTTGAATTTTTCATTTAAAGAGAAAAAGAAAGATAGTCTTTTTTTTAACAAAGAAAAAAAAAGTTTTTGTATTTTTATATTTAAAAAAAAAAGATTCTAATTCAATTAGAATTATTTATATTTAAGTTTAAATGTAGTCGTTAAGTTATATTTTTATTCTTTTTGCTAAAAAAAAAAAAATTTTATTAGTAATTTTTGAACCATTTTGAAGAAAAAAATATTTATTTTAAACTATTCTTTCCGTAAAATTACAACATTTTGTAATTTGTTTTCTATGCGTATTGACGATCTTAATATTTAGTATTTTTTTTTAATTGTTGACACATTTACTCATGAGTGATATACAAAAAAAAAAAAAATATATTGAAAGTTCTACTTTGTAATCCATATAATCTACATTATTCTACATTGTAATATCTTTTAATTTATATTTTAAGTTCTTCATTGTGATCTTTTAATTTATATTTCTTTAAAAGCTTCTTTGAATAAATTATAATTTTACATAAAAAGAATCAGAAATTTCAAATTTTATATCCATTATATCTTGTATACTAAGAACAATTTCAAACAAAAGGTTTAAAAAATCTAAAACTAATTTAGTACTTTTAATTTTAAATTCTCATACATTTAATATTTTAAACATTCATTAACAAATATACATTTATTTCTATATTTATTCTATATATCTAAAAAAAAAACAAAAAAAAAAATTAAAGAATAACCCTAATATTAACAAATCGACTTCAGTTGGTAATTGGCTCCTTAACCCCTCCACTGAAAAAAATAATTGTCTTTATTATACATCAAGAAAAAAGATTTCTTTGATTCAAAAACAAAATCAATTTCTTCGACAAATTTTTATTTGATTCAAAGAAAATTTATTTGTTTTAAATAAATTATTTTTGAGTGAAAAAAAAATTATCATCGTTTTAAAGAAATTTTTTATTTAATTCAAATAAATGTTTCTTTGACCCTATATCAATGTTAGAATTTCTTTAATTTAATGCACAAATTTCTTTCCTTCATAAAGAAAATTTCTTTGATTCAATAAAATTTTCATTGAAACTAAGAAGCTTTTTTTGTTTCAAGGAAAATTTTATTTCTAATGAAAGAAAACACGTCAAAGAAATTGGTTTCTTTAAATCAAAAAAATTTTTCCTTTATGCAAAGTAGTAAAAAAAAAAAAACTAGTCAAATTTACTAAGAATTTTTTTACCACCTTAATTTCTCTTATTGAAGTAACTTGTTCAGCTTAGTTCGTCATAGAAAGTAAAACACTTAAATATGAGAATATTGTTTTTAATATCTGAAAATAATCACCAACTTTAGTTTTCTATGTACTACAATAAGTATTATTATTATTATTATTATTATTATTATTATTATTATTATTATTATTATTATTATTTTGAGACGAAAGAAAAAATGACAAAGAGAATGACTCCCACACAGCACCTAAACTTGCAGCAATATTGGCAACATTGCCTTAATATTCTAATATTGCAGAAATAATGGTAGGGGAGACCGAGGAGGAAAGTAACAGAGGAGGAAAGTAACAAAGCTTATAACTTTTAAACAAATTATCGGATAGACATGGTTCAAACATATTTTTAGTCGGCACTGTTCCCCCTTCCTCCTCCATAGTGTGTCCGAGCCTGACAGGAAAGGTTAGGTCTGATTCCGGTGTGACGTGCAGAAAAAACGTCAAAAGTAAGTTTTCGTTCAAATTTTCAAAGTCTCGTATTTCTTTAACTTTATTGTTTTTCAAAATGTGCCTTTCGTTATTTTGTAGCCTTATTATCTGTCTTTAAGTTGTGCTTAAACAAACAATTTAACATTTGTGTAGTTTTAACTTTTTTGTTGACATACAAGAAAAAAGCGACCGAGGAGGAAAGTAACACGCTACTTTTCTCCTGTTGTCGATATTGTCCATGTTTTAACTAATGATTGAAGCAAATCGTATTTAATTTTACGAATAACAGAGATTTATTTAAGAAAAACCTGTGATCTAGGTAAGCATAAAATATCTTTTAGAAAAAAAATGAGCTAAATTCATAAAATGTTCGAAATATGTGCTAAATATGTCCCAAATATGTGCCAAATAAGTATAAAGTGTACTTAAACTTTCATGTGTTCCTAATAAAAATATTTCTAATTAATAATAGTCATTAGACTAAAGAATTTTACATAATTTTATACTGTTACTTTCCTCCTAGGAGCTTGTTACTTTCTTCCTCGGGGGTGAGGAGGAAAGTAACAGATGAAGAGCTTGCGTAAAAGTTATACTGTGAACTGTCAATTTATTATAAATGTTTAATTCAAATTTTATTTAAAAGGTGAATGTCCAAGCTTTCATTTAATATATTGGACAAATTTATCCGACAAATATTTTTAATGTTAGCATAAAAAAACTGATTTTTGTTACTTTCCTCCTCGGTCTCCCCTAATATTGAGGCAATCTTGACAATATTGCATGATGGTATTTGATGATTTTTACCGTGCCTAAAGTTTCCAAAGACAATGAAAAAAATTTGCCACACGACAATTTAGATTCTTTGCAAGTTCTCATCATTATTAATAATAATAATTTTCTTACTTTCACAGGCATTTTATACCAATCAGAGGCATATCTAAAATAAATACATTCTGTTTACGTTAATAATTCGTACTTCTCATACACGGAAAAACTTTGTGCAAGAATCATTCCTAAATTTGTTCAGGAACTGAGGATATGAGAATAATTTAAGAAATCTTATTTATATTTTCTTTGAAAAATTCTAAGCATTATTTTTATAAGAATTGTAGAGAAATTCAAGACAACTTCCTAAACTCACTACAGAAAGTCTTGAACTTGTTTTAAAATAAATTTTTACGTTTGCGAGAAAAAAAATTTACTCTGGGAGGACTCGATCCCACTTCCTCGAGAGTCCAAAAACTCCGCTTTACATCTCTCAGCTACCTTAGCAGCTTATGGTATTATGCATTGAAAAACATATTTGACGCAACCAATCCCTGTCTAGTGCTTGGTTACTGTACTGTGTCTTCTAAAACAGTTCAAGAAACTTTCAACACCCAGTGACTGAGATATTCCGATCGCGGCATTAACAAAAAGTCTTCCAATGTCATAATAAAAATACAAGTATTTTCTTTAATGATTTTTGTATTTTTCTGTAAATTTTGCAGAATTTTTCTCATATCCTCAGTTCCTGAACAAATTTAGGAATGATTCTTGAACAAAGTTTTTCCGTGTACATATAATATTACTTTGAACTATTCTATAAATATTAAACTCACCGATTATCGTTAACAATTAAACTATGATCCATCAATCTTTGTGCAGGAATACATTGATATAGAAGACGAATTATATGACTAACGGTGAAAACAATGTATTTTACTAGAATTTCCATTTCACCTTTATTTAGTACAATCTGGATAATAATTTTTATTCTACTTAAAAATACAGATTTTAGCCTCTAGGAGATTTTTTTATATGCTAATTTCAAATATACAGTTAGTTTTTACAAAAATTTTAAATGGTGAATTCCAATATGGCTAACAAAATTTTTAAAAAATGCTCAACTTTTAAAAAATTTGGTTTCTAGGGGTTTTTGGGGGCTCTGATTACGAATATGCACATAGTTTTTAAATATTCCAAATGGGTGAATCAGGACAAAAATTTTTAAAATCGTTCGATTTCCTTAAAATTTAGTATTTAGGGATATAGTATAATTAAATTAGCTAACTTCTATTTTCATTTTTTTTTTTTTTTTTACATATGATTGTTAATATTTTAAGCCATTTGTTTTAAAACATACCATTGCGCCTCCAAATGTAAGTAGTAGTAATACAATTCCGTAAGTGATGAACAAACATTCTGTGAAACATAAATCGAGTTTTTCGACATACCTTTTGAAATAAAATTAATGTTAAATATAAAACAAATGAAATATGATATTTGATAATAATGCAAATACTAACTGAAGTATTTTATTATGTAACAAAACGCAATCAACAACATTTTTGTGTATCATCTTCTCATCAGTTGTTTCTTTTATATTCACACAGTTCTCCAAACGAAACCTATTATTAAACAAAAGTAATTGTTATTAAAAGATTTTTTTTTTAAATCGAAAACAGGTTTTTTCCGATATCTATTTTTTTCTATAAAAATTTGTATTAAAAAAAATGGGACAAGAATGTTTAAATACTGATTAACATTTTATGTTTTTTTAAAACCATTTTTAGCTATTTTTAATCATTTTTTACTATTTTTCAATATTTAAACATTCTTGTTCCATTTTTTCAACTATATATATTTTTATAGAAAAAACCTTAGCTTAAAAAAAATCGTACCTTTCACCCCGAAAAAGTCAAATTTATTTTTAAATTTCATTTTTTTTTTATTGGTCAAAATTATTTTTTTCAAAAATGCATATTACCAATCGTAAGAGCATCAAAAAAAGCTTTTAAAACTGATATTAATAAAAAAAAAATTTATTTTAATATGGGGCGCATGAATATCTCATAAAAATCATTAGCTAGAATTTTCATTTGTATGATAATTTCATTTGACAGAATTTTTTTTAGACGAATTTTCATTTTTTTAACTAGCATTATTTGAGTTATCTTCTTTGTAAACGAAATTTTATTCAACATAATTTTCAGGTACCGAATTTTCATTTAACATCATTTTTATTTTAACCCTTTCGTTCCCAAGATAATCTGAAAACTTCAAAAAAGATAAGTGAAATTGTTCTTACAGTTTTTCGGGTCGCTGATGACGAATTTGAGGTCAGATTTTTCAAATTTTAAAAATTCAAAATGGCGGACAATTTTTTTAAAAGTGATTAAATCCGCTCGAAAATGGCTACTCGGGGGTTTTTGGGGTCGCTGATGACGAATCCGGTGTTAGTTTTCAAAAATTAAAAATGGCGGATCCAATATGGCGGACGACTTTTGGAAAATCTAATGCAATTCGCCTGAAACTCGTTACTCGGGGGTTTTTGGGGTCGCTGATTACGAATCCGGTGTTAGTTTTCAAAAACGGATCCAATATGTCAGACAAATTTTTGAAATTGTTAGATCCTCCTGAAGAAAATGCCTCAAAGCAGGCTTAGAAATATTAATTTTGTTCAGAGTTATTGAGGTTTTTGTAGGTGGGACATATATGTCCCATGGGAACGAAAGGGTTAAGAAATTTTTTGTTCTCCAACTTTGTATTTTAAAGCATTATAATTTAAACCAATTTTAATTTATCAAAATTCTCATTCAACAGAATTTTAGTGATTCGAATTGTTTAATGTCAGAATTTTGAATTTATCGAATCTTTATGTGTCAGAATTTTTGTTTTTACGATTTTTTATTTAATAGAATTACTAAAACCGGGGTATTTTCATTTGACAGAAATTACAAATTGCGGAACAAACAAAAATCAGAAAGATTTCGGCACAGTTTTTAAAGCAGACCAATAAGAAATTATTAAAAAACAATTGTGATTGGTCTATTTTAAAAACTGCGCCGAAATCTTTCTGATATGTTTGTTTGTTCGGACATTTGTAATTTTTATCAAATGATAATTCGATGTTTTAGGAATTCTATCAAATAAAAATTCGTGTAAATAAAAATACTAACACATGGAGATTCGACAGTTTAAAAATTCTGACATTAAATAATTTGAATCACTAAAATTCTGTTGAATTAGAATTTTGATAAATTAAAATTCGTTTAAATTATAATATGCTTTAAAATACAAAGTAGAATAACAAAAACTTTGTTAAAATAAAAATGATGTTACATAAAAATTCGCTATCTGAAAATTATGTTGAATAAAATTTCGTTTACAAAGAAGATAACTCAAAAATGATAATTAAAAAAATGAAAATTCGTCTAAAAAAAAATTCTGTCAAATGAAAGTTCTAGCTAATGATTTTTATGAGATATTCATGCGCCCCTTTAATATTTAAAAGAACAAAAATAATTTTTACATGAAAAAAAAAAAAAAAAACATTTCTTCCCTCTTGGTCACTTCACGTGAAATCTCGCATTTATATTATTTTGTATTTACCATAAAACACGATACATTCCACAAGCATGTTGTATAAAAGAATATAGCATAATATCAAAAGTATTGAGAATAAAAATAGATAAACCACCGCAAATAAAACTTTGTACAAAAGAAAACCAATAATAATTGTCTCTATTAAAAAAAATATATTCCAATTCAATTACATAAATTTTTTGCCTTGTTTCATTGAGTGGCAAAAAATAGTCAAGAATTTGTGGCGTTAAAGTTACTGCAAAAAAGAAAACTATTGCCACTGATATATAAACTGAAAAATAAAAATAATTGTAATTAAATAAATCAAAAAATTGCTATTTTTTAGTTTGATATAGCATTCGAGTATTTAAAAAATTTTGGGAATTTTTTTTTTAATTAAAACATCAAGGGATATCCGAAGTTGTTTATATAGTATATTTCAAATATTCGACTGCTATGAGATTATAATTTGTAAATTTATTTACTCATATAAATAATATTTATAAAGTTTCCGTCTTCTATTGTTTTTTTAAGAATAAAAAATTCTTTCTCAAACGGTTCAATTTCTTTAAAGTGTTCTGATACTTTGTCTAATAAAAATAGTATCTAAAATAGAAAAATTGGAAATATTCTTTTTAAAATAATTCACATTAACATTTTTTTACAAATATAAATTTTTTACACTATTATTTAATACTTACATCTGGTGTTTTGACAACGAAAAATATATATGCCACAAAAACATCAATACACAATAAACATACTGGAATGCATAAAATAAGTTTATGAAAATTGTCTTTTGTTGCATATAATGATGCCATCTGCAAAAAGAATAAATTATTTCTCTTTTCTTTTTTGTCTTTATTTAAACAAATATTTTAATACAAATGTGTAAGTCCCAAGTAAAATTTCAGTTATTTTGGAATAAGTAAATTCAAATAAATTACAATAAAACTCAGGAATTTTAATCCACATATTAAAATTCCTAAGTTTACTTATTGCTTCGAAAAAACTAATATCTTACTTGTTTGGACTACAAAATATTTGTATATGATTTATGAAATTACTTACTATTGGTATATCTAACGATAAAACCAAAATAAGAAATAAAATACGTTGTACTCGATTTAAATTTTGGCTACGATAAGGCCAATGTCCTAGGGCCGTCATAAAAAATTTATTAGTATTAAAATATTCCATATTCGGAGAAAAAGATTCTAAAAAGTTCCGCAAAAAAAAAAAAAATATATATTATTTTGTTTTACGATTTCAATATTACACTATATATATAACCCAGTGGGCACAAAATGTTTTATGTTCCAAAAACATTTTTAGAAATTTATTGTCTACTCAAATATAATTTTATAAAAATATTTCATTTTCGGAACATGAAACGATTTTAAAATATTATTTTAACAGATGTTTTAAAAACGATATTTAGGAATATTGTTGGAACATTAAGCATTTTTTTTTTTGCCCACTGATATCGGTGAAATTATTTAAAAATACTACACTGAGTATTAGTGAAGAGTTTTCTGTTTAGGTATATATCTGATGTTGTGGTTCTGGTTCAAGAGACCTATATGTATAGACACAGTGTTGCAGTCCTTAGTTACTTAGAAAGAGATATTATACATTATTAATAAGAGTTTTGCTAGACACAATTTGTTCATGCTGAAAGTCAGTGTTTTATTTAGTGAGAATTGATTATGTCCCTTATATATATTTATAAGGAAAATGCTTCCTAGAATATAATAAAGTGACAAAAGGATTTATGTTGAAGTTATTACAATGTATATCTATTTCCCTGACTTGCGCATTCGTTACTTGTAGTAAATTTCAAGTGTCTCAGTATTCACTTGTCATTCAACCGGATAAGAGCTATTGTTATGCTGTCCTGTCTCTTTTTGTTTAAATATTTTGTTCATCAAAATTTTTTCAACTTGATTTTATTTTTCAAAATTAAAATGTACTTTATTATTTTGCTTTTTTGTGGGTAATTCCTGAGACCAAGTCTAGAACATTTTGCAAGATTTTCTTTTTGTTTTCAGATATGCAATAAACCAAAAAAAAAAAAAATTTTAAACGATCAAACTAAAAATAAATAAATTTGTTTATAAAAAATTAATATTTTTTAAAATAAAATTTATAATAATTATAAATTTAATTTAAAAAATTACATACAATCCCAAGTAAAATTGAACAAATGTTATATTATCAATAATATAAAATATATAATTAACCTTTCTTAATAGAAATTATAAAAAATAGTTAAACCTACAAACTTATATATTTGGAAAAAATATTTTACAAATATTCTGTTTTACGCTTTATAAATCAACTACAAATAATGTAATTAGTAGATATTAGTAGACAAAAAGATGATTTCATATTGCAGTATGAATGCAATAATTCTTCTTTAAATAAAACTTACTTCGCGAACGGTAACGAAGGGGAGTTTTTACACTTTATAAACATGATTATATTCAATTATTTGAAATTTCTTTTTATGAAATCAAATTAAATCCTGTTGACTTCTATAGTTAGGCCGGCAACATTTTCAATTATTATAATTATTTATTAAAAATAATGTCATAAACGTGTCATTTCTCCTTTTTGTGAGAATGACCCTTAAATAAGAGAAAATTGTTATCAGCAACTGAAAGAAACAATTCCCTGAAATTGTGTAGTTATTGGTTTAAATTATTTAGTACTTTTAATTTTAAATTCCCATACATTTAATATGTATTAAACATACATTTAAAAACATACATTTATCTCTTTATTTATACTATTTATCTAAAAAAAATCAAAGTATAAACATAATATTAACAATTGGAGTTCAGATTGGTAATTGTCTCCTCAACCCCTCCACTGAAAAAAATAATTGTATTATAGGACCATTGAATTACGCAAAGTAGTAAAAAAATAGTCAAATCTACTAAGAATTTTTTTACTACCTAAATTTCTCTTATTGAAGTCACTTGTTCAGCTTAACTGGTCATAGAAAGTAAAACACTTAAATATGAGAAAATTGTTTTTAATATCTGAAAATAATCACCAAATTTATTTTTATTTACAGCACTAAGTATTATTATTTTGAGACGGATGCGCCCCGGGACGTAATCCCTAGTCTTGGTCTATTTGCACCTAGGTAGAATGAGCGAATAAAGAAAAAAAATTGTGTTATTTTTGTTGCGGGTAATTTTATCCAATGCTAAAACCCATAAGATTTAACACAGATTTAGGGTAAAATAGGTCGGTGAAGTTCACATCGATCATGATCATCGAAAATTTAAAATCCAAGTTACTCCATAAACACTACAAAAACTTACAAAAAACTTCAAAAAAAGATTATACTTAACAAAATTCAGTTCAACCCCAATTTCATTTAAAAAAAAAGACCCCTTGTATAACACCATATAATGACAATCTGATAAAAATTCAATTTTTCTTCGGTTCACAATTTTGCTGCAAATTCTTGCACTAAACACACCTAAAAGTGTTGAAAAAAATTGACACCCCAATAAAAGTAGGGGAAACATCCCAAAACCTACCTTTAAGACCCCATCTTTAATAATAAAAAAATTACAAAAAATTCAATTTTTCTTAGGCAGACGATTTTATTGCAAATTCTTGCACAAAATACACCGAAAAGTGTAGAAAAAAAGTGACTGCCAAATACGAGTAGAGGAAGACACCTATTACCAACCAAAATGCATTCAAAACCATAAAAAAGTTCCCAAAAAAATTCAATTTTTCTTAGGCAGACGATTTTATTACAAATTCTTGCACAAAATACACCGAAAAGTGTAAAAAAAAAAATTGACAGCCAAATACGAGTAGAGGAAGACCGCTTTTACACCCTATAAAGCGTTTTTCGTTAAAAAAAATTTTCAAAAAAAATTCAATTTTTCTTAGGCAGACCATTTTATTGCAAATTCTTGAACAAAATACACCGAAAAGTGTAGAATAAAATTGACAGCCTAATACGAGTAGGAGGAAGACCCCTTTTACACCCTATAAAGCGTTATTCGTTAAAAAAAATTTTCAAAAAAATTCAATTTTTCTTAGGCAGACGATTTTATTGCAAATTCTTGCACAAAATACACCGAAAAGTGTAGAGAAAAATTGACAGCCAAATACGAGTAGAGGAAGACACCTATTACCAACCAAATTCATCCAAAACCATAAAAAAGTTCCCAAAAAATTCTTTTTTTTTTTAGGCAGACGATTTTATTCCAAATTCTTGCACAAAATACACCTTAAAGTGTAGAAAAAAATTCACAGCCAAAAACGTTGCGTAATTTAGCTTCGTTAAATCTTCACTTTTTCACCCAACCGCGTTTAAATTGGGTCCGAGTGGAGAGAGAAAAAATACGACGATAAAAGCAAAAGCAGATTTCCATTTGGTCATACAGACTTTCGCCGGGGTCTGTGCTCTGTGGAGTGAGCGGCGCTGTGGGGATAACGTAAAGCAAAGAGCCGACCTACGACGAACGCAGCCGAATATCCACGATCGGCTCTATATCCTCGCTATTCTTACCTCTAGACTATAGTCAAATTCAAGGCTAATCACGCCTGTTTTTTGAAAAGATTTTAACATTTATTCTCTACGCGGCTACAAATTTCCACATAGAGAATGATGTATTAAGTTTCAATTAGTTAATAAACATTTTAAAAAAACATCATATTCACAAACAAATAAAATTTTTGTGACTTTTTGTAGAATTTTTAACTTTCAACTTCGACAAACTTCTCCGACTGCTTGAATATACAAACTATTTTGGCAATTGTCAATTACTGCCAGAATGTAAAATCAAGAAACAAAACATTTAGTCTCGCTTTTTGTTTGCGAGAAATGAATTTTTTAATAGAAATTTTTTAATTTTTTGGGATCTTTCCCCTACTTGTAGGGAGATGTCAATTTTTTGCAACACTTTTAGGTGTGTTTATAGTACAAGAATTTGCAAGAAAATTGTGAGCCGAAGAAAAATTGAATTTTTTTTTCAAATTGTTATTATAAGTGGTTATACTAGGGGTGTTTTTTTTTAAATGAAATTGGGTAATTTTTTTTAAGTATAATCTTTTTTTGTAGTTTTTTGTAAGTTTTTGTTGTGTTTATGGAGTAACTTGGGTTTTAAATTTTTGATGATCATAATCGATGTGAACTTCACTGACCTGGTAAAATTTGTTGCGTGTTATTTTAACACCAATTCTTGTGTTAAAAGAACACTTTGTTTTTCCTGTGGAGTGCCATTCGTTAGGTATTCACACTCTTTAGAAATGTCTAGGGAGGTCTCGTTAATTTTATAAGTTTTGTGTAAATTTTTAGTACAATGGTAATAATTGAGATTGTATATGCGTAAAACATCAAAAGGGTCAACTTTAAAAGACTGTATCTCGGAAACGATTAAAGCTATTACATTGTTCTTTTGTGCAAATTGTCAAAAATTTAGTCAGCTTTTAACATTCCTGTTGGTCAATTATTCAAAAAATCATTAGTTTCAAAGTTATGTTTGAAAATACCGGACTTTGGCTAAAATCACGAAAAAAAATGGATTTTTTACGAAAGCTATATCTCGGTTAATTTTTGAGCTACAGGGTTTTATCAAATTACTCAGAATTTTATACACTTTCTTTTTTATAATAACTATTTTTATGCTAAAATGTCATGAAAGGCGGCAATTTTCAGAAAATTGATTTTTTGCACTTATTTCTTTAAAAAAATTTAGGTTCCGCGGTTAGAAGTTGGAAATACCAAATTCAGGTACTTTATATTTTTACCATAAAATTAAAGGTTTAAGCAAAAAAAATTTGAGGTCCTGAGTTAAAGCATCTAAATATGCTAACTTGACTGGATTAATGAGAGTATTTTTGATGATTTTTACCGTGCTAAAAGTTTCCATAGACAATGTAAAAAATTTGCCACACGACAATTTAGATTCTTTGTAAGTTCTCATCATTATTAGTAATAATAATTTTCTAACTTTCACAGGCATTTTGTACCAATCAGATGCATATCTAAAAAAATACATTATTCTATTTACGTTAATATTTCGTTTATCTCATATATATAATATACTTTGAACTATACTATAAATAAATAACTTACCGATTAACGTTAATAATTAAACTATGATCCTTCAGTCTTTGTGCAGGAACACATTGATATAGAAGACGAATTATATGACCAACAGCAAAAGCAATATATTTTGTTACAATATCCATTTCACTTTTATTTAATACAATCTGGATAATAATTTTTTACTGTATATACATAATGTTTAATACACTTTAGAAGTATCACAATCTGCAAATGGTCTTTGGATTATAATCTTCGACATTTGATAAAATATAGTACATGTTATTTTTAACAGTTTATAAAATTTTTTCTTAACTGAAAACACATTACTGATGTAAAAAAGGAAAATTTAAAATTTTTTTCCTAAACCTTTTTGCAGATTGCGAAAACCTCTATGCATTTTTACGCAAAATGTACTATTATTTTTAAAAAATAGAAAAGACTAGTCTATTTATTCATAGTTTATACATTAAACGTATTTCTATTAATAAAAAGTAGTAGGAAATGTTAATTAATTAAGGGGAAATTTTTATACTTAGTATTTATAAAAGTGAAATACAATAAAAAAAAATTTGTTTTGCAGCTTAGTTTTAAACTTTTGAGGCATATAATTTTTTATTTCACAATAAAAATATAATGCTAATTTCAAATCTACAGTTAGTTTTCAAAAAATCCAAAATGGGGATCCAATATGGCGGAAAATTTTTTTAAAAATCGTTTGGTTTTCCTAGGGTAAACGTATGAATTACTGCTGATGCGCCAATTACTGCGATTTTTATAAAATTAGTAAAACTTAGTAATTGAGAACATAAAACTGTTTCAAAATGACTTATTCCAAATGATATTTGATATTATATCCACTAATGATGCATATTTCGACTATTATCAAATTATTTATTCAAGTTACAATTGAACCTATCTCAGTAATTAGAGCATGCGTATATTTTTCGCATTCTGCTATTACTGTGGTCTATCCAGTCAACCTAACCTCTAAATCAACACTTTTAGCGTTGCAGTAATTATGGTGCACATCATTCGCAGTAATTCATGCAAACTTGCAGTAATACCAGCATATGCCACTTTTAAAAAAGTTAATATTTTTAATAATATATTTGTTATTTCTTCAAGTTTAAAGTATCGTTTCTATTTTAATAGACACTAATAGTGATTTAACAAAAAGAATTTTAAATCATTATTTCATTTACACTTTTATTATTTTATCATTAAAGTCGGTCTTGGGTTGTACATCACAGTAATTGGGACATTTACTCTATCTAGAAGGTTTTTGGGACGCTGATTGAGAATCTGCACTTAATTTTCAAAAATTCAATAAGGCGTACAAAATTTTAAAAAATTGTTCGATTTTCCTAAAATTTGGCATTTATGGGGTTTTTGAAATGCTGATTAAGAACCTGCGCTTAGGTTTTAAAAATTCAAAATGGATGATCCAATATGGTGGTCAATTTAAAATCGTTCGATTTTCTTAAAATTTAGTATCTAGGGAAAATTTGTTAATAAAAAATGTAATAATCCGGATTACCAACTTGCAAAGGGTATATACAGTAATTGAATTAGCTAATTTCTATTTTCCTTTTTTTTTACATATGATTGTTAATATTTTAAGCCATTTGTTTTTTAAAACATACCATTGCTCCTAAAAATGTCATTAGTAGTACAATACATCCGTAAGTGATAAACAAACATTCTGTGAAACATAAATCGAGTTTTTCGACATACCTTTTAAAATAAAATTAATTGTTAAATATAAAACAAATGAAATATGATATTTGATAATGCAAATACTAACTCAAGTATTTTATTATGTAATAAAATGCAATCAACAACATTTTTTTGTATCATCTTCTCATCAGTTGTTTCTTTTATATTTATACTGTTCTCCAAGCGAAACCTATTATTAAAATAAAGTAACTGGTATTAAAAATACAGTTTAATAAAAATATTTTATTATTTTTTTATTTACCATAAAACACGATACATTCCACAAGCATGTTGTATAAAAGAATATAGCATAATATCAAAAATAGTGAGGGTAAAAATGGAAAAACCACCGCAAATTAAAGTTTGTACATAAGCAAACCAATAATAATCATCTCTGTCAAAAAAAATATATTCCATTTCAACAGCATAAATTTTTTGCCTTGTTTCATTGAGTGGCAAGAAATAGTCAAGAATTTGTGGCGTTAATGTTACTGTAAAAAAAAGAACTATTGACGCTGACATATAAACTGAAAAATAAAAAAAAACTCTAATTAAATAAATGAAAAAATTCTTATTTTTTACTCTGAAATAGCATCCGAGAATTTAAATTATCTTAAAGAACTTGGGATTTGATTTTTTTTTTTTTTAATAAAAACGTCCTAAAAAAATATCTGTAGAGGCTTTTGGGTTTGAATATCCAAATAATTTTTAATGGATATTCAAAGTTGTCTATATAGGATATTTCAAATATTCGACTGCTATGAGAATATAATTAAACTGTAAATTTATTTACTCATATAAATTAGATTTATAACGTTTCCCTCTTCCGTTGTTTTTTTAAGAATAAAAAATTCTTTTTTAATTGGCTCAATTTCTTTAAAGTGTTCAGAAATTTTGTCTAATAAAAATAGTATCTAAAATAGAAGAATTGAAAATATTTTTTAAGAATAATTCACATTAACATTTATGTAAAAATAAATGTTTTACACTATTATTTAATACTTACATCTGGCGTTTTGACAATGAAAAATATATATGCCACTAAAACATCAACGCACGATATACACATTGGAATGCATATAATAAATTTATGAAAATTGTCTTTTGCTACATATAATGATGACATCTGCAAAAAGAATAAAATATCCCCACACAGCACATAAAATTTTCTGAATTTGTCCTGAATATTATTTCATTGAAAGATTCGAAATATTTCAATGAAAGGTCCATGAAATTTTGATGCAAGCAATAAAATGTCCGCCTATAAGAAATATTGCAGTTCCGATTGTATGAAAAATTTCAGCGAAATGTTTAGGAAATGTGAGGATGAAAAATTACTGACATATTATTTTTTAATATTTTGCAAAATAAAAAAATGAAATATAAAGAAATTATTACACCTAAGATGCAACAAGCGAAATATGATTAATATATATATATATATATGAACAGTAAGTATAAAAATAGAATACTTAAAATAAATAAGATCTGCTCAGGTACGCAAGAATATACTATAAAAGTCAATTTGTTAGCAATTTTACTTGACTGGACTTTCAATATTCGTAATTTTTTAATTGAATTCTTAATTTACTGCATAATTATTATTATTGAAAAAAGTTTTGTTTCGCAGAATTGTCATTTGATAACATTTCTATTTTTCAGATCCCACACAGCACATTATATTTCCTAAACATTTCATGAATATTTCATTGAAAGATTTGAAATATTTCAATGCAAGGTTCATGAAATGTTGAGTAAAACAGGAAAATATCCGCCTATAAGAAATATTGCTGTGCAATTTTGATGAAATATTACACTTTCATACTCCTGCAATATTTTAATGAAATATTTCAGCAAAATTACACGGCAATATTTCTTATAGGCGGACATTTACCTAATTTCAGCAATATTTCAAGGACTTCGCATTGGAATATTTCAAAATTTCAATGAAATATTTCAGAAATATTTAGGAAATTTCATGTGCTGTATGAGGAGTATTCAAATGTTTAAAATTTAATTTGTCTAAAATTGCAAATGACGAAAGGTACATATGAACCGATCGCCGGAAAGACACGTCAATTTAAGACCAGGTCCAAGCGAAGCAGCGCCATCTACATTGATACTAAAATTTTGGAAAATTTTCAACAGCCTTTTCTTGAAAACAAGATGGTAAAATGCTTTTTTCTTTATGGATAATTGATTATTGGCAAGATATATACCAGCTAAAACTTTTTTTGAGTTAAAATAATGAAAAAAATTTCCATGTCGATAAATTAAATATGAGTACTTTTTTCACAAAAACTGTAACAGTACTTTCTCAGAAATTACAATCAAAAATGCAATTTCTATTTGGAAAATTAATAAACGCTAAAAAATACACCACCTAAGATTTACCAATCGCCACGAAAATACCAAAAAAAAATTTTATTAAATATTTAACATATTGATACTGCTTTACTGATTGTGACAGCCCTTTGGTAGATTTATGTATTTCAGGTGGTTAAAAACAGCGCCAATCTCCTCCTTTCGGCAAAACCGCGAAACGTCTGGTGACATATATAACCTGCCAAACGGCTGTCATAATGAGTAAAATATGTTATGTTAAAGATCTTTTTTTTTGTTATTTTCGTGATTGGTAAATCTTAGGTCGTGTATTTTTTAGCGTTTATTAATTTTCCAAATGGAAATTGCATTTTTGATTGTAATTTCTGAGAAAGTACTGTTACAGTTTTTGTGATAAAAGTACTCATATTTAATTTATCGACATGGAAATTTTTTTCATTATTTTAACTCAAAAAAAGTTTTAGCTGGTGTATATCTTGCCAATAATCAATTATCCATAAAGAAAAAAGTATTTTACCTTCTTGTTTTCAAGAAAAGGCTGTTGAAAATTTTCCAAAATTTTAGTTTCAATGTAGATGGCGCTGCCTCACTTGGACCTGGCCTTAAGACATTTTGAGATATGTTAAATTTAAGATTCATTTGTAAATTATAATTTATGGCATTATTATCGAAAATTTTTTTCTTTTACAAAGGTTTACTATCGATCAACTAATTTTGTCACATATTTTCACAATCACTACCACAATTTATTTCTACTATTCATTTTTTTTATTTTTCACAAATATATCAGGATGATATTGCCTAAATATGTATTTTTACCAATTTAGAAATATCTTCTTTCGATATTTCTAGAATTTTAATGAATAATCTTTTCAAAATATTTCACTTAAAAATTTGTAACATATTTCATTTTTTTTTTTTGCAAAATATTAAAAAATAATATGTCAGTAATTTTTCATCCTCTCACATTTCCTGAACATTTCGCTGAAATTTTTTGTACAATCGGAACTGCAATATTTCTTATAGGCGGACATTTCATTGCTTGCATCAAAATTTCATGGACCCTTTCATTGAAATATTTCGAATCTTTCAATGAAATATTCAAGACAAATTCAGGTAATTTTATGTGCTGTGTGGGGATCGCCCTATTGAAAATCCCCACATGGGAAACCACATGGGATCCTATGTCAAAAACTGTGTAAAACCCCATTCCCCATATGGGAAACCACATGGGATCCCATATAAAAACTCATGGGAAATTGGGACAGGAATTGGCATAGAAAAATATCAAAACGAGGTTCCTCCATGTCATTTCCTATGTCAAATCCCATGTCAAATATCATGTTAAATACCATGTTAAATACTAATTGAGATCCTTTATCACTTTTTTGAAAAATTTTCCCATGTCAAACCCCATGTCATTTCCCAAGTAAAAACCTTTATCATTTTTTTGAAAAATTTTCCCATGTCAAATCCTCTTTCGCCTTATCGAAAATACTCACATAGGAAAGCATATGGGAATCCACATGGGAAATGGAATACGATTTCATGTGCATTCTTCGAAATGATAAAACAAATAGATTTAAGCATAGGAAATCATATAAGATTTCATATAGATTCTGAAATTTCAATCTAAGATTTCACATGGATTTACATATAGGAAACGATATAGGATTTTATTTGGGAATTTTTTAGTTGGCTGCTTTATGCAGGCGGCAGATTACAAAAAAATTAATTATTTGATTAAATATCAAATAATAATACTTCAACTCATCTGAAAATAAAAAAAAGTTTACTTTACTTCTGCCTTAGACTCTCAGCTTTTATAGTATTCCAGACTGATATCAACTGTGAGAGAAAATATTTTCACCATCTGGTGGTGAAACAATGAAACTATAATGACGATCAACATCTATATTGAAATTTCCTATGTCATTTCCCATGTCATTTCCCATGTGAAATCCTCTTTAATTTTTTGGAAAAATTTTCCCATGTCATTTCCCATGTGAATTCCTTTATCATTTTTTTCAAAAAATTTTCCCATGTCATTTCCCATGTGAAATCTTTTATTATTTTTTGGAAAAATTTTCCCATATCAGTTCCCACGTCAAACCTCATGTCATTTGCCATGTGAAATCCTTTATCGTATTCCATTTCCTCTGTGGATTCCCATATGCTTTCCCATGTGGGTATTTTCGATAGGGCGAAAGAGGATTTGTCATTGGAAAATTTGTCAAAAAAATGATGAAGGATTTCACATGGGAAACGACATGGGAAAATTTTTCGAAAAAATGATAAGATTTCACATGGGAAATGACATGGGAAAATTTTTCGAATAAATGAAAGAGGATTTCACATGGGAAATGACATAGGAAATTTCAATATAGATGTTGATCGTCATTATAGTTTCATTGTTTCACCACCAGATGGTGAAAATATTTTCTCTCACAGTTGAGATCAGTCTGGAATACTATAAAAGCTGAGAGTCTAAGGCAGAAGTAAAGTAAACTTTTTTTTATTTTCAGATGAGTTGAAGTATTATTATTTGATATTTAATCAAATAATTAATTTTTTTTGTAAACTGCCGCCTGCATAAAGCAGCCAACTAAAAAATTCCCAAATAAAATCCTATATCGTTTTCTATATGTAAATCCATGTGAAATCTTAGGTTGAAATTTCAGAATCTATATGAAATCTTATATGATTTCCTATGCTTAAATCTATTTGTTTTATCATTTGGAAGAATGCACATGAAATCGTATTCCATTTCCCATATGGATTCCCATATGGTGTCCCATGTGGATTCCCATATGCTTTCCTATGTGGGTATTTTCGATAAGGCGAAAGAGGATTTGACATGGGAAAATTTTTCAAAAAAATGATAAAAGATTTCACATGGGAAATGACATTAGAAAATTTTTCAAAAAAATGATAAAGGTTTTTACTTGGGAAATGACATGGGGTTTGACATGGGAAAATTTTTCAAAAAAGTGATAAAGGATCTCAATTAGTATTTAACATGGTATTTAACATGATATTGGACATGTGATTTGACATAGGAAATGACATGGAGGAACCTCGTTTTGATATTTTCCTATGCCAATTCCTGTCCCAATTTCCCATGAGTTTTTATATGGGATCCCATGTGGTTTCCCATATGGGGAATGGGGTTTTACATAGTTTTTGACATAGGATCCCATGTGGTTTCCCATGTGGTTTCCCATGTGGGGATTTTCAATAGGGCGCTGTCCTTTTTTTTATTTACACAAATATTGTCATACTAAGGCCGCACTCTCACCTCTCAGCTGCCTGCCTGCCTGCAGGAGTTGTCATGGCAACGTGTAGGAGTAACAGAGATAGTAAATTCAAATTTGAATTTTCTCTCTCTCTTACTCCTGCACGTTGCCATGACAACTCCTGCAGGCAGCCAGAATGTGTGAGTGCGCCCTAATGTTCTTTTTTGGTAATAATTTGGATTTGTAAATTTTAATTTGAAATTTTCAACATTCGATTTCCTGTGCAATATTTGTGTGATTTATGAAATTACTTACTATTGGTAAATCTATTGATAGAAAAAGAATGAAAAATAAAATACGTAGTAGTCGATTTAAAATTTGGCTACGATAAGGCCAATGTCCTAGAGCTGTCATAAAGAATTTATTAGTATTAAAATATTCCATATTTGGAGAAAAAAATTCTAAAAAGTTCTGTAAAAAAAAGAAATACAATTTTGTTTTATGATTTCAATATTAAACTATATCCAGTGAACACACAAAAGGTTCTATGTTTCAATAACGTTTTTAGAAAGTGAATGATGCTTAAAATATACGTTTGGAAAATGTTTCATGTTCGTCAAACATTTTCGGAACATAATAACGTTCTTACAATATTTAAATATGTGAATGATAAAACAATTTTTTGCAAACTAGAAAAATTTTACTTTCTAAAAGCGATTTATAGTTATTGAAATATTGTAGGCCTTTTTTGCCCACTGATATTTGTCAATTAATTTAAAATTTTTTTACGGAGTATTAGTTTAAAAAATTTGTCTTCTTTGACTATATTTATAAAAGATGTAATTCTTGTATACAGTGGTAAAAGTTTTCTGTGCTTTCTTTCATTAGGTATCTGATGTTCTGATCGTTTAATAACTTTTCGAAGAGACCTATAGACATAGCGTTGAACTCCTTAGTTACTTAGAAATAGATATGCATTGTTAATAAGAGTTTTACTAGAAACAATTTGTTCATGCTGAAAGTCAATGTTTTATTTAGTGAGAATTGATTGCGTCCCTTATGTGTATGTCCTATGAACATAGTTTCTAGAATAATAGAGTGACAAAAGGATATAGTGAAGTTATTAAAATTTGTATATATAATTTCCTGACTTGCGCAACCATTACTTGCAGTTTTCAAGTGTTTTAGTATTCACTTGTCATTCAACCGGATAAGATTTATTTTTAGATTACTGCATTTCTCATTTTAAGATAGCTTTTTATTTTGCAGTTAAAGAATTTATTGTATAGAGTATTATTATATTTTAATATGAAAAAAAAATTGTATAATTATATATATCCAATTGCATAAATGCTGGTTAGTTTCCACTGTCCCCCACTCGCCATTTGTGATAATTCTCGTCAACTACCGCACCCTGTTCTAGTAAAAATTTAGTAACTTTTAATTTTAACAATAAAGTCACTAAATTTTTACTCGAACAGGGTGCGGTAGTTGACGAGAATTATGACAAATAGCGAGTGGGGAAAATGGAAACCAACCTACTATCCTTTCGGTTTGACGATGTTTTGAAAAATCGTGACACCACAGTTCGTGGTTATAGTGTGTTACGCCACGAACTAATAAAATTATAATAGAAGTGTCACGACTTTTCAAAATGTCGTCAAAATGAAAGGGACAACATTTATGCAATTGGGTGTAATAAAAAAATATAATTATTATTATTGTTTTATTTTGTTAATTTAGAATAATTTTAAGACATCCGAAAATTTTGTTTGAAGAACTAATGTTTTATTTAAGAAAATTTAACATATTTTTGTCAAACTTGGATTACATATACCGTATTCGGAAGCCATTGTCCCCCATCTTTTTTTTATTTACAAATATTATAATATATAATTATATAATTATATTATTATAATATATTATTATATTATTATATATCATTATTGCCATTATCTGTCCTTGAATCAAAGTATAAAATTTTATGTAACTTAATTGGTCATAGAAATTAGAACACTTAAATAGGAGAAAATCGTTTTCATCAACTAAAAAAAAATCATAAAATTAGATTTCGATGATTAGATTTTGATGTAAAATATATAATTTAAAATCTTACTGAGCTGAATGTTTCCAAAGATAATGTCAAGAATTTTCCGCACGATAGTTTAGATTCTTTATAACTTCTTATCATCATCAGCAATAATAATTTTCTTATTTTCAAAGGCATATTATTCCAATGAGAGGAATATCTATAAGGCATGTAGTTATTATTATTATTATTATTGTTAGTTTTTAAAATCGTTAAATAGAAATTTGATGTGGCATCTAATAAACTTACAGATATTCATTAACAATTATACTATGATCCTTTAGTCTTTGTGCAGGAACACAGTTGTATAGAAGATGAATTATTTGACCAATAGCAAAAGCGATATATTTTGTTGTAATATCCATTTCAGTTTTATTTAGTATAATCTAGGTATGTAATCACTAATTCAATTTTATTTATTTATATTTATTCATTTTATGAAATTTCTTTTCTCATAATTACTTTTGAGCCGAATTTTTATTTGTTCGAATTAGTATTTTGCATAATTTTCATTAAACCGATTTTCTATATTACAGAATTTTTATATAACCGAAAATTCACTTCACAGAATTTTTATTAGGTAGAATTTCATTGCATAGAATTTTCATTTTATTCTTTTAGATGAATTTTCATTTGTTCGAATTATTATTTGATATAATTTCCATATAACCGACTTTTCATACTACAGAACTTTTACTTAACCGAAAAATCATTTAACAGAATTTCTAATGGAGCGGTCACACCTCGGCTGCAGGAGCAGTTGCCCATGGCAACCGTGTAAGAGTAAGAGAGATAGAAGATTTTCCATCTCTCTTACTCTTACACGGTTGCCATTGGCAACTGCTCCTGCAGGCGAGGTGTGACCGCTCCATAATTGATAGAATTTTTATTTGCCCGAAAATGCAAATGGCCGTACATACAATCGACAGAAAGATTTCGCCGCGATTTTTAAAATCAACTAATCACAATTTTATGGATAATTTTTAATTAGTTGATTTTAAAAATCGCGCCGAAATCTTTCTGTCGATTGTTTATTCGGCCATTTGCAATTTCGGGCAAATAAAAATTGTTATGACTAATGAAAATTCGTAAAATGAAAATTCTAACGATTTTTAGAACATAATAATGCGTCCAACATATGTTTATACGTGAAACAAAATTAGCTAACTTCTGTTTTCATTTTTTTTTTTTACATATTATTGTTAATATATTAAGCCATTTGTTGTAAAACATACCATTGCTCCTTCAAATGTCATTAATAGTATTATACATCCATAAGTTAGAAATAAGCACTCTGTAAAACATGAATCGAGTCTTTCCACATACCTTTTTGAAACAAAATTTACTATTAAAAAAAGAACAAAAGAAATTTAGATTAATTATAAAAATACTAACTCAAGTATTTGATTATGTAATAAAATACAATCAACAACATTTTTGTGCATCTTCTCCTCGTGATTCATAAATTCATTTGTCTTTTCTATATTTATAATATTTTGCAAACGATACCTGTAAATAAAACATCCGTGTTATGTAAATCTTTAAATAATATGTAGATTATACTGGGTTTGAACAGAATTTAGTTAACTTTGTTTAAAAGCGAAAATTTTTCTTTGCTAATACCAGCCACACAAAAAAAAAAGTTTTGATCTGGGGGTCTAACTATGCCTACTTTATGTTTTTTGGGTCGCTGAATCCGAATTCGAGGTCCGTTTTACCCCATCAGATCAGGATTTTGAGATAACCTCAAAAAAACCAAAATGGCTAACACTTTTTCGAAAAATTCATCGCAATCGCCTGAAACTCGTTACTCGAGGGTTTTCGCAGTCGCTGATTACGAATTTGAAGTCAGTTTTCAAAAATTCAAGATGGCATCGTAACAAATTTCTTAAGTCTATCTGCCATGACGGCATTTTCCGAAAAAGTGTCCGCCATCTTGGATCCGCCATTTTGAATTTTTGAAAACTGACTTCAAATTCGTAATCAGCGACACCGAAAACCCCCGAGTAACGAGTTTCATGCGATTCCGATGAATTTTTTAAAAATGTGTTAGCCATTTTAGATCCGTCATTTTGAATTTTTGAAAACTGACATCAGATCTGTGATCAGCGACCCCAAAAACCCCCGATTAAAGAGTTTCAGATAAATCCGATGAATTTTTCGAAAAAGTGTCCGCCATATTGGTTTTTTGAGGTTATCTCAAAATCCTGATCTGATGAAGTAAAACAGACCTCGAATTCTGATTCAGCGACCCAAAAAACGTAAAGTAGGCATAGTCAGACCCCCAGATCAAAACTTTTTTTTGTGTGGCTGTGTCATCCATGAAATATGATTTTAAAAAAACCCTTGATACTGATAAATTATTAGTTTAGTTAAATTGTGCAAGAATTGAGTCCCCACTCGCCATTAGTGATAATTCTTGTCAACTACCGCACCCTGATCTAGTAAAAATTTAGTGACTTCATTGTTAAAATTAAAAGTTACTATAAAGTTACTAAATGTCCACTAGAGCAGGGTACGGTAGTTGACAAAAATTATGACAAATGGTGAGTGGGGATTTTTGCAAATGGAGATAATGGAAACCAAGTAGGGTCGTCAAGGTAACTTATAAGAGTGAGAAAAATTAAGGATGATCTTATTTCTCTCACTCTTATACGTTACCATGACAAACCCTACTTAAGGCTGGTTCCACAATGGGCTCGACGCAAGGTAAATGCAGCGTTGACGCAACGCATCCCAATGCTAATCAAATGGGGATGCTTTGCATCAACGCTGCGTTTACCTTGCGACGAGCCCATTGTAAAACTAGCCTAAGTAACTGAGCTGTGAACGTACCCTAAGCGTGACGCATGCTGTTAGTATCCTATTGTAGAAAGGCCTTAAAATATATTGAAGGAAGATTGCCATTGACGCTATTTGTGATAATTCTTGTCAACTACCGCACCCTGATCTAGTAAAAATTTAGTGACTTTATTGTTAAAATTAAAATTTACTATAAAGTCACTAAATTTTTACTAGAGCAGAGTGCAGTAGTTGACGAGAATTATGACAAATAGCGAGTAGAGACAATTGCAACCTTTTTGAATTTGTGCTAAATTTTCTATTTACCACAAAACACGATACATTCCACAAGCATGTTGTATAAAAGTATATAGCATAATATCAAAAGTATTGACGGTAATAATAGAAAATACACCGCCAATTAATGATTGTATATAAGCAAACCAATAATAATCATCTCTGTCAAAAAAAATATATTCTAATTCCACTGCATAAATTTTTTTCCGTGTTTCATTAAGTGGTAAAAAAATATCAAGAATTTGTGGTGTTAATGTTACTGTATAAAAAAAAACTATGGACGTTGACATATAAACTACAAAATAAAATATAAACTCCAATTATAATATAAATAAAATTTTAAATTATATTAATATTTTTAAATAGAATTTTATTTACTCATATAAATTAGATTTATAATTTTTCCCTCATTTGACGATTTATTTAGAATACGAAATTCTTCATCAAATGGTTCGATTTCTTTGAAATTTTCTAAAATTTTGTCTAATAAAAATAGTATCTAAAATAGAATTTAATTTTTAAAATATAATGTAATTTAAAATATATATTTAAGTAGAATACATTTTTTTTTCTCTCTTACGTCTGGTGTTTTGATAAGAAAAAATATATATGTCACTAAACAACCAATACTCGTCACACTCATTGGAATGCATATAATAAAGTTATAAAAATTGTCCCTTGCTACATATAATGCTGTCAGCTGTAAAATAAATTAAATTACTGCTACCGCACACTGCTCTAGTGAAAATTTAGTGACTTTATTGTTCAAATTCAAAGTTACTATAAAGTTACTAAATTTTCACTATAAAGCAAGGTACGGTAGTTTAACCGACATACCTAAATAAAAAATTTTAAAGGTTATGTTTATGATTGTATAAAAATTTATTTTTAAATTAAAAATAAATTCAAAATTTTTATTATAAAATCAAAATCAGTTTTTATTGAATTATAGTTGTATGTAATGAAAATCTAATGATTGATCCCTCTTTGTGTATTTTTATACTCCAAATAATCATAAACATAACCTATTATTTTTTGCTTCTTTCTTCAAAGCGTCGCGTTAAATAAAAAAAATATTACTTACTAGTGGTATATATAACGCTATACAAGAAACAAAAACAAAAGTACGTGTTACTCGATTAAAAATACGGCTCCTATAAGGCCATTGCCCTAAAGCAGTCATGAAAAATTCATTAGTTTTCAAATATTCCATTTTTTGAAAAAACATTCTGAAATTTTTACAAATTATATATTGTTTTAAAAGTTTTCAATAAAAATTTTTTTTGACTCTGCGATTTTCTATACTAACCACAACTTAGTTTTTAAAAATATAAAAAAAATATCATTTTTTCAAAATTTTATTTTTACTTTATAAATTGTGTTTGAATTTCATTTGCATAGCAAAATTTTTCTATATAAATACTGCGATAAAGAATTTCTATATGTTAACGCGATGCTTTCTTTATGCAATTTTCTGATGTTCTGACAGTGTTTAAAAAATTTTACTATAGAGAGACCTTTGTTTATACTTGGAAAAAGATAATATGAATTGTGAATAAGATTTGCTAGAAATATTTGTTCATCGATGAAGAAAGCTAATGTTATGAGAAATGATTAAGTCGCACATCAAATATTCCTGGAAAATTGTCCCCTATTCTTATTGCATAATAAAGTGCGATAAATGATATACGGAAATTTATTCATGACTTGCGCAATCTTTGCGTATGATGTATAGATTACATTTCAAAAGTTTATAGTCTTCATTCAACCTTACAAGCATAAAGGAGGTTCTACAATAGATGCAAGACCAAGTCCAAGTACAAATTTATTGTACTATGCGCGCGCAACGTATTGCCAACTGTCGCTGAGGCGCAGTTGAAAATACTGGGTGTTTTCGACTTTGACACTCTGAGCGCTCTAAGAGCTCGAAAAGGTTCTCAACCACATTTTATTATTTTAGTGTATTTAACCTAATTTAACCTAACCTAATCCAATCTTCTTATTACGCTTTCAAGACCGGTGAAGACCACGCTGTTGCATCATGGAGGAAAGAATAATTTTAAATAGTTTAGTTTCAAAGAACAATAAAACATTATTCAAGAATAATGGTCGCATTTTATGCGACGTAACGAACGTTGATACGAGTAAGTATTAATTTTAATGTAATATTTATATTTTTTATTTATTTATTTATGTATTTTATTTATTTTATTTTTTATTTATATTTATATTTCAACAAGATTTTGTACAATTCCTATAGCGTTAACGTAATTGACTTCAGGGTTTAAATTTGTCATTTTTGAAAATTTTCCGTTATTTACTTTCGCACTCAGAAAATACGCTCGGTTTATTAAACAAGATTGAAAAACCAGAGCACGAGCACAGCCCGAACGCATCCAATTTCAAATAAAGCATGCAAATAACACACCCTTTTTGTGCACATCACCTAAAACTGCAGCCCGTATCACAAACATGTCACTTTTAGCATGCTTTAGCCAATCATAATAAGTTATGGCTAATCATAATTTTTAATATTGGTTGAGAACCACTTAACACTTTCAGAACCTCAGTTGAAACGCAGTCAATATATTTAACAAATGCGAACTAAAAATTATAAATACACATATATATATATATATATATATATATATATATATATATATATATATATATATATATATATATATATATATATATATATATATATATATATATATATATATATATGTATATAATATTTAAAACACAATTAATTAATTAAACAATTACAATTTTATTACGCTGTGAAAAATGTAAAATTACTTTCAATATTTTAAAACTGCATATAGGTTATGTACTCATAACTCACAATTTTTTTATTTTCAAAATAATGTTATTTATTTTTTTAAGATTACTTACCTCACTTAATTAAATGCAACCAGCAATTTCAGCAATTATATTTAATTTATTTAATTTATAATTAAAAATTGAATCCCCCGTTGTTTAATTTTAAACAAAAAATTTTAAGAGCCGGCACCAAGAGAACGGAAACTGACGCAAACCAGTATTTTCAACTGCGCCTCAGCGACAGTTGGCAATACGTTGCGCGCGCATCCAAGTACAATAAATTTGCACTTGTACTTGGACTTGGTCTTGCATCTATTGTAGAACCTCCTTAAAATTTTTCTATTTTCACAATTTTCAATACTTTAATTACAAGATAATTTTCTATAAAAATTTTTATTTATTTTATTTTATTTCAATTTTACACGGGTTTTTAAATTTATAAAGAAGACAATTTTTTTAACTTATTATTATCAATTATTATTAATTAATAAATTATTTCAATTACTGGAAAAATACAAATTTTTTTTAAAATATTTTTTTCAACAATGAAGAAGAAAATTTTATTTTATTTTATAAATTATAGAAAAGCACGTGCATCCAGTGGTATAATATTAAAAAATAATTTCATCAGGAAATTCTGGATTAATATATATTTTTATTTTATTTTTATTTATTTATTTTTTTTTATTATTTTATAAATTTTAAAACGATCAATATTTTTTGTTTCCAAGCGTAGACAAATTCACTCCTATAATGAGTGACACAAATTTTTATATAAAAAAAATGTAATTTTTTAAAACTTTAAAAAAAAAAAAAAACTACATAAAACATGGTTAGAAAAAGAAAACGATTTACAAATTTATTAGAGAAAAAATTTTGCAAAAAAGTAACTTAAAAAGGTAATTAAAATTTGTTTCAAGAAATTTAGAAGTTAAAATTGTTTTTTAATTGTATAAATTTTCTTTTTTTGAAAAGAAAAGTTTTTGTTTGAAAAAATATATATAAAAAAATTGTAATATATTTTTTAAAGAATTTGAAAATTTTAACTTACCATAATGAGTGAAGAAAATTTATCACAAAATAATCCCGCAGAACCTGTAGCTAATGTATCTACAGTTGCGGAAGCAGCTCAACCTGAAGAACCAGATGAGCTTCGTCGAGGTTTTTTATATTATCAATTTTAAAATTTTTATTTTGAAAATGAATTTTTTTATTGTAACTGTATTATTATTATTATTAATTTTTATAATAATAATTATTATTATTATTATTGCATTATGTTAAGGTTAAAAATATCACCTTTGATTACAAAATAATTAAAAATTTTTTTTTAAATATTTGAAGAAACACAAATTCATGGAAATCATGTGCATTTCTCAGATTTACTTCAAAGGGAAAATGGATCATTGACAAGAAATGAGGGTATATAATTAAAAATTCTTGTTTATACCAATTTGCATTTATTTTGAAAAAAAAATTTTTTTAATTAAAACTAAAAAATTTTATTTTCTCATATTTAAAGCCCGTTTTCATCATGTGGGTAAATTTAATCTTCTAAGGAGATTAAAAGCATTAGATGTATTCTACGTCTGCGCAGAATGTTTGTTTCTGCGCAGACGCAGAATATATCTACTGCCTTTAATCTCTTGGAAGATTAAATTTATCCACACGGTGAAAATGAGCTCTTATAGTTTCTTATTTTCCTAAAATTAATTTTTACAAAATAGCAATGTTACACTAAGTATTCAAATTTTTAATAAATTTTTTTTTCTTTTTCTAACAAATTGTACTTTAATATTTTTTAAATTTATTTAATTAAAAAACATTTTTTTTTCACATTCTTTTATGAAATTAATTTTTTTTTTTGCATTAAAACAAAGTGACAATAATGGAGAATAAATATTATAATAATAATAATAATAATAATAATAATAATAATAATAATAATAATAATAAAAATAATAATAATAATAATAGTAATAAAATAAATAAATAATGGATTTTAGAAAATCGAAATGAATTGCCCTTAAAGTTGGAAAATACAAAAAAACCAAAGAACGAAATTACCGAGGAAATTGCAAAAGCTCTTAATTTTTATGAATCAAAAGACAATGAAATAATTCCATTTGCTGAAACTCTGACAAATACGGAACAAATAACAAAAAAATTTTATGATAAATTTACTCAAACATTTTTTAAATATATGAAAAATTTGTCAAATTCACGAGTTATGGAAATTATCAAACAAAATATTAATCACAGTGATGAGTCATTAATTTTCTTTTGCTCTGAAGATAATCTTCGATTTACTTTTTAATTCATAAAAATATTTATATAATATAAAAATAAAACAATGAGATAAAAATACAATTCTTTTTTTTTTTTTTATTAAAACGAAAAAAATTTACAAAAAATTAATTATTTTCGTTTTGAAAAATAAATTAATAATATCTAAACAATAATTTAATAAAAAAATATTGTAATGTATATTTTTTTAAAATACTTTTTAGTTCATATATTAAAAAAAAAATTTCTACTATTTCACTTTTTTTAAATAAAATATTAATATACAAGGAGAGATAAAGAAAAAAAAATTAGAATTTTATAAAAAAAAAAAAAATTATTTATTTTTCCAAGTGTTACAAAATATATATTCATTTTGTGACAAAAATGCATTTGCAATTATACATTTAAAAATTAATAATTACCTATACTTTAAATGAGAAAAGAATACTCATTCTAAAAAATAATTTCTCTTTTTTTCCTAACATATAATACTAACTATGCATTTAAAGTTTTTGAACTGTAAAAAAACTGAAGTACATTCGAAATAACAATCGAAAAACAGACATCAAATTTTCTAATATTAAGAACGAAGGGCAAATAATTTAACAAATAAACAATATTTTTAAAGAAAAAAAAATTCCCCTCATTATTTTGGTGCTAAAGAATCTGCTTTTTTCACCGTTGCTTCAATTGCATTTATTATTGAAGCTCTAAAAAATTAAAAATTAATTATAATTCATTATTATTTAAATATTTATAATATTAATAATAATTTAAATAATTAATAGATAATAGAGCTCGTTTTCACCATGTGGTTAAATTTAATCTTCCGAGAGGTTAAAGGCAGTAGATATATATTATGCGTCTGCGCAGAATGTTTGCTTCTGCGCAGACGCAGAATACATCTATTGCTTTTATCCTCTCGGAAGATTAAATTTATTAACACAATGAAAACGGGCTCATATAATAATAAAAAACAAAATTTTTTTAAATTTTGTAAATTAAAAATTAAATTTTTATTAAATTAGATATTTAATTAATTTTTTTTAAATTAAATTATCAATTTAATTTAATTCGTAAAATATATATTACATTTTTACCTAACAGATCCATTTTCAAGTTCATGCATCCCACAAATTGTAGTGCCACCGGGAGAGCAAACTTCATCTTTCAATTGTCCAGGATGTTTTTCCGTTTTTTGTACCATTTTTCCCGCACCAATTAAAACTTGAGATGAAAATTTCGTTGCTAAACCACGGGGAACTCCCATTTTTACAGCTCCATCGGAAAGAGCTTCAATCATGAGATATGCCTTGAAAATTATGAAAAAATTACAAATCTATTATTTTATAATTATTTCATAATACAATTTTTATTTCAAAAAAAAAAAACATATAAAATAATTATAATAATATAAAAGAAAAAATTCTCTTCGTTTAAAAAATTAAATAATAATTAAATAAAATTAAAATTACAAATGGAATATATTTCCGCAATGGTTTAGTAAATAAAAATCATAATTGAGTAAAGAAAATTTGAAATTTATAAAATAAATTCTTACAAAAGCGGGACCTGATCCACATAAAGCACTAAGTGCATTTATTAATGATTCAGGAACTATTTCAGTTAATCCAGTGCATGAAAATAATTTTTCTATCAAAACCCCATCAGAGGAATTTGTTCCATCTAAACAGTATACTAAAAAAAAGAATTATTGAAAATATTATTCAAAATCTGGATAATATTATTTTTTAAAGTAGGTATTTGTTTGGAATATTTGTTTAAAATTTTGTAGATATAATTATGGACAAACCTATTATTCCTTCACCAAGAGTAACAGGTGTATTAGGCATAGCTCTTACAATTCGTGGATTAATTGTAATTTCCTCAAGTTTCTAAAAAAAGTATTAGAATTAATTTTTTTTTTCGTATTTTACAATTTACAATAAAAATTAGGCATATTAATATCCCAAAAATTAAATTAGTCGGAATTTTCATTTCAAAGAATTTGTTATTTGATAGAATTTTTAAAATGCAGAATTTTCATTTGACCAAATTTGCAAATGACCGAACAAACAATCAACAGAAATAGATTTCGTGCTAATTTTAAAATTAACCAATCACAATATGATGATTTCTGATTGGTCAATTTTAAAATTAGCGCGAATTCTTTCTGTTGATTGTTTTTGTTCGGTCAAATGTAAATTCTGCATTTTAAGAATTCTAACAAATAACTTATTTGTCAAATAAAAATTCTTAAAAATAATGATTCGACGAATTATATAATTATTTTAAATAAAATAGTTGGTATCTTTGAAATCAGAAATTAAAAATTATTCTCTCAGGATCTTAGACGTGTAAAGGTTATGTTATGTAATAGAGAAATTTTAATATTTACAAGTTTTAATCTGGTTATTGGAATTCCAGCCAGAACAGATACAAAAACTTTATCCAAATAAGTTTTGCTTTCTAAGAATTGACAAACATCCTCTATCACAGCATCTAATACTTGTGGTTTTATTGTAAGAAATACAACATTTGACTTTTTAATTACTTCTCCATTCACCAAAGTGGTATTAACACCCAATGGAATCCATTTTTGTAAAGTATTTTCTGTTCGACTTGATACCCATATTTTTTTTGCATCAACAATACCTAGAAACAGCATTTTCTTTATTTTATATATATTTCTGAAGTTAGATTTCAAAGATTCAAAATGGTAGATCTAATATGGCGGAAGATTTAAAAAAAATTGATATCAAAAGGGATTTGGGGTCGCTAAAGCTGCTTCTACAATAATTTTTGTTTTCATCTATTTAAGCCTAAGAAACAACTGAGTCGGGTACTTAAAACGGATACGGAATAAGTACCATTTGCATACATTTTGAGGTTAGGAGACCCATATGTCGAAGAAAAAAAGTTATAGAAGCAGCTTAAAGGCCTAACCAAATTTCAGTTGGTTTCCATTGTCCCCACTCACCATTTGTCATAATTCTCGTCAACTACCGCACCCTGCTCTAGTAAAAATTTAGTAAATTGTTAAAATTAAAAGTTACTATAAAGTTACTAAATTTTTACTAAAGCAGGGTGCGGTAGTTGACGAGAATTATGACAAATGACTAGTGGGCTATCTTCCTATGCTGTCTTTCCGGTTTAACGGTATTTTGAAAAGTCGTGACACTTCTATATTAATTTTATTAGTTCGTGGCATTCGTTACATCATAAACCATGAATTAATAAAATTATTATAGAAATATTAGGATTTGTTACGAGCCGAGTTACTTTTTATTACGCAATTCTAAAAATGGAATATGATTGGCCGAATTCTCTTTAGTTAAATCCTTTAAGAAGGAAGCGGGAAGGTTTAAATAAAAGATTATTAATATCCGATACAACGGAAGGGAAATCCGTTCCAACAAAGAATAATTATTAGTTCTTCATTCGAAGGTAAAACCCTGTAAATTTATTAATATAATAAAATACAAGTTGACTAAGGAGTTTAGAAAACAACCTTTCAAGTCAAAGTCAAGATTAGAACTAACTTAGAGAGCTTTTTGGGCCCAGCGGAGTCGCTCTCCGCTTTTGGTCCATTTTGAGTTTGTGCGCATGCTTCACTATTCGCTACTCCTATATGATGAATTTCACATCAAAAGTCCAGGCAAAAAAAAGTTTTTATCCAATCTATTCCCAAGTTTTTTTTCAGTTGTCCTATATGTTGGTAATTTATCAGCCAAGTATTTTTGAATTTTATAAAAAATTAGCAGTAGGGGAGGGGGTAAAAGTTTTGAGTTTTTCGCTGACACGCCATACTTTGTTTATTTATTATACTTAAACGAAAAAATAATTTCTGGGCATGATTCCTTTAGATTTTTTCATAACCTTTCGATTGACGTTGTACATTTTGAAAAAAAAAATTTTTTTGACCAAAATTTTTGAAAATTAAAAATAAATTTTAATTTTTATCATCTTCGGGCACGTTTTTTTTTATTTTATTTTTATTGGAAAGATAAGATTTTTTTCCACAAAATACTTAATTTTCAAAAAACCGTTTTTTTTTGTTTCCGAAAAATGAAATTTTGAAAATCGCGCTGCAAGTCAACGTGAAGCCACTCTGCCTCGCGCCACTCTATTCAGCAATGTGCGTAAATAGTTTATGGTTAGAACGTTATATTGAACTTCTCTCTGCATTTTACAGGGTTGAGACTGCCATTAAAATAATATAATGCCTGCATTATAGTTCTTTTTTTAATGTTGTAATTTTTGTAATTTTTTTATTTTTAAACATTTTTTATTAAATAAATTTTTTAAACATGTGTTTTTGCCAATAGGTTTTTTTTATCTTTTTTTTATTTATCGTTTTTTTACCCTTTACTATTTTCGTATTCGTTTGTGTTATTTTTGATTTTGAAACTTTATTTTGATTGCTTTTTGGAACTTTTTTCTTTATAATCTTTGATTCTAAAGGAATCATGTCCAGAAATTATTTTTTCGTTTAAGGTATAATAAATAAACAAAGTATGGCGTGTCAGCGAAAAACTCAAAACTTTTACCCCCTCCCCTACTGCTAATTTTTTTTGATGTGAAATCCATCATATCAATTATTAATTAATTAACAATATTATTTACACTTATATACAAATGTGTAAATATACTAAAACATGTGCATAAACAATTATTTAATTATTTATTGGTTTATTATACAAAGCATTTCAAGACTAAACCATATTGAATTTTAAAAATCTGACTTTAAATTCGTAATCAGCAACCCCCAAAAACCCTACAAAACGTTTTTTAAAAAATTGACCGACCTATTGGATCCACCATTTTGAATTTTTAAAATCTGACTTTAGATTCGTCATCATCGACATCAAAATTAATAATAAAAATTTAAAAAAATTAAAAACATATTTTCATTTGTTTAAATAAAATTGTTTATATTTTTTTAACAAATTACATAATTTTTTCAAAATAATAAATATATCCACCGCAAATTAATTTTTCAAATAATAATTTAGATGAGAAAAATTCATAGTATATTGATCGATAGAAATAAATAATAATTTGTAAAATTCACGGAAAAAAAAATTAATTATATACTTATTCGACAGAATTCTATGTCCACTTGTTGATGTAAATAATACATAATTTTCACATGACAATATACAAAAACCTACCTTTTTCTATAAAACATGTTGCTAAAGCTCTCGCCATATTTCCTCCACCAATAAAGCCTATAGTTTCTAATATACAATCCATATTAATTATATTTTTAAATTACAACTGTTAAAAGCCGAAAAATAGTATTTCCTTTTTTATTTGTTTTATTTTTGTTATGAAGGTGTTAAACACGAGGAGAAAAAAATATGTATGATTAGAATAGATTTGAAAACTAGTACACTGAGAAAATGTCCTTTTCTTTGCTATTACATTGTGTTTACAAATGAAACCGTATGTATGATAAAAGCGCTGGTAATACAGAATGAGACATGCATGAATTTTTTCCAAATTTCAAAATGGCCTAAAACTTAATTGACCTAAATTCAATTGGCCAAAAAGTCGTGTAAACTAATTATTACTTGGCAATCTAATCCTCATTTGTACTAATCCTCATTTGTACTAATAGTCATTTGGCATAATCTTAATTTAACCTAATTCTTATTTAACTTAATATTTATCTGCCCTAAATATCACTTGGCCTAAATTTTCTGTAATCTAATACTTTTTTTAGCCTCATTTTTAAATGACCTGATCATTACTTTGGCCTAAACACAATTTCACATAATTATCATTTGAAATAATTTTCATCTGGCCTATTTCTCATTTGGCCTAATCATAATATAACCTAATTGTTATTTCTTCTAATATTTATCTGACCTAATTCTCATTTGGCCTAATTGTTACTTGTTCTAATATTAAATCTAATATAATTTTAAACTGGCCTCTGCTAATCTTAATGTATTAACCTAATTCTCTTTTGGCTTAATCCTCATTTGATCTAATTCTCACTTGGCCTAAATTTCATTCGTCACTTGTTCATGAACGCAAAGCATGAGAGAGAAAATGACAAAACATATTTTTGTTCTTTTCTCTCTTATGAGTCACGTTCATAAGCGGGTGATAAATGAAGTTTGGGTCAAGTGAGAATTAAATCAAACAAGGATTAGGCCAAAAGAGAATTAGGTTACATTAAGATTAGGCCAGTTTAGAATTATATGTTTGATTAATATTAGAACAAGTAACAATTAGGATATAATGCAAAATTAGGCCAAATGAGAATTAGGTCAGATAAATATTAGAAAAAATAATAATTAGGTTATAGTATGATTAGGCCAAATGAGAATTGGATTTATGAAGATTAGATCAAATGAAAATTAGTTTAAGTGGCATTTAGTCTAAATGATAATTAGGCCAAATGAAATTTATTTCAAATAATAATTATGAGAAATTGTATTTAGGCCAAAAAGTATTGAGGCTAAAAAAGTATTAAGTTATACAGAAAATTTAGGCCAAGTGAGATTTAGGGCAGATAAATATTACGTTAAATAAGAATTAGGTTAAATTAAGATTATGCCAAATGAGAATTAGGTCAAATGATAATTAGTACAAAGCAGGATTAGATTGAATAAAGATTAGGATGAATAATATAATTAGGTTATACAGATTAGGCCAAGTAATAATTAATTCATACGACTTTTAGGCCAATTGAATTTAGGTCAATTAAGTTTTAGGCCATTTGAAATTTGGAGAAAATTCATGCGTCTCAATTTTAATTGATAATAGTAATAAAATTACACTATGTGTCTAATAGAAAAAATTTCATGAAATGACTAAGTCTCATTATACCGATAACGAAAACAGCAAAATTTCTATTTTGAATCTCCCCTCTTTGTTCACCTGTCAATTAATAATTTATTAACGGATAACTGTTTACAAGTCAGTGGGTCACGTGACTCATAACGTTAGTTGGTTGTGATTGATTTTCAATACAAACCATTTGATATTGAATTTCTTTTTAATGATAGAATTTTAATACAAATATTTGATAAATAGGTACTTATTAATTTTTTTTTCGGATACAAGTTGATATTTATAAAGTATTACAGTTTCATTTAGTATTAATTTTGATAGAAATTTTATCCAAATGCTTGATAGAGAAATGATTAAATTTTCCACTTCACTGAAAAAAAAACTAGTAGGTTTTACTACTTTTTAACTATATACTCTGAGTAGTACAATATATCCTCAACTGAATTTAAACGGTTCTATTATAACTATATAAAAATAGTTAAACCAATTAAAAATGTAATTGGTAGAATGATTCATCATCCTCTCTCCTATACTGACGCTTATTTTATGCCCTAACGATTATGTACCTAACAGAGAAAATTTCTAACCGACGGGAATTGAACCCTCGACCCTAACGCTCCCAATCCGATACCTTAACCGACTAACCACGCACACTCGCTACGATAGTTTGCAAACTACTCGAAGACTACTTTCTGCTTGTCCAATTGGTAATTTAACTATTTAAAGTAGTCATTTTTACTAATTTTATTAGTTGCTATAACTATTCTTTTTAAGTTTTGACTTGTAAATTTTTCATCTTTTAATTATATTATAAGTTGTTTAATTGCATAGTGCAGTAAAATCTACTACTTAAAGTGATAGTTTTAATTGCAAAGGATTTTTTAATTCTACGACATAAATGTTATATATTAAAGCCTATTGAACCACTTTAAGTAGTAAAAGCTACTACTGAAAGTAGTAGTTTTAATTGGAAACGATTTGTAAATTTTACATCAAAAACGTTTTTCAAGCTTATTGAATTAATTAAAATAGTAAAAAATTACTACTTAAAGTAGTAGTTTTAATCACAAAGGATTTGTTAATTCTACAACAAAAATGTTCTTAAAGCCTATTGTGTACCACTATGAGTAGTAAAATATACTACTTAAAGTAGTAGTTTTAACTGGAAACGATTTGTAAATTCTACATAAAAAATTTTCTTCAAGTTTATCGAATTAATTAAAATAGTAAAAATCTACTACTTAAAGTAGTAGTTTTAATTACAGACGACTTGTTAATTCTACAACAATAATTTTATTGAAGCCTATAAAATCATAAAAATTAATTAAAAAAATTGACTACTCAAAAAGCAGTTATATTAATTAAAGAAAATAATTCCTTTTACTACATTTCATATATAACTGGTGAATAGTAGTTGGATTTACTACTCTTCAAATTTTAAGTTGACTACAATTCCACTTGTTTTTACTACCTTAACAAAGTTAATTTTACTACCGACCTGTAGTTGTACTTTAACTAACATATTTACGTAAAATCAACTATTACTTATTAACTTCTTAAAAATAGTTACATTAACTACATGAACATGATTAGATTAACTAAAAAAGTAGTTATTTTAACTACTTTCTAATCAACTACCCAATGGTAGTTGAATTTCTCGGCAACATTTTTTTCAGTGTTGAAAAGGATAGAAAGTTTCAGTATTTGATAAATTTTGATTGAAATATCAATTCTTAGATTATAGAAATTTTTTTGGGGTGGTATACGAATTCAACACAAGAAAATACTGTACCGCTAACTGTACACGAGTAAATTCTCAACAAAATTAAATAATTAAATATATTCTACACAATTAAATACTACATCGAAAAGCCCTATACACAATACTACATCAGTAAATTCTAGACAGTTATAAAAAATAAAAAATTAAATTCAACACATGAAAATAATCTTTTCTTTATTTCGGATAATTTTTAATTTTTTATGTCTTGAATTTAATTGTGTCGAACTTAATTTTTTTTTATAGCTGTGTAGAATTTATACTGATATAGTATTTATTTGTGTAGAATTATAAAAAAAAAATTATTTTTCTAATTCTAAATATGAATGTGTTGAGTTTATTTGCGTATAGAGTTTATGGAGTGAATTTTCTAGTTAATAGTTTATTGTTTAGGGGTTTTTCGATGTAGTATTTAATTGTGTAGAATATATTTAATTATTTATTTTTGTTGGGAATTTACTCGTGTAAAGTTAGCGGTGTAGTATTTTCTTGTGTAGAGTTTATTTTGTGTTGAATTCGTATGGTCGAAAATTTTTTTTACATATTATATTTTGAATTCTAAAGACGCTTTTTACCAAAGTCAAAAGATCGATCAGGATTTTTAGGAAATAAAGAGTTTTTACATTCACATCATTTTAAGAAAAAATATCTATCGTTTATTCCTTACATTATTATTTACAAATTAAACATTAACCCTTTACCGTTTATATGCTATCCCCGCTTGAGAAGCAAGCAGCATGACAGTTGAATCACGTGGAAAAAGTCAGGGCCGTAATAAGTCAGTTTTAATTTTTAGGTTATGTTTACATTTTGATTTATAAATAATAAAACAGGGTGTCTAACGGTCAGGGAAAGTCAGGGAATTTCAGAAAATTTCATTCAAAGTCAGGGAAATTTCTACAAAAATTAAAATTTTTTGTGAATTTAAAAATTTTTTAATCTAAAAAAACTTGAATAGTTTTTATTACCATTTTTTACTACTATTAGAAATTAATTTATTGTTAAATATGTCAGTAACCATATTTTTGTCCAAAGAAAGCAGAAATAAGGTTATTAAAAAAGTCAGGGAAAAAATCAAAAAATGTCAGGGAGAAGTCATAGAAAAGTCAGGGAATTTTTTTCTCAATCCTTGTTAGACACCCTGTAAAAAGTCTTCAACAAAGAAACTTATCTTTTTATAATTGAATAATAGTTTCACGTGATTGCACTTTAAAAAAAAAATTCATATCTTTAGCTTCTAAAATAAGAGTGTTTTAATATTATTTATTTTTAAATATAATCGAATTTCATTTTTATTTATGTACAGTCTATTTAAAGGGTTAATTAGATTTAAACATTCCTGCTTCTCGAAGTTCCTTTCTTACCACTTTGTAAAAATTATAAAAGCATCCTCCAGCGCATCTAAATTTTTTAAATTTATTTTCAAAACTGGAAACATAAAAACGATCAGGATTCTCAGAAGGAAATAATTCTAATGCCAAGTCTCTTAATTTTACAAAGACTTTAGTTTTTATTCTAAAAATAATTAATAAAACAAAAATTAGAAACAAATAAATTAAGATAATGCGTATATATATATATATAAAAATTAAACTTACTTATAATTAATTGGATCCTCTGCTATTTCTTTATAAATTATTAATTTTTTTAATCTTGTATAATCAAGAACCCCTGTGTTCTTGTATATTCCTAATAAAACTTTTCCTTCTAATGAGGAATTTAAAAATTTGTATAATTCATTTTCAACGAAGGTAAATGTTTCTGAAATAAACAAAAAAAAATCAATTTTAATTTTTAAATTACATTTTTTTAATGCATTAAATTTAAACTCTTTTACCGTGATTCCAATTCACAGGTTTGACTTGTGTTTCATTATAGAAATCATCACTGATATAATTATCTGTATCATAATCGTCGCATTCTACTTTTATTTCTTCAATAGGAAGAGTGTCGGGTAAAATTTCTTCCTCCGACATGTTTCAAAGGATTTAAATATATATATATAAATTTTCCAATCTAATTCATTTTTAAATTCTTGTTTCGTTGATTTTTTTTTTCATTTTCAACTAGGTGTGGAAAAAAAATAAATTTTTACATTTTTATTAATGAAAGCTGAAAATGAAATATAATTTTGATTAATATTAAAACGTAAAAATTTAATTATATAATTTAATTTAAAGAACGAAGCTGAAGTACGCATAACTTTTATGATAAACGATTTTTAAAGAAATCATTTTTTTAAAATGAAAAATTCTCTAATTCTTTGTTTAAAAAATATTTCTTGTAATTTTTTCATTAATCAACAAATTATAAAAAAAATATTTTTTAGGCAAAAAATTAAAAAATTTGTCATTTTTTTAAAATTATTTCTTTAAAAATCGTTTATCATAAACGTTGGGTACTTCAGCTTCGTTTTAAAGAGCCGTAAAAAATTCTCTTCACAGATGTTTTAAAAATAATTCTAAATTTAATACTTTTGGAATTAGAAAAAAAAATAGAAATTTTTATTTTTTGTTGTAACTTCTCAAAACTTAAATAATTAGAAACGACTTAAATTATTTTCCGAATTATTTATAATAAAATAAAAGTATTAAAAAATAATTTTTTAAGAAAGCAAAAATGTTCACGATATCACTTAATTTTTAATTCTTTTTTTTTACCAATTTTTTATTCGTAACAAAATTTTGATTAAAATTATTAAAAGTTAAAATAAAAAAAAAATCGTTGAAATCTTGTCCTAAATAAATAATACTTTGATTTTAAAAAATTCATGATTTTAAATATACTAACATTTTTGAGTAATATATCAAAATTAAAAATTCGTGTTTATTATTTTTGTCATCGTGTCCCGTCAGACATTTTTTTTTTAAGAGTGAAGTCAGTCGTTATTAAATATAAAAAGAACGTTTTTTTTGTTTTGTATAGTTTTTTTTATATGGAAATTATTTAATTAAATATGTGATACCTAACTAGAAAAAATTTTTATTGAGCAAAGAAATGTTCCTTGATTTTGCGTTTTATGATTTTTGACATATTTTAGAATAAAAAAAAAAAAAATTTTTTTCAACATTTCAAAGATTTTATTTTAATTAAAAAAAATTAGGTTCATATTGACGATTTTTTTATTTTTACCCATAAATTATTCAACAAAATATATAAAAATTGTATCTATATAGGTTATGTACGGAAAAAAGCGAAATTTTTGTCAAACTCAAATTTGGTTTCATGTATTTTGTGCAGAGGTAAAAAAATGACAATTTTGGTTAAATAATATATTTTTGGAAATTTTATTATGATCTATATTTTGGGCAATTTTTATTTAAATATAAAATTATACTTAAAATAAATATGTCATTATATATATACATATATAATCGATACAAAAAAATAAAAGTAATAAATAATTTAAATATAATACTTACATATTAAAGTAGATTTGTAAAATAGAAATTCATGTGGAATTAAATTGTCAATTTGTAGAATTTTAAATTTACTATATAATAATAAACAGCAAGTAACATATAGAACGTAGATAAGAACGTTTATGTAAAATTTATATCTTCTCAAATATTGTGCGCGCTATCTGGTGATAAGAATTTTAAACAATCATTGTTTTGAAACAGTAATCGAAAAATGAAAGATACAATCACTCCTGTATCAGCTGTCAAACGAGTAAAATTGTTTTAATTTATAATAATATATTTAATAAACTAAGTTATGTGAAAAGTGAAAAAAAAACTATGCAAGAAATTCGTTATATTTTATCCGAAACTCAAGAAATAAATTCAGTACTCTATAATCCAATAAATGCGACTCAACGAATAAAGGTATAGGTTATATGTATTTTTTTCCCCAATATTATTTATTTTGTCACATGAGCGAGAGAGTATATAATGAGGAGAGTCTTTTAACATCGTTAAAAAACAAAAACAACAGAAACAGAAATAATTAGTCTAGGTGTGAGATATTTTTTTCCAATATTATAGTTTATTTACAAAATTAATTCAGGCCTCGGATTATACGACTTTTTTCAACTTATTTTAATAAAATGCGACTTTTTTTTACATTTAAAAAAAAAATTTTTAAACAAAATACATTTTTTTAGTGTACAATGCAAATCTTCTTTAGATCTTCTTTATTTCAATTATTTAACAAACTTTTAACTAAAATTCTTCACTAAATTAATTATTTTTAATAATTTTAATTAAATTCTTCACAAATTCAATTACCTTAAACTATTTTTCAATTCAAATTTTTATGAAATTTAATAATTGTTTATAATTTCAAAAAAAAAAAAGAAAAAAAATTAGCAAATAAAATTACTAGAAATTTTTAATTTAAAATCACTTGAAATTTAATTATTCAAAAATTCATTTATCTGAATGCAGTTTTCAATTAAAAACTTTTGGAATTCAATTTTTTTATGTGATTTCTAATAAATTCTTCATCAACAGAAATCACTAGAAATTTCTTTTATTATAATTTATTATTGTCTGAAATTTAACACAATTTTTGGAATTTCAATTATTTTAAAAAATTTCAATTTAAAAGCTTCTAAAATTTAATTATTTCTACAATTTTCCATCTAAAATTTTTTGAAATTTTAATATTTCTAAAAATTTCCAATCAAAATCAATTAAAATTCAATTATTTTCAAAAATTTCAATTTAAAAGCTTCTAAAATTTAATTATTTCTACAATTTTCCATCTAAAATTTTTTGAAATTCAATTATTTCTAAAAATTTCAAATCAAAATCAATGAAAATTCAATTATTTTCTAAAATTTTCAATTCTAAATCAATTAAAATTCAATTATTTTCAAAAATTTCACTTTAAAAGCTTCTAAAATTTAATTATATCTACAATTTTCCATCTAAAATTTTTTGAAACTCAATTATGTACTCCAAAAATTTCAAATCAAAATCAATTAAAATTCAATTAAAATTTTCAATTCAAAATTAATTAAATTTCAATTATTTTCAAACTTTTAAAATCTGAATTAATTAAAATTCATTTTTTTAAAAAAATTTCATTTGAATTTCATTTATTTTGAAAATTTTCAATTAAAATTCAAATTTTTTCAAAAATTTCAATTTAAAAGCTTCTAAAATTTAATTATATCTACAATTTTCCATCTAAAATTTGTTGAAACTCAATTACTTCAAAAAATTTCAAATCAAATCAATTAAAATTCAATTATTTTCAAAAATTTCATTTTAAAAGCATTTAAAATTAAATTATTTCTACAATTTTCTATCTAAAATTTTTTGAAATTCAATTACTTCTAAAAATTTCAAATCAAAATCAATTATAATTTAATTATTTTAATAAATTTCAATTTAAAAGCTTCTAAAATTTAATTATTTCTACAATTTTCCATCTAAAATTTTTTGAAATTTTAATATTTCTAAAAATTTCCAATCAAAATCAATTAAAATTCAATTATTTTCAAAAATTTCAATTTAAAAGCTTCTAAAATTTAATTATTTCTACAATTTTCCATCTAAAATTTTTTGAAATTCAATTATTTCTAAAAATTTCAAATCAAAATCAATGAAAATTCAATTATTTTCAATTATTTTCAAACTTTTAAATTCTGAATTAATTAAAATTTAATTATTTTCGAAAATTTCAATTGAATTTCATTTATTTTGAAAATTTTTAATTAAAATCCAATTATTTTCAAAATTTTCTATTTAAAATTAACTAAAATACAATTATTTTCAAAATTTTCTACTTCAAATTAATTGTTTTCCAAAGTTTCAATTGAAATTCAATTATTTTCCTAATTTTCAAATATATCCTAAAAATTAAATTATTGTGCAAATGTTTAATGGTAATAAATTAAAATTGAAATTCAATTTTTCTAAAATTTAACTATGTGTTATCATTTTTTTCCTAAAACATAAATTATTTTCATTTCTGTTAAATTTTATTTATTCTTTCAAAATTAACAAAATTTTTTGAAATTCAATTATGTCTAAAAAATTTTTGATAATGTTCTTATATAGAATTAATAAAATGAATTTTATATGTAATAACATTAGTTATTGAAAGTAAAATATTCATTACCCAATTAAAATTTTTTTTTAATTTAAAAAAATCGACTTTTTTTCGAATATAAATCGACTAAAACGTCTTTTAATGTGCCTTGAAGTCGATCCAAGGCCTGTTAATTTAAAAAATAATTCAAAGTTGTCATATAGGGTAAGTGTACCAATTACGGCGCGTTCATAAAAAATAACTATTATTACTATTATATTTAATATAACTGTTGCAAAATGATTTTAAAAAATTATTTTAATTTTTTTTGATACAATTACTAATAAAAATGCACATTTAAAGAATTATTAATTTAATTATTTGAGATAAAAATTTTGTCCCTCGCCGTAATTGAAACATTTTTAAGAATTCCATTGGCTCCAATTACGGTGGGCAAAATATATTTAAAATACACGTAATTTTGGTCACCGTAATTGATACAGGGTGAAAATTTCCCAACTGGGCCACCTTAAACTGACTTTTGAAATTTTAAATATATTTTTTTTAAAAAATTAATTATTTAATTCTATATTAACAATTGAATATTTTGTTAACTTTTTACTAAATTTGCAATTACTCTGTTGCTTGTTAATGAAATTTAATAAAATTTTGTGAGTATATAGAAAAATTATGTCTATTTCTAATCCTCTTTTTGCAAAAATTAAGATTGTTTTAAATAAAACTTCTGCAATCTTAATATTCTACAAGACAAAGTTTCAATTAAATTTGAAATTCGATTAAATAGAATTTTTGTCAAATTAATTTTTGTTTTTTTTTTTTATTTGTAACAAAATATAGCTTGGTAAAGTTTATAATAGAAAGTTTCCATAATTATTCTCAATTGCAAAATATATTGTAATAATAATATTCTAATAATATATTTAAACTAATTTTAATTAATATAATTAATTGGATATTATTATTATTATTATCATATCCACAGTATACTTGCGTTGCTGTTTCTTCAAATTTAATTGTTCTCGGATCAACGAGTGGAAGTCTATATTTATTCAAAAGAGAACCATGCACTTTTCAACAACTCATTCCACTTTCGGTAATAAATAATGTTAAATAAAATTATTTTTTATTATAAAAATTTATTATTAAATTATTATTATTATTATTATTATTAGGAAGGAGCTGTGTCTCGAGTCGAGATATCACCTGACGAAAAAGCAATTGCTTTTGGTACAATTCGTGGTTGTGTTTGTCTCGTTACATTTAAACCTACAATAAAATTAATCGCAGTTTCCACTGAGCATATTGGAGAAAAAATAACAAATCTCTGCTGGAATGATAATAGCTCTGAACTTTATATTGGAGACAGCGTTGGCAAAGTGTCTGTTATGGTTCTTTCATTTTTTACGGTAATTTTCTTGTTAAAAACACACACAAAAAAATTTTAATTATATGCAATAAAGAAAAAAAAAATTAGTAGCAGTTTTATAGACCGTTAAAAATATAAATAAATAAATAAATGAAAAATTAAATTAATAGCAACATATATACCTATCGAAATAAATATAAATATTTATTAATAATTTTTTTCAAACAGGTAAATGGAATGTTTCAAGTGCCAAATTGTACATTAATGCAACTTGATTCAACTATTGTACAATTAAATTTTTCATCTCCCCTTTTACTTATTTCAACTCTAACACGTTGTTATATTTGCGATACTATTCTCGAGCATTATAAACAAGTTGGAAATAAAATACGTGACGGTGAATATGGTGCATGTTTTTTAAAGAGGCCATACGATGGTGAAAAATCATCAAAAACAATTGAAGAGGAAATTGTTTCACGAAGAAGAACATTCAGTCTCAATACTGAGAGTGAGAATTCAATTTTAAATGAAAATCATTTTAAAATTTTTTCTGCTAGGCCAAGTTCAAGAATTTGGGAAGTCACGACAAATGGAGTTGTTATTAAAACACATCAATTTAAGGATGCACTGTCAATTCCTCCATTGCCAGTTTATAAAATATCAAAAATATTACAGGTAAAAATTTGAATCAAAATTTTATGGATTACATGATTATGTTTTAAAAATTATTTGTTAGAATTTTTATTTTATTGAAATTGTCATAATTATTTTTTGAGGCGAATTTTTATTTCTTCGAATTAGTATTTTGCAGGAATTTTCATCATAACGATTTTTCTATATTAGAGAATTTTATATATGTAACCGAAAATTCACTTCACATAATTTTTATTTGTTCAAATTTTTATTTATCAAAATTTTTATTTGCAAATATTTCAATTATTTGACATATTTTTAACAAAAATTCTTCACTAAATGAATTATTAATTATTATTAATAATTTTAATGAAATTCTTCCGAAATTCAATTTAAATTATTTTTCAATTAAAATTTTTATAAAATTTAATAATTGTTTATAATTTTAAAAATATTAGCAAATAAAATAATCAACAATCTTTAATTCACAATCACTTCAAATTTAATTATTTTTAATAATTTTTTATAATATTCTTCGAAAATTCAATAATCTGAAAGCAGTTTTTAATTAAAAACTTTTGGAATTCAATTTTTGTATGTGATTTCTAATAACTTCTTCATCAACAGAAATCACTAGAAATTTCAATTTTTGTCTGTAATTTCTAATAAATTCTTCAATTATTTTCAAAAATTTCAATTCAAAATCAATTAAAATTCAATTACTCCCAAAAATTTCAAATCAAAATCAACTAAAATTCAATTATTTTCCAAAATTTCAATTGAAATTCAATTATTTTAAAAATTTTTATTCAAGATCAATTAAAATTCAATTACTCCCAAAAATTTCAATTGAATTTCATTTATTTTGAAAATTTTCAATTAAAATTCAATTATTTTCAAAATTTTCTATTTAAAATTAACTTAAATTCAATTATTTTCAAACATTTAAATTTAAAATCAATTAAAATTCATTTATTTTCAATTATTTGGCAAAATTATAAATTCTTAACTAATTAAAATTGAATTATTTTTGAAAATTTCAATTGAATTTGATTTATTTTGAAAAATTTCAATTAAAATTCAATTATTTTCAAAAATTTCAATTTAAAAGCGTCTAAAAATAAATTATTTCTACAATTTTCCATCTAAAATTTTTTGAAATTCAATTACTTCAAAAAATTCCAAATCAAAATCAATAAAATTCAATTATTTTCAATTAAGTATTTGGCAAAAATTTAAATTCTGAATTAATTAAAATTCAATTATTTTCAAAAATTTCAGTTGAATTTCATTTATTTTTGAAAATTTTCAATAAAAATTCAATTATTTTCAAAATTTTCTATTTAAAATTAACTAAAATACATTTATTTTCAAAATTTTCTACCTACTTAAAATTAACTAAAATTCAATTATTTTCAAAAATTTAAATTTTTAAACTTCTAAAATTTTCCATGTAAAATTTTTTTGAAATTTATTATTTTCAATTACAACTCTTCTGAAATTCTATTATTTTTAATGATATTTATAATATTCTTCGAAAATTTAACTATATCTGTAACCATTTTTTGCTTAAAAAGTTTTCAAATGATTATATTTTTGTCTGCAATTTCTTTTAAGTTTTTTAGTGAAATCATCAAAAATTTTAAATTAAAAATCACTTGAAGTTTAATTACTTTTGAAAAATCTCATCTAAAATTATTTAATAAATTATTTTTAGTTCCGTAAAATTTAATTATTCCTTGAAAATTAACAAAATCTTTTGAAATTCAATTATTTCTAATAATTCTTGATAATGTTCTTATATAGAATTATTCTCATTACAGAATTAATAAAATGAATTTAATATCTAATAACATTAGTTATTTAAAGTAAAATATTCATTAACCAATTAAATTTTGTTAAAATTGAAAAAAATCGAATTTTTTTAAATTATAAATCGATTAAAACGCCTTTTTTTGTCCTTTAAAAACGTTCCAAGGCCTGTAATAGGGATTTTAAACAATTTTTATTTTATAGAATTTCATTGCATAGAATGAATCTTTTAGATGAATTTTCATTTGTTCGAATTAGTTTATTTGTTTGAATTTCCATATAACCAATTTTTCATAATACAGAATTTTTACTTAACCGAAAAATCATTTTAACAGAATTTTCATTTGTCCGAAATTGCAAATGACCGTAACAACAATCGATTTTGGCGCGATTTTTAAAATCAACCAATCAAAAATTATCCATAAAATTGTGATTGGTTGATTTTAAAAATCGCGCCAAAATCGATTGTTTCTTCGGTCATTTGCAATTTCGGACAAATGAAAATTCTATCAATTAGAAATTCTGTTAAATGATTTTTTGGTTAAGTAAAAATTCTTTAGTATAAAAAATCGATTATATGGAAATTCAATTAAATAATAATTCGAACAAAATGAAAATTCATCTGAAAGAATAAAATGAAAATTCTATGCAATGAAATTCTACCCAATAAAAATTCTTTAAAATATGCCTATTATGTTAAATGAAATATCGAGCAAATAAAAATTCTGACAAATAAAAATTCGAACAAATAAAAATTCTTTAAAATGAATTTACGATTATATAAAAATTTTGTAATATAGAAAATCGTTTTGATGAAAATTCCTGCAAAATACTAATTCGAACAAATAAAAATTCGGCTCAAAAATAATTAAATTCCATAAAATGAAAATTCTAACTAATAATTTTTAAAACATAATCATGTGTCCCAACTTTTGGCTCATTTAAATATTCGCAACTTGAAAAATTAAATAAATATTATTTAGATGGATAACGATCGTTCCTGTCTTCCGCAATCGCTCATGTTTTCCCAACTCTCATCAATAAATGGCGAATTTTTATTTGCCTATACAACAACAGGATTATATATTTTAGATCCAATAAATGCTTCCGTTATTTTGTGGAATAATGAATTTTCCATTTCGGAAGCTCACGTTATTAATAATGAAATTTACATTATAACGCAATCGGGAAAATTTTTATGTCTCACACTTTGTACAATTGATTCGTTAATTGTCAATTTATATGATAAAAAACTTTATCAAGACTGTTTACAAATCTCAAAAATATTTCGAAATCGTGCAATAAAAGAATTAGAAAATAAAAATCAATTGAATTACGATCAATTGGAATTAATTTACGATATTGAATTAAAATCAGAAAATTCTAGTCCTCATTTAAATGCCATTAGGGAAATACTTCCATTAATTCATAGTCTTCGTACGACTTTAAATCAACCAAAGAAACTTGAATCGGGAATTGTATTGGTAAATTCGGGAAGTTCAAAAAATAGTCCCGAACCATCGGTAAGTTTTAAAAATAGTCCCGAATTGGAATTTATCGAAAGACAAAACAATGATGATGATGATGATGATGATGATGATGATGATTTTATTTCCAATGATTTGGATTTGACGAGCGAGGAAATTGTCATGAGATCCGGGAGGGAGGAAAAAAAAAGAAATAAAGAAGAAAAACCAATGGAAAAGGATAAAAGAGAGACAATTCTTCATGAAACAATGTGTAATCTTCAAATGGAACTTAAATCACTTCATCGACTTGTCGAATCATTAAAATTTTCGACGGATAATGAAGAAATTGAACAAATATTAATTAAAGTCGCCGACATGATAAAGGAGATAAAAAATAGGTAAATTTTTGAAAAAAATATACATATATTTTTCATAAAAAACTTTTTTTTAGAGTTTTAGGGCCGAAATTCTCATAAAGAGAAAAATCTTCGAAATCTATTTTCGAAAAATCCAATTATTTAAAAAAATGATTATCTAACATTATTTAATAAATAAATAAATAAATAATTAAATTATTAATAAATTATTTTTAATTCTGTAAAATTTAATTATTTTCTAAAATTTAACAAAATCTTTTGAAATCCAATTATTTCTAAAAAAATTTCAAACTCTTTAAAATTCAATTATTTATTGTTAATAATTTTTTAATAATATTCTTCTAAAATTTAATTATTTAAAAATGTTTTTTTTTAAAAAAAAACTACAGCAGTTAAAATTTTCAGAAAATTTATTTTAAAGTTAAAATTTTCTGTAATTCAATTATTTAAAGAAAAATTTAATTTAGAATTTTGTAAAACTTAATTAATGTCCGATTTTTTTTTTCATTATTACAACTAGAAACAGTATCGAAATTTTTAAATCGAATAAATTGCTTAAATCAAACTAAATTTTTAAAATTGAACTTCAAGAATTTTTTTTTTCCTAGAAATTTGTCCCATTTAATTATTGAAAATTTGTCTTATTTCTGAAATTTGATTTGAAATTCAATTTTTTGAAATTATTTTTAGAAATAATTGAACTTTGAGTGATTTTTGATTGAAATTTTTTGTGATTTCTGTTGCTGAAAAATTTATTACAAGTTAGAGACAAAAATTGAACTTTAAATGTTTTTAATGTAAAAAATTGAATTAGAAAAAAATTTTTTCTTAAATTTTAAACAATAATACTTTAAGAAAAAAAATTTTAGACCATCTTTTTTTTTTTAAATAATTGAATTTTCGAAGATTTACAATTTATATTTTTGAAATTAATTGAAGTACAAGTGTTTTTTTTTAATTAAAATTTTTAATGATTTCTTTTGCTGAAAAATTTATTCGAAATTATAATTTTAAAAAGTTTTTGATGTTAAATTTAAGAAAATAATTAAATTTTAGAAGGTTTTTTAAATTGAAATTTTTAAAAATAATTAAATTTCAAGTGATTTTAAATTGAAATTTATGATAATTATTATTTTCAAAATTTTTCTTTTTTAATTTAAAAAAAATTATTGAATTTTGTAATATTTTTAATTGAAATTTAATAATGAATTGAATTGAATTCTTAGATATGAAGAACCTGATGATTTGAAACGTCTTTATTTCGAAATGATACGTGCAGCTGAACTTCAATCGAATAAATTGCTTCTTCATAATGTGCCAATTGATTTTATAAAATCAACAACGAATGAAACAATTTTAAGGGAAATTTTACGTATTTTCATTGATTTCAATTCATCAAATCGCAATGATTGTTTAACTTGTGGTTATCCACAGCCAACATTTAAACGTGCCAAAGAGCCAAAATTTCTCGATATTGGATCATTGTTTTTGAAAAAATTTCAAAATGAACCACTCGAGTGCCTGAAAATCTGTGATAATGTTCCATTTATGTGGAGGGAATATTTACCTCTTTATATGAATAATTTTTCCACTTTAGAAATTGAAGATAAAGAAGAAGAAGAAGAAAGATGGGAAATTTTATCTGCATGCCTACAGACAAAAGATAGTGTTGCATTGTCTATTATTTTACCACATTTAACTGAAAGAGAATGGAAAAAAGTTAATGAGATATTGAAAAAAATTGAAAAGGGAATTTGTCTTTCTTGTGGTGATTTACAGAGTGAAAGAAAAATTGAAAAATTCATCGATTGGGAAACAGTGACATATGAAATTTTAAAGAAAGATGGATCAGATGCGACTTTGGAATTTTTATTTAAAGTCGAAAAATTTATTCGTGAATTACGATTAGATGCAAAGTAAGAAACAAATTATTTTCTAGAATTATTTTCTTTAATTTGAATTTGATTTTGAAAAATTTTAATTATCTCTTTCAAAAATTAAAATTTGTAAAAAAAAAAAAAAATTATTCATTTTCAGAGTTTATCAGACAATAATATTTGCCAAAATTTTTGCAAAAAATGGCATCAAATATAATTTGGATTTTAGTCGTAATCAATCTGAAGATGCTGAATTAATGTCAATGTGTTCTCCAAAGGTAAGATTAATTATAAACTTTTGGTAAAATTGAAAAAAAAAATTTCCTTTTTTTTATATATATATATAAAATCCGAGAAAAATTATTCTAAACAAAAATTTTTTTTGAATATCGTCGGCTTTGGTATTTTTAATTTCGCATAAAAAATTTTTTTTTTTTTTATCTTTTTGTTCTTTACGAAAAAAAAGTTCAACGATTTTTTACGAATTTTTTGCATCAAATTTGGAAAAAAATTCACTTAAAAAAAAATAATTAAAAAAAAATAAAAACTTTTAAAATTGATTGACAGAAGAAAAGTGGATTTTTTTAAATTTTCATAAAATATTTTATTTCTATTAATCAAAATTGTTATTAAATATTAAAAATTTTGTAAATTGAATTGAATTTTAGAGAATTTTTAACTAGAAAATGTTTTAAATAATTTAAATTTTTAAGAATTTCATTAAAATTATTGAAAATAATTAATTTCGTTAAGACTTTTTAGATTCAAATTTTCAAAATAAAAAAAAAAATTAAAAATTACATATTTACGGATTTTAGAAATAATTGAATTTCAAAAGATTTAAAATTGTAATTTTTATAAAATTCAATTGTTTATTTATTTATTTAATTGTTGAAGATTTTTTTTTTATAAATTACAAAAAATAATTGAATATTAAATACAAATTTAAAAAATATTTTTAATAATTGAATTTTAAAAAATCTATACTCGAAATTTTTTGAATTAATTAAATTTCAAAAGATTTTGAATTGAAAATTTTGTAAATTTCAATTGCTAATGACTTTTAAAAAAGAATTTTACATAATAATTGACATTGAGAATTTTTAATTGAAAAATATTTTAAATAACTGAATTTTTGTTGAATTTCATTAAAATTATTGAAAATAATTAATTTCACAAATACATTAATAGATTAAAATTTTCAAAATAATTGAATTTTGAATTGAATAATTGAATAAAAAAAATTTACTTACCACAATAGGTACAAGAAGATTTGATGATATCGTTGGAAAAGGATTTAAAGCAATCAATTGAAAGAAATGCTTTTGGCTCGGGTCCTCATCATTGGGGAATTCGTTATTCATCAAAATCCTCAACGTGTCCTTGTTGTACACTTTCTCTACAAACACCCGTATTATTGGGTAACAATGGCATTGCTCTCTTTCCCTGTGGACACGCTTATCACGTAAATTGTATGATTCAAAAAAAAATTTCCCGTTGTGGTCTTCATTGATATTAATAACTTAATTTTATTTTATTGCAATAAATCCAACATTTAATAAAAAAAAAAAAAGAAGAAAAAAAAAATCTTTAAAAAAGAGTAAATTGAAAATCAATTTCTACATTTTATAGAAATTATATAAAAAATATAATATCCATAAATTTACACTGAAAAAAAAATTAATATACTTTTATTTTTAATAAATAACATTCGATAATTTGTATATTAATAATTAAAATTCATTTCTTTTTTTTTAGATACAGATAATTGTTTATTTAAGTTTCTTATTTTTTTCTTGTCATCCAAAGACGTAGATTCTAAAACAAATCTATAATCATCAACTTACTTACGGCAAGTTTTAAGTAATCTGAAAATTTATTTTTCATTATTATTGTTATTATTATTATTATTATTATTATTATAACTATTATTATTATCAACGTTAAAAATATTCTTCAAAATATGAAAATTGAGAAACGAATTTCACAATTATTATTCAAATCTCATATTTATCAAATACTTTTTTTTTTTTCTTTTTTGTTCTTTTTCTTCTTCTTATTCTTTTTTTCCCCTTTTTTTGTTGTAAAAAATATTTTTGTACTATAAATTTGTTTACAAGTTGAGCATATAAAAACAAAAATCTTTGAAAAACTTCAAGAATCGAATTTTTTTTAAAAATTAATTTGTTAAATTAATTTATTAATTTGTTAAATTAATTTATTAAGTTGTTTTCACAATAGAATAAAATTGAAATTCCAAGTTTTTCAAAGAGAAATAATTTTTCTTTTGTACACACACTGTTTCGGAGTTTGGAAAAGAAACGGAAAAAAAAAAAAAAAAAAAATGCGCTCTTAAAAATAATTTCTCGCAACAAAAAATAAAAAGTAGTCAAACGATTAAAAAAAACATTTCGTTTTTCTTTCTTAATATAAAGAAAATTAAACATTAAAGGATTATCTACAATTATGAATAAAATCAAAATATTCGATTTTTTCTTGTTTTCTTTTTCTTTTTTTTTTTGGTGCCATTATCTATATTATCTTGAGATACAAATCTTGCGTCGTAGATTTTTTTTCTCATAAAAAATTTTTTTTTTAATTTTTTTTCAACGGCGCATAAAGAAATATTTCCCGATTGACATCGGGATTACAATGTTTTTTTTATATGTATTTATATATATATATATATATATATTTATGCATACAAAAAAATATGCATATATTTATATAAATATATTCCTTAATAATACCTACACATTTGGGAGAAAAAAAAAACAAATTAATGTCTTATAAATATTTAAAGAATTGCGAGAATCCTTAAAAAGAAAAAAAAACTGATCATTCAAATTTTTTTTTTTTTTATTTTTAAGAAAAAAAATTTACTTGTCTTTCAAAAATTACTTTTATTAAAAAAAAAGTATATCGTAAATTGTAAAAAATCTTTTTTTTTCACGCGAAATGTATAAAATGCACAAAAAAAAATGTGGAAAAATGGTAAATTTTTTTTCTCTTTAAAATGCCTTTTTAAAAAAAAAAAAAAATCACACGAAATTGTGAATTTTTTTTTTTTTTTTTTTAATGCCTTGAACGATGAGTGGAATCGTCTTCTCGTCGTTCACGTTCTCTTTCACGTTCCGGTTCGCGTTCTCTTTCCGTTGGTCGTCGCGATGACGATTCCCGCTCACGTTCACGTTCTCTGTCTCTGTCTCGTTCTCTGTAACGCTCATCGTAATATCTGCAAAAAAAAGAAAACAAAAAAAAATTTTTTTAAATATACTTCTAAGTTTTGATTTTTTTAAAAAATTATATAAGAAAAATTTAATATAAATATATTTTTTAATTAATTTTTTCTTTTTGTAGAAAGAAAAAATTAATTAAAATAAAGATACCTAGGTAATAAAAATTTCATTTTTTAAAAATGTTCTAAAATGACTATTGATATAATTTGATGAGAATATTTGATATAAAAATTTTCAAAAAAATAAAAAAGAATTATTCCCTTTGGACTGTAATTTAATTTCATTTTTCATACATGTATAAAAATTTAATAGAAAAAAATTTTTTGTTAACAATTTAAAAAAAGGAGCAAAAAAAAATTGTTTTTTTTTTTTTTTTATTTACCTAGATGACTTAGAAGACGAAACGGCTCCTGATTCTGGCGCTTCTTCTTTAGGCCTAGCTCTAGATGATCCCTGTCTCGTTGAGCTAAGAAGAAAATATTTTTTAAACTGTCAAAAAATCCTACTTAAAAAAGAAACATTTTTTTGTAATTTTCAATTTTTTTTTTTGTATTTTTAATTCTGTATTTTTAATATTTTGCCGTTAATAAATAAATAAATAAAAATTTCAATTTTTTTTTGTAGGAATTAAAAATTATTTGAAAAATGCTTTTAAATTAATTTTATTACAAGCCAATTTAATAATTTTTGATTCGGACGTTTCAGAAAGAATGTCCCATTTATTAAATTAAAAAAATTTACTAAAAAATAATTTTTTTTTATGTGCAATTATATGTAAATATAATCATAATATAATTTTTCCTACTTTTTTAAAAATTTTCAGTAAGTTTTTTTTTTGCGGATTTTCGCAAAAAATGTCTTTTATTGCTGTTTTTAAAAATAAAAATATTTTTTTATTAATAACACCTAAAATTTAAATTGAGATTTATTAAAATGTCCTTAAAAAAATTTTTTTTTTCAAATCCAAAACAATGTTCTTTGGTATTCAGTCATTCGTAGCTAATTTTTTTTTTTAAATATAAAACAAATAATAAAATCATTTTATTATAAAAATGTTTTATATTTTCAAATATAAAAATTTATTTCATTACAATTTTTCTCTTACATTTTTTGTGTAATAAAAAAAAAAAAAAAAAAAAAAAAATGAATGAATGTTGATTTTGACCAAAAATCACTAATTTTATATAACAAAATCGGTGAACAAATTTTTTTTTATAAATTTAATACACTTTTTGTATTTTATATTTTCTATATAGAGAAATATTTTTTTTTTTTTCATTAATAATGGAACAAAAAGGAAAAATAATTTATAAATAGTTATAAATATTTATAAATAATAAAATAAAAAAAATAAACGAATTTTTAATAATCTGAAAAAATTACAAAAACAAGTTCTTTCAAATTTCATCAACATGGAAAAAAAAGAAACATTTTTTTTTCTCCTTAACTTATAATAAATTTTTGATAAAGTAAATAAACTTAAAAAATAGGCACATAATGTCGTCATAGTGATGAACAATTAGAACATAATAGAAGTAACACTTGCGAGTAACTGAAATAAATTTAGAAATAGAAATAAAAAAATTTTACCAATAAAAACAAAAAAAAAAAAAAAGAATTTATATGTTTATTTTAATTTTATAATTTTTTTAATTTAATTTCTTTTTTTCAATATTTATTAAAGGTTTTCTTAATAATTTGTTTTTTTTTCACAAATTTTAAAATGAATTTTCTATTTACTATTTTCTACTTAGTTCTATTTTAATAATTTTCTACCTAAATTATAAATTATTATTATTATTATTATTATTAATTACAAATATTACGTATTATGATTTTTAATAATATTCAATTAATAATAAGTTGTCAATTTTAAGAAAAAAATTATACATTACTACAATAATAGTAAACATTTAAATTTTAAATAAATAATATTAATTTCCCAAAAATATCATAAAATTTTTGACAAATTCTTTATCGGATTCTTTTCTTAAATAAAAATTTTAATTTATTTCTACTTTAAAAAAAATTTTTACTAAAAACAAATTAAATTGCATTTTCATGAAACTTTTTATATTGTGTAAAAATTTATTAATTTTATTAATAATTAGTTAATTTTGTAAATTTATTTATTTCTTTAAAAAAAAGTTTAATTAATAATATTTGTGTTTTGTAAACCCATGTATAATAAAATAAATAAATTTAGAATATGTGTAAGATGTAAAAAAAAATTAAAATTAAAAAATTTGAAAAAAATTAATGAAAATCAGTCTTTTTAAATTTTCTCGCTCATGTTATTTAATTATTATTATTTTTTTTTAGAAATGATAAGATAAAATTTTTTAAGTTTTGGTAGCTTAATAGTCGTTAAATATTATTTTTTTTATTATAAATAACGAAGGGAAGAAATTTGAAAAAAAAGTCCTAATAAATAAATTTGTTTTTTTTTTTAATACCTTTCTTCACGGCTTCGCTCCCTGTATTCTCTTTCGCGATCACGTTCCCTTTCACGACTTCGTGATCTTTCTCTAGGATACGTTTCATTGTAATATCTTTCCTTCTCGCGTTCTCTCTCCCTCTCGCGATCCCTATCACGATCTCTCTCTCGACTTCGATCTCTATATTCACGATCCCTCGATCTTGATCTCTCGCGTCGCCTTCTGTGATTTCGATCGCGATCCCGCGAACGAGAACGATCTGTAAATAATTAATAAAATAAATTTTATTTATATTTTATATTTGTAATAATAAAAAATTTAAATTTTTATCTTTTTTTTGAATGTTAAAAGTAATTTAATTATAAATTCACCTCTTCTTGCAGAGCCATAGCTTTTTGTTTCAATTCCACGTAATGTATCTTGAAGGGAACTGATGAGAATTTTGCATCGATCGTCACCAGCGACTTTCGATTGTTTAATTAACGATATTGCAGTGACGAGAGTTTCAATTGCACTTGCATACTCGCCGGCGGCAGCGTCCGAAACTGCCCTTGCAATTGCTGACGACGATACAGTTCGATTGCGTCCCATTATTTCCTCAAACTCAAGTTCGGTAAGATTCGAGTGTGCTTCTGGACGATGCTCAGGTCCTGGAGCTCCGTACGGTGTCTATTTATTTCAAAAATGATTAATGATTAATGATTAATGATGATTATTAATTAGAATTTTCATTTTACAGGCCTTGGATCGACTTTAAGACACAAGTAAAGTTGTTTTAGTCGATTTATATTCGAAAAAAAGTCGATATTTTTTCAATTTAAAAAAAAAATTTAATTGATTAATGAATATTTTACTTTAAATAACTAATGTTATTAGATATTAAGTTCATTTGATTAATTCTATAATGAGAATAATTTTATATAAGAACATTATCAAGAATTTTTTTTAGAAATAATTGAATTTCAAAAGATTTTGTTAATTTTCAAAGAATAATTAAATTTTACAGAAATGAAAATAATTTTATGTTTTGGGAAAAAAAAAAAATGATTTTACAGTATTTAAATTTTCGAAAAATTGAATTTCACATTTAAATTTATTATCATTGAAAATTTGAAAAATAATTTATTTTTTAGTATTTCTATTGAAAATTTGAAAAATAATTGTATTTCAATTGAAACATTGGAAAATAATTGAATTTCAGTTGATTTTGGATTGAAAATTTTGAAAATAATTGAAATTTAGTTAATTTTGAAAAGAAAATTTTGAAAATAATTTAATTTTAATTGAAAATTTTTAAAATAAATGAAATTCAACTGAAATTTTGGAAATGAATTGATTTTGAATTGAAATTTTGGAAAATAATTGAATTTTATTTGGGTTTGAATTGAAATTTTTGAAAACAATTGAATTTCAGTTGATTTGGAATTAAAAATTTTGAAAATCATTGAATTTTAGTTAATTTTAAATAAAAAATTTTGAAAATAAATGAAATTCAACTGAAATTTTGGAAATGAATTGATTTTCGTTGATTTTGTATTGAAATTTTTGAAATGAATTGATTTTGAATTGAAATTTTGGAAAATAGTTGAATTTTATTTGGGTTTGAATTGAAATTTTTGAAAATAATTGAATTTCATTTGATTTTAAATTAAAAATTTTGAAAATCATTGAATTTTAGTTAATTTTAAATAGAAAATTTTGAAAATAAATGAAATTCAACTGAAATTTTGGAAATAAATTGATTTTAGTTAATTTTGAATTGAAATTTTTGAAAATATTTTAATTGCAAAATGCTTTCAAATAATTTAATTTTCGCAGAATATTAAAAAAATCATTAGAAATAATTTAATTTCAGGAGAGTTATAATTGAAATTTTTAAATTTCAAAAAATTTTAGATTGTAAATTTTAGAAATAATTAAATTTTAGAAGCTTTTAAATTGAAATTTTTGAATATAATTGAATTTTAGTTGATTTTGAATTGATAATTTAGAAAATAATTGATTTTCATTCGAAATTTTGCAAAATAATTGCCTTTTAGTTGATTTTGAATTGAAAAATTTGGAACAATTTTCCTAAAAAGAAAATCCTACGGCTGTATTCTTTGGTACAAATAAAAAAAAATTGAATTTTAGTTATATATAGTTTATTACTGTCCCTAAAAATAAGAAATTTCTAGTTATTTCTGTTGATGAAGAATTTATTAGAAGTCACATAAAAACATTAAATTTCAAAAGTTTTTATTAGAAAAATTGCTTTTAGATAAATAAATTTTTGAATAATTAAATTTCAAGTTATTTTGTATTAAAATTTTTTGGTAATTTTATTTGATAATTTTTTTTTTTTTTTTGAAATTATAAACAATTATTAAATTTCATGAAAATATGAATTGAAAAATAGTTTAAGATAATTGAATTTGTGAAGAATTTCATTAAAATTATTAAAAATAATTAATTTAGTGAAGAATTTTAGTCAAAAATTTATTAAATAATTTAAATAAAGAAGATCTGCATTGTATACTAAAAAAGCATATTTTGTTTCAAAAAATTTTTTTTTTATTGTAAAAAAAAGTCGAAAAAAGTCATATTTTTGAAAAAAAGTTGGAAAAAGTTGAAAAAGTCGTATAATCCGAGGCCTGAAATTTTATAAAATTTCATTTATCATAATTTTCTTTGAGACGAATTTTTCTTTGTTCAAATTAGTATTTTAAAGAATTTTTATTAGGTAGAATTTCATTGCATAGAATTTTCATTTTATTCTTTCAGATGAATTTTCATTTATTCGAATTATTATTTGATTGAATTTCCATATAAACGATTTTTCATATTACAAAATTTTTACTTAACTAAAAAATCATTTAACAGAATTTCTAACTGATAGAATTTTCATTTGTCCGAAATTGCAAATGACCGAACAAACAATCGATTTCTGCGCGATTTTTAAAATCAATTAATCACAATTTTATGGATAATTTTTGATTGGTTGATTTTAAAAATCGCGCCGAAATCTTTCTGTTTGTTTGTTCGGTCATTTGCAATTTCGGACAAATGAAAATTATATCAATTAGAAATTCTGTTAAATGATTTTTCAGTTAAGTAAAAATTTTATAATATGAAAAATCGGTTATATGGAAATTCAATCAAATAATAATTCGAACAAATGAAAATTCATCTGTAAGAATAAAATGAAAATTCTATGCAATGAAATTCCATCCAATAAAAATTCTTTAAAATGCATATTATGTTTAATGAAAATTAGAGCAAATAAAAATTCTGTGAAGTGAATTTTGGGTTATATAAAAAATTCTGTAATATAGAAAATCGTTTTGATGAAAATTCCTGCAAAATTCTAATTCGAATAAATTAAAATTCTCCTAAAAAATAATTAAATTCCATAAAATGAAAATTCTAACTAATGATTTTTAGAACATAATCATGAGTCCCTTAAATGATTTTTTTTTCTTAGATAAGATAAAAAGAAATCTTTTTAATTAATTTGTAATAATCGCCGACTTTACCCCATTTTACGGGGTATATATATATATAATAAAAATGAAAATACCTGAGCAGGAGGACCATAATTATGAGGAGCAGGTCCATGAGTTGGTCCATGTGGTGGTCCAGGTGGACCCTGATGTGATGGACCCTGTTGGAAGAAAGCTGGATTCACATGAGGCGCTGGTCCACCCGGTGGTCCTGGTGGCCCTTGAGGTGGCATTCCATGTCCTGGTGGCATCCCTCCAGGTCCAGGCATCATACCTAATCAATAAATTTATAATTCTAATTTCTTCTTTTTTTAAAATTTTTCTATTTTTTTCATTTCTATTTCCTTAAATTTTCAATATTCTTTCTATTATCAAAATTTTCGTTTTTTATAAAGCACAATTTTTCGCCACAAATTTCAATTTCGGAAATTAAAATTTTTTTTTAAATCGAAAAAAAAATGAATTATCACAAACCTGGAGGACGATTCCATTCAGCGCCTCTAGGAGGAGCTCCTCGAAGTTCACCAGGAGGACCAGGATGTCCAGGTGGGCCTCGAGGTGGTCCTTGATTCATAGGTCCCGGTGGACCTCCATGAAATTGCTGCGTAGAAAAAAATCATTAACAAAACATTTATTAATTAAATAGTTCGTTATTTTTAATAACCCATTTAATAGTTTATTAATTATATTAATATAAATATTAATAAAAATATATTTATTAATAAATAATAATATCAGACGTATTTCTTGCATCGTTATTATACATAAATTTTTAATATTTAAATTCGTCGTATTAAAATTACTCTCCAATATATTAAACAATATAATATACAAATTGTGTAGAAAAAAAATTATTAAAGTAATTTAAGAAAATAATTAGTTAACTATTATTAATAAATAATCAGTTCAATAAATAGATTATAATTATTATAATTCAATAAATAAATAAATGCAATCTATTACAATTAATTGAAAAAAATGACTTATATTAGAAATCGGTTATTTGTTATTGAACTATAAAACCCAGAAAAAAAAAATTGTTTTATAAATCGTGTACTTACTGATTAAAATCTTCAACACTTGTTTTTCAAAGTTTGTTTTTTTTTATTCTCTATAATTTACATTCATTTTCGCCAAAATTTACGAAGCTAAAGTACGCATAACGTTTATAATAAACGATTTTTAAAGAAATTATTTTTTAAAATGAAAAATTCTATAATTTTTTTGCTTAAAAAATATTTCTTGTAGTTTTCATTAATCAACAAATTATAAAAACATATTTTTTAAGCAAAAAAATTATAGAATTTTTTATTTTAAAAAATTATTTCTTTAAAAATAGTTTATCATAAACGTTGCGAACTTGAGCTTCGTCAAAATATACGACGAATATATATAAAATTTTAATTGAATTATTTATTACTATTTTACAAAAAAAAAAAAAAATTGATCCCGTTTGTCTAAAAATGTATCAAAACTATATTTTATTCAAGTTATGTAACTTTTTTGCTTTAATACAAAAGGTTTGATAAGAAAATAATAATAATAAGTTAAAATATTCATTTTAAAAATGATTATTTTAACTTATGAACAATTATTAGAAATTTTTTTTTTTTTTTTTTTAACAAAAAAAAGTGTATTTTATTAATAAGATAAATATACAAAAAATATATATATAAACTCTGAATTCTTAGAAACTAACATTTTTTATTCTAATACAAATAAATCAATAAATTACTAATTAATTTACAAATTATTTATATATATATAATATACAAAATAAATTAATAATTATATATATTGAATGAATTGTTAAAATTTTAATCATCCTAGCATCAGCAATCTTATATTCATTATAATCCACGCATAACAAAAATGTAAAAAATTATTTTTTTTTTTAATTTTAATCAATTCGCACAGATTCTACAACTGTAAATAATTTTGAACAGAATGAAATTTACATCTCGTTGAGATGTATACAGAAACAGAAATTAACGATCATTTTGAAATTTTTAAAAATTCAATTTCCCTAAATATTTGTTTTTTTTTTATTTAAAAAAAATAAAATCTTTTGCAAAATTAAAAAAAAAATCAAAACTTTAAATAATTGTACCTACATAATTTACAGGGTTGATAAAAATTATGATTAATTGAAAAAAAAATTAAATTTTTTTGATTTAAATCATGATTTTAAAAAAAAATAAATAAAAAAAATCCCATTTTTGCGATTTAAATCATGATTTTTTTTTTAAAAAAAAATAAAAATTCTAAGTAATAAAAAATTAAGATTTGCATTTTTTTTTCTTTTTTTGACAACCTTGTATGTTTTTAGGACTCAAATGATGCAAATACAAAAAATGCAATCAATAAAATTTAAAAGGTTCAAAATAAAGTCTCCCCTTTAAATGATTTCAACAATTTTGTATTTCCAAGGGGAAATTTACAATAAAACAAATAACGTTTTATTTCAGTTGAAATAATTATTATCACAGTATTTGCTTCTTTACTTTTTTTTCTATTTTAATTGAAAGTTTTACTTTGAGTATTATTTAATATTAATTCTCAATTTTTAATAATAAAAATTATTATCACAGTATTTTTATTTTTTTGTTCTTTTTCTATTTAAATTGAAAGTTTCACTTTGATTATTATTTAATAATAATAATATTCAATTATTAATTAATTATTATTATTATTATTATTATAAATAATCAAAATTATTATCACATTATTTTGTTATCTTTCTATTTAAATTAAAATTTTCAATTTAATTATTATTTTCAATGAAAGCATTGATTTGCAACTTACGAATTCGTTGACCATTCCAGGTGGTGGACGTTGACCAGGTCCAGGAACGGGCATTCCCTGTTGTCCAGGTCCCCCGGGGCCATTGGGACCTCGTTGAGGTCCATTGGGTCGTGGACCATTCCAAGGACCCTGTTGATAACCAGGTGGCGGTGGACCTTGATTTGGATGCCCTTGCATTTGATGATGAGGACCTGGACCAGGACCCATTGGAGGTCCATGCATGCGAGGTGGTCCTTGAGGTGGACCACCGGGACCAGGTTGACCCATTCCTGGTGGAGGCATTCTTTGACCCTGTCTTGGCCCCTAATTTAAATGCAAATTCAATTTTATAAGACAATAATTCAGTAAAAACTTTCTTTTTTATTCTTTATCGGTGATAATCTCAGGCCCGGGATCGACTTTAAGTCGATATTTAAAAACTTTTAAAATGAAAAATGGTTTCAGATAGTTAAATTTTCGAAAAATATTATAAAAATCATTAAAATTATTGAAATTTTAGAAAATAATTGAATTTTAATTGATTTTGAATTGAAATTTAGGAAAAATAATTGAATTTTCATTGATTTTGAATTGAAAATATTTAAAGTAATTGAATTTTAGTTGATTTTGAATTGAAAATTTTGAAAATAATTGAATTTTAATTGAAAATTTTCAAAATAAATAAATTTCAATTGAAATTTTTGAAAATAATTGAATTTTAGTTGATTTTGAATTGAAATTTTTGGGAGTAATTGAATTTTAATTGATTTTGAATTGAAATTTTTGAAAATAATTAAATTTAAGTTAATTTTAAATAGAAAATTTTGAAAATAATTGAATTTTAATTGAAAATTTTCAAAATAAATAAATTTCAATTGAAATTTTTGAAAATAATTGAATTTTTATTGATCTTGAATAAAAAATTTTGAAAATAATTGAATTTTAATTGAAAATTTTCAAAATAAATGAAATTCAATTAAAATTTTTGAAAATAATTGAATTTTTATTGATCTTGAATAAAAATTTTTAAAAATAATTGAATTTCAATTAAAATTTTGGAAAATAATTGAATTTTAGTTGATTATGAATTGAAATTAATTGAACTTTAATTGATTTTGAATTAAAATTTTTGAAAATATTTTAATTGCAAAATGCTTTCAAATAATTTAATTTTCGTAGAATATTATAAAAATCATTAGAAATAATTTAAGTTCAGGAGAGTTATAATGGAAATTATTAAATTTACAAAAATTTTAGATTAAACATTTTAGAAATAATTAAATTTTAGTAGCTTTTAAATTGAAATTTTTGAAAATAATTAAATTTCAAAAGATTGTGTTAAATTTCAAACAATTACTATAATAAAATAATTTTTTTGTCATTTTTGTTAATGAAGAATTTAATAGAAATCACATAAAAAAATTTAATTCTAAAAGTTTTGAGTTGAAAAATGCTCTCAGATAATTGAATTTTGGAAGAAAATTATAAAAATTATTAAAAATAATTTAAATTTCATGTGATTCTGAATTAAAATTTTTTTGGTAATTTTATTTGCTAATTTATTTTTAAATTATAAACTATTATTAAATTTCATAAAAATTTGAATTGAATAATAGTTTAGAATAATTGAATTTGTGAAAAATTTCATTAAAATTATTAAAAATATTTAATTTAATGCTAAATTTTAGTTAAATATTTGTTAAATAATTGAAACAAAGAATATCTGAAGAAGATCTGCATTGTATACTAAAAAACGTACTTTGTTTATGTAAAAAAAAAAATTGAAAAAGTCGCATTTTATTAAAATAAGTCAAAAAAAGTCGTATTTTTAAAAAAAAGTCGGTTAAAGTCGAAAAAAGTCGTTAAAAATATATATTTTATAAACATTATTTAATTGAATTTTAGAGAATTTTCAGTTGAAAAATGTTTGAAATAATTGAATTTTCAATTAAATTTCATTAAAATTATTATTGAAAATATAATTAATTTCACAAAAACTTTTTAAATTCAAATTTTCAAAATAATTGAATTTTTCGTGAGAAGTCATAAATATTTAATTTTTAATTAAATTAATTTTCAATTTCATTTGGTAAAATTTAAAAGTAAGAGAAAAAAATTCGAATTTAAAACAAAAAATTGAGAAAAAGTTAGAAAATAAATGGTAAATTTTTGAAAAATAAAATATTACATCATACTGCGGGGGTCCCATCATCATTCCCCGATGTCCGTGATTTTGTTGCATATGTTGAGGATGCTGCTGATGCTGTGAATGATGTTGAGGTGACATTGGTGTATGAGGATGTGAATTGTGTGGCCGTTGATTTTGATTGTGTTGCGGAGACGGTGGTGGTCGAGTTTTACACTGCGATTCAAACTTAAAAACACAAATTTATAAATTACAATTTTTTTTTCAGATTAGAAAATCATTAACAATTAGTTTACAAATATTGTAAAAATGTGTTTTTTTTTTCTTTTTCGTTTATTGAAAATAAAAATAAATAGAAAAATTATTTTTGGGAAAAAATTAACAAAAAAAAAACAAAAATGAATTCTATGTTATTTTATAGGATATTTTTATTTAATAAAATATTTTTCTAATAATTACCTGATTCAAAGCATGTTTCGATGGATAAGTGACAACTGGATTTTGTCCATGAAGTTCTGTTTTTGGTAATCGATCCATACAAATTTGTGTACTTTGATCAGAGCCAAGGGAAACGACAGAAAATCCCTTCGATTGTCCATTGGCACGATTTTCGAAAAATTTCACTTCAATGAAATCTGTAATTCCAAGATTGACAATCGCTTCTTGAATGTCTTTATCGGTTGTCCACTAAAAGAAAAAGAAAAAAAAATCCACAATACAATTTTGAGATAATATGCAGAAAATTAATTTTTTTTTTTTATTATTTGCACCAAAGAATACAAAATTTATTTTAAAAATGTCTATTTTAAAGAAAATTTACGAAGCTAAAGTACGTTGCGTTTATGATATAAATGATTTTTAAAGAAATAATTTTTTAAAAATGAAAAATTCTATAATTCTTTGCCTAAAAAAATATTTCTTGTAGTTTTCATTAATCAACAAATTATTAAAAAAAAAAATAAATAAATAAATAATTTTTAGGCAAAAAATTATAAAATTTGTCATTTTAAAAATTATTTCTTTAAAAATCGTTTATCATAAACGTTGCGTACTTCAGCTTTGTGAAAATTTAAAAATAAAATTTGAATTAAAAATTTTTCTAAAATATAGTAGATTTTTTTTGAAAATTTTAAAATAAATTCGAAGGATACAAACAATTTTAAAAATAAGATTCTAATCTTTATAAATTTGCAAAAAAAAAATCTCTGGCATATTAATTTTTATTTTTTATTTGCTTTAAATTAATTAATTTAATTAATTAATTACTTAAGTAAATTTTCATTTTACTTATTTAATGAATTTTTTTGTTTTTAACTTGATTGACAAAATTATAAATTTTTGAAAATTTAAAAGCAAAATATAAAAAAATTCAAGGACAAAAATTAAAATTCCATAACTTTCAAGGACATTCAAGGAGATTTTTTCAAATTCCAGGACATTTCCAGGACTTCCAGGACTAGTAGACACCCTGTTTTGGAGTAAATAATATTTTTCTTTTTTAACGTACCCAAGTCAAGTTTCCAATATACAATTGATGTCGTCGGCCAACTTGATTTGGATGAATATTATTTCCAAGTTGATTGTAAGAGGAATTCTCATTGGCTTCATCAGTAGGTGATCTATTGTCTCTATCTCGATCTGTTCGATCACTTTTCTCGCTCATTGACACACGGTCAGTAGCGGCAATAACATCGTCATATAAATCAAGCCCATCGCCAGCGAATTCATCCTAAACAAATCCCATTCTTTATTAATTAAGTAATTATCAATATAAATAATTATTATTAATTAATCATTACTTTTATAAATTAATTATATGATTAATTAATTTTATAAATAATTAACAATAATATTAATTACCAATATAAATAATTAATATTATTACATAATTTTATAAATTGTTAATAATATTAATTAATTATTACCAAAAATAAAAAATTTTTTTTCTTTCCCACAAATTAATTTAATTTAATTAATTTACAAAAATAAAAATTTGAAATATAATTAATTATTCATTTTATTTACTATATTGTTAATTAAAATACAATAATAAATTTTAATTTATTTTATTATAAATTTATTATCAATCATTACTAACAATAAAAATAATTTATTATATAAAAAAATAATTAATAATTATTAATTTATTATTTTTAATTAAATTGTAATACAAAATCAGGCTTCGGATCGACTTTATGTCACAAGAAAAGTAGTTTTAGTTGATTTATATTCGAAAAAAGTCGATTTTTTCAATTTTAACAAAATTTAATTGGTTAATGAATATTTTACTTTAAATAACTAATGTTATTAGATATTAAATTCATTTTATTAATTCTATAATGAAAATAATTCTATATAAGAACATTATCAAGAATTAATAGAAATAATTGAATTTCAAAAGATTTTGTTAATTTTCTGAGAATAATTAAATTTTACAGAAATGAAAATAATTTTATGTTTTGGAAAAAAAATGATTTTACATATTTAACTTTTCGAAATATTGAATTTTAATTTTAAATTATTACCATTGAAAATTTGGAAAATAATTTAATTTTAAGAATTTCTATTGAAAAATAATAGAATTTCAATTGAAACATTGGAAAATAATAAAATTTCAGTTGATTTTGGATTACAAATATTGAAAGTCATTGAATTTTAGTTAATTTTAAATAGAAAATTTTGAAAATAAATGAAATTCAACTGAAATTTTTGAAAATAATTGAATTTTAGTTGATTTTGAATTGAAACTTTTGAAAATAATTCAATTTTAGTTGATTTTGAATTGATAATTTAGAAAATAATTAAATTTTGGTTGAATTGTATTTAAATTTTTAAAATTAATTGAATTTTCATTGCTTTGGAATTGAAATTTTTGAAAATAATTGAATTTTAATTAATTTTGAATTGAAATTTTTGAAAAAAAAATTGAATTTTAGTTGATTTTGAATTGAAATTTTGAAAATAATTGAATTTTAATTAAAATTTTCAAAAATAATTGAATTTTAATTGAATTTTGAATTGATTTTGAATTGAAATTTTTAAAAATATTTTAATTGCAAAATGCTTTTAAATAATTTAATTTTCGCAGAATATTAAAAAAATCATTAGAAATAATTTAATTTCAGGAGAGTTATAATTGAAATTTTTAAATTTCAAAAAATTTTATATTGTAAATTTTAGAAATAATTAAATTTTATAAGCTTTAAAATCGAAAATTTTGAATATAATTGAATTTCCAAAAATTGTGTTAAATTTCAAACAATAATTATTATAATAAGAGAAATTTTTAGTCATTTTTGTTGATGAAGAATTTAATAGAAATCACATAAAAAAATTTAATTCTAAAAGTTTTGAATTGAAAAATGCTTTCAGATAATTGAATTTTTGAATAATATTATATAAATTATTAAAAATAATTTAAATTTTTGCTAATTATTTAAATTTCAAGTGATTCTGAATTAAAATTTTTTGATAATTTTATTTGATGTTTTTTTTTTTTTTTTGAAATTATAAACAATTATTAAATTACAAAAAAATGTGAATTGAAAAATAGTTTAAGATAATTGAATTTGTGAAGAATTTCATTAAAATTATTAAAAATAATTAATTTAGTGAAGAGTTTTAGTTAAAATTTTTTTTTTTTAATGTAAAAAAAAAGTAGAAAAAGTCGCATTTTATTAAAATAAGTGGAAAAAAGTCGTATTTTTGAAAAAAAAGTTGGAAAAAGTCGAAAAAGTCGTACAATCCGAGGCCTGCAAAATTTTATTTTATAATTAAAAAATCATTGAATAGAACTGAAAAAAACAATTTAAAAATTTATTATCAATATATAATATAAATATATATTATATATATATATATATATATATATAAAATTTATACCAACTTGTTATAAATAGTAAAAAATATTGAAACCAAAAAGTAAATATAAAAAAAAGTGAGAAAATAAATAATTTACGTTATAATTTGTAAAAAATTAAGAAATTAGATATTTTTTCTATTTTTAAAATTTGTAATTAATATTGTTATTATTTTATTATTAATAAAAAATTAATAATTAATAAAATACGTAATAAACATAAACCTTGGCTAAAGTTTAATTATAAATTACTACGTTAGTAAATAAAATAATAATAATTTTAAAAAAATATTATTAACTTCTTTGACAATAATTGGTTTTTTATATGAAAAAAAAAAAAATTCTTGCATTTTCTCTATATAAAAAATTGAAAATAACCTCTCAATATCTACATCGAGAAAGTTCATAACCTCAAACTCATTATTTTCAAAATGCACATAATTTATGAAATAAAATCGTGTATAATTAAAAATATAAATAAAAAAAAACAAGTTTCAAAATAAAAGAATAAGAAAATACTGACCAAAAGTTACTTTAATACAATAAAAAACAACAATTAAAACCTGTTTTTTTTAACGTTACTACAGTAAATTTAAATTCATTAATTAATAGTGAAATAATTTTTTTTTTTACGAAATAGTAAAAAAAACGACAAGTTTTTTTTTTTTAAATTTCAAAAGTTAAAGTAAACATAGGTGGAATAAAAATATAAAAAATTGAAAATTTCTTAAATAAAGATGAATGAAAAGAAATGTGCGGCTTCCAAGCGTACGACGCCGAAATCGAAAATTACAATTTTAAAGCACTGGGTAAATTGAATTTAAATTGATAAAAATTTTTTTATTCATAGTATGTAATTGATGATGAAAAAAAGTTATTATTTTCACATTACCTGGGCAAAATCTTGTTCTAAATCGTCGGCATACAAATCTATATCACCGTCCGCCATTTTGACAGTACCGACACTGAATGAAGTTAGCTGCAAGCTACCATGAACTGTGTTTTTTGAGATGTTGCAACTTGTAAGGGCAAAGCAAAGCAGCTGAGCAAGGTTGAGAAGATTATTTCATACCGAGTCAGGGTGCGGTAACGTTGTGTTGTTACATAATCTTAATACCTTCACAACCCTGGATTCCGTTCACATGTGATTGCACCCTAATTAAAGGGACATTCTCCCCAAATTTACTCCGAGCAAACTCGACAGTTGATTGGCAAAATTCAACAACGTACATAATCGTAATGATTGGATCGTCTGATTATCTCGGAGTTATTAACTCGGGGATAATTGGAGTAATCGAGTTGTTTATAAATTATAATATATTTTTTTTAAATGGATAACTCAAGTGAACACGAATGTCAACTACAACTAATTTTATAGGTAATTATATAACTCTTATAACATTTATTACATTACATTATATTATTATTCCATACAAATATTTATAATAGTATTAAATAATACTGCACAAAATATGTAGGAAAATAGAAGATAATTCATTCACGTGAAAAATAAAATTGACAGCAATTTTGAGGTTAAGTTTTACGAATAAAATTTAATTTGTTTTCTTTGTTTACTGTATTTTTCATTTTTTTTATTATTATTTTTTTAATTTAACTATTACATTAAAAGGTGAGTGAATTTTTATATTCTAGAATAATTTCTTTATATTTTACATCTTTGAAATAATTTTTTTTCTGTATTTGATTTTTTAAAATTTATATCCGATTTTTTTAACATAAATGAAATTTTTTTTTTCTTATGTCACATTTTTCAAATGTTACTTTGTAAATTATTTTGTTTTGTTTAATAAATATTTAAACGATACATTTAATAATAAAAGCATCAAAAAAAGCATATTTATATTTTTATTGAAGAAAATAACATTTTTGAAAAACTAAAAAAACTACTTTTTAAAAATTGTTAATTTCCAAAGAAAAGTCAATAATTTTGTAATATTATACCTTAAAAAGGTATAATTTTTATACAATTTTAAGCATTTTGAAGTATTCATAATTTTAATTTGTATTATTTTAAATAAATTGCAGGAAATAATTTTCTCGTTAAGAGAGGGACGTTTCATTTTCTTAATTTGAAGAAATCAATTTTTCCAAAATGGACATAGGTATAATTATTATTATTTTTTTTTTTATTTATTTTATTGCATTTTTTTTTTTTTTTTTTACTAAAGTACTAAATTTTTTGATACTTATTATTTTTACTTTTTATTATTTTATTTTTTTTTATTACTTGCACACAGTGAACGAAATTTTTTATGAAATTTTTCAAAAATCTTTTACAAATAAAAAATAAAAATTTTTACTAATTAACCCTAAAATGCTTAATTAACTGCATTTTATACGACCTAAAAAGCAAAAAATTAAAATATTTAAACAAAATGCGTTTTTTTTTTAGTATACAATCTTCATAAGATTTTCTATATTTCAATTATTAAAAAAAAATTTAACTAAATTTTGTCTCTAAATTAATAATTAATTATTTTTAATAATTTTAATGAAATTTTTCACAAGTAAATTATTTTAAATTATTTTTCAATTAAAAATGTTAATGAATTTCAACAATTTTTGAAAAAAAAAAAAAAATTGTTGAACAAAAAAACAATCAAATAAAATTACCAAAAATTTAAATTTAAAACTTTTTAAAATTTATTATTTTAAAACTTTTTCATCTAAAACATTTTTAAATTGAATAATTTCAATTATATAACACTTCCGAAATTCAATTATTTTTTAATGATTTTTATAATATTCCTCGAAAATTAAATTATTTGAAAGTATTTTTTAATTGAAAACTTTTGAAATTAAATTTTTGTCTGTAATTTCTAATAAATTCTTTAATCATCAAAAATTTCAATTATAAAATTCACTTGAAGTTCAATTAATTTCAAAAATCTGAATTTTATATCTTTGAATACGAATTTTTTTTAAGAATAAAATTCACATCTTCCAAAATTGAATTATTTAAAAGAATATTAACTAGAATTCTTCGCAAAATTAATTATATTTAATAATTTTAATCAAGTTCATTAAAAATTTCATTATTTAAATTATTTTTCAATTAAAAGTCCTTTTTAAATTAAATTATCTTAAATACCTATGTAAAAAAAATTGATTAACTAAAATTTATGAATTTTCATTTAAAATTTTACTGAAATTCAATTATTTCTAAAAAATTTTTACTTGACTTCTCCCAAAAATTCATTTACTTCTAAAAATTTTAACTTCAATTTTTTCGAATTTCAATTATTTCTAAAATTTTTACTAAAATTCATTTTTTTTGAATAACATTTTAATAAAGTTCTTCGAAAATTTAATTATTTAAAACATTTTCTAAACTTTTGAATTCGAACAATTTGCATAAATCATTATTTCACACTTTTTTTTTTAATTTTAAATTATTTTTTAAAATTTTCTCCTATTCTGAAGTGAATTCTTGAAAATTTGTCTCAGTTTAATTTGGAAATAATGTAAATAAAATTTCTTTAAAATATGTAAATCGACTTTTTTCTTTCTCTAAATTTGATCCGAAGCCTGAAAATGCCAAAAATTAAATTTATCTATTACTAGTTTATTATAAAAAGAGACTTAAAATAAGTTAATCCTGCGTATATTTAATGTATTTTTGTCATCATTTATTAAAATAGTAAATACCTGAAAAAAAATTTTTAAATTGGAAAAATCCTGGAATTTTATTTGGCTGAACAAAACACAATCGGCAGAAATAATTCGCCCCAATTTTTAAAATCAACACAATCACAATTTTATGGATAATTTTTGCTTAAAACTAGAGCAAAAATTAAAATGCCCAAGTTTTTATTTTCTGCCATAGTTTTAAAGAAAAAGTAGAGCAATAATTAAATTGTCCAATTTTTTGTTTTAATTTTTCGTTAAAAGAAGGGCAAAAACGAAGTCAATTTAATTTCTACTTTAGTTTTTCGTAAAAAAAAATTTGTCAGAAAGTAAAAAAGCGCTGTTTTTACTCTATTTTTCCGTAAAACTACGAAAGAAATAAAAATGCCGAACTTTTTTGTTTTAATCATTCATAAAAATGTGGAAAAATTGTCGACAATTTAATTTCTGCCGTATAGTTTTACGGAAAAAGTATTAGGGCAGAAATTAAAATGGCGCTGTTTTTACTCTATTTTTCCGTAAAACTAAAGCAGAAATTAAAATGCCGTAGTTTTTATTTTATGACATTTTTCCGTTGATTTTAAAAATCGCGCCGAAATCTTTCTGTCTGTTCGTTCGGACAAATGAAAATTCTATCAATTAGAAATTCTTTTAAATGATTTTTCGGTTATATAAAAAATCTGTAGTATGAAAAATCGTTTATATATGGAAATTCAATAAAATAATAATTCGAATAATAATAACAATAATAATAATAATAATATTAATTCGCCTCAATTTCGATTAAAAAAATGCACCAGAGAATCCAGTTTTGATATTAATTAAATTAAAAATTTTTTCTTTGAATTATCCATGTAAGTATATGTTAGAAAACAATGGTTAAATTAATGTGATCGTGGGATGTATAGTAAATTATTAGTTATGAAAATATTATTATTACAGTGAAATTGAAAATGACATAAGTGTGATGTCGAAACGTTTATCTGTTGTCGTTGCAAGTATATATATATATATCTTCCTATATTACAAAAAGATATCGCCGCCGCCGCCGCTGTTTCAAGAATTCTTGACCTAGGAGGGGGGAGTCCCCCCTCCTAAATTTTGAGGTTATGTTCGTTTCAAGGCTCTGAATATAGCCGCAAGTCCCCTCCCCTCCCGCGCCAGAAATGACCTAAATTTTGAGGTTATGTTCGTTTCAAGACTCTGAATATAGCCGCAAGTCACCCTCCCTCCTCTCATTTCCCCTCCTCCGTCAAAAATGACCTAAATTTTGTGGTTATGTTCGTTTCAAGACTCTGAATATAGCCGCAAGTCCCCTCCCCTCCCCCGCCAGAAATGACCTAAATTTTGAGGTTATGTTCGTTTCAAGGCTCTGAATATAGCCGCAAGTCCCCCCTCCCTCCTCTCATTTCCCCTCCTCTGCCAAAAATTGACCTAAATTTTGAGGTTATGTTTGTTTTAAGACTCTAATAAAGCAGTAAGTCCTTCCCCCTTCCCTCATCTCGCTCTGTATTTCCTGCCAAAAATGACATAAATTTTAAGGTTATGTAAATTTCAAGACTTTCTATATAGCCGCAAGTGAAGGTGGAGTTTCCGCCAAAAATGACTTGAATTTAAAGGTTATGTTCGTTTCAAGACTTTTTAATAATTTATTGGTTGTTAGGCAATTTCATTGAAATTATTTTTAAAAATAATTTCTTAATGTCGATTTCAATTGATTTAATTATTTATTTATTATTAATTTAATTAATTTAATAATTAAAATTTAATAATTTTAATTTTAATAATATTTATTCAGATTTCAATGAATTTGTAATAATAATTCTTTGAAATAGGTGGTTCATTTGGAAAAATAAGATCAATGGAAAATTAAAAAAAAATGATTAAAATAGGGGGGTTGGCGCGCGAAACGCGCAGGGGCGCGTAGCCCCTCTAGTATATATATATATATATATATATATATATATATTTGCAATGACTAAAATAAAATTATGACTTATTAAAAGAAAAGAAAGACAAGATTTTAATGTCGAATATTAATTCGAACAAATGAAAATTCATCTGAAATAATAAAATGAAAATTCTATGCGCAATGAAATTATACCCAATAAAAATTCTTTTTTGTTAAATGAAAATTCGAGCAAATAAAAATTCTGATAAATAAAAATTCGAACAAACACACGGAAAGAAATCTTGTTAGAATATTTAATATTTTGACACTCATATTTAGTATATTAAGTTACAATTGCGGAAGATTTTGCAGATTTTGGGGTGTTTATAGATTTCATTAATATTTTTTAAGAATTCCTAAAATAAAAATAATAAAGTTTAATATATTTAGAAACAAAAATTAGAATAGTTTTTGCGAAATTCATAATTGTATTATGAAAACTCCAAATGTTAAATTCTAATACGCCCTGTAACAAGTACTAGAATAAAATATTTCATTTTCTGTATTTAGAATTCCGTTAACTGGTATAATCATTTTACATTTTTATATAGTCGATAAGAAAGTGGACTGTTGTTAAATCCTTGTATTTAAATATAATACTAATATAATAGAAACTTTTTCTTTCAAAAAATGATAGAAAAATATCAGAAATCACCCAAGTTTGACGAAGTTAAGCGAGTGAGTCCGACCGGGTTTGACCGATCTCTAACGAGTAGTCACGAAAAAAAAATGTCAGAGAAAAGTCAGGGAATTTTTTTCTTTAAGCCTTGCTGGACATCCTGATTTTAAAATAATTTTTAATACTGCAATATGAATTAAAAATAATTTTAATTAATATTTAATAATAAAATATTTCATTTGTTTGCTCATAATTTTTATATAATTTTTATTTCTGCAATATAGACTAGAAAAAGTTTTGATAAATAATTGTTTTTAATTATTCTATATTTCTTTTTCTAAATATAATTATAGAATATTTGTTATAAGTTTGCTTCTATAATTAAATTAAATGATTTTATGATAAAAATTGTTCTTTGAATGGTAATAAAATATTTTATTATTTCGTAATAAATAATTATTTTTATTTTTATTTTTAAATATTTAACAATGTAATATTAAGTTTCTCACAAGTGCAGAAAAATCTGTCTATTTAGTATATAAAGAAGTTGAGAATTTCTCATTTCAGCGTGAATTATGTATCTATATGCGTTGCGTTATTCTGCGTTTATGTATGCGTATTGTAGTTAGGATGTGTTAGGAATAATTTTAAGCCAATCAAAGCGTACCAGTTATGTGTGTGTATTAGTAAATAACAAAGTGCTAGACTGTTTACTTCCTATACTGTTTTTTCCTATAGTTTTTTCAATATTCGAAAATTGTAGATTTGAATAATTTCAGTTTTCGTAAAATGTTTCCAGTTAAAGGAATTCGTAAAACTATACCAACTTTTATTATCAAACCAGAATGTTTCGCAATTGAAAAACAAAAATATCAAAATTTCTATTCCAATTTATTAAATATTATAACAAGATTTCTTTCCGTGTAAAAATTCTGTGAAGTGAATTTTCGGTTATATCAAAATTCTTTAATATAGAAAATCGTTTTGATGTAAATTCTGCAAAATATTAATTCGAACAAATAAAAATTCGCCTCAAAAATAATTATGAAAATTCTAAATAATAATTTTTAGAACATAATAATACGTCCCCCAATTTAGACGTTTTAGAAAAAAAATCTTTAAATGTAGAAAAAATTTTGTTCACTTGTGCGTTTATGTTAAAAAGCAATTATTAAAAAAAAATAAAATAAAATTTACAGACACTGTGTACAGAAATTACGTGGAAGCTGAGGGAAAATTATATCGAAATATTATTACCTTCCTTCAAAATAGAGATCAGACACTTCTTAAAGAAACATTAAAAACACAGCCACAAATTGCTCTCTACAAAGATAATTGTACAAATGAAACTCTTCTTCATTATGTCGTTCAATTTGGTACTATTGAAACAGCAAATTGTTTACTTCATCTTGGCGCTGATATTAATGCTCAAGATATCGTAGGAAGAACTCCACTCTATCGTGCTGTTGAATTTAATTCAGAAATGGTAAAATTTTTACTGAAAAATGAAGCTGCAGTTAATATTTCTTCTCAGGGTAAAACATTACTTCAACAAGCTTTAAATTATGGTTCAACAGACACTGTTTGTTTTATTTTAAGTAAAATGTTTACTGAATTTTCAAATAACGAAAATTTCAATTCAATTAAAAACGATGAAAAATGTTGGAAAATTGTTAAATTTCTTCTAAATTATAAAATTGAATTAAATAGTCCGGGTAATTTATTTTCACTTTTATTATTTTTTATTCTCAAAAATGGTGGTGAAGAAATATTTCAACTTGTTTTAGAGAATAATTGTTTTAATCTTGATGCACAATGTTTATTTGGACATACAATGCTTCATTGGGCTATTCAATTGGATAAATATAATTGTATAAAGTGTCTTTTAAATATGGGTGCAAATATTAATGCTGAAGGTGCAAATGGTGTAACTGCATTACATCATGCTGTGAGAAAAAAGAATAGTCAACTTGTTTCTTATCTTTTGTCACGTGGTGCAAATGTAAATAAAACAACAAAAGATGATAAATATTCACCACTTCATTATGCATTAGTTGTTGATGATGATGAAATTATTAAGAAACTCATAAATGCTGGCGCTGATATTAAAGCAAAATTTGGCTCACCATTGGAAAATTCATCGGTATTGAATTTAGTTTGTGGATGTAGTTCATTGAGGCAACGTCTTTCATTTTCAATGAGTAATACAATTGATGTGAATTCATTATTTTCTGGGAGGAATCTTGTTTTTAATAAGGAGAAAATAAAATTTTTAATTGAAATGGGCGCCGATATTGAGGTGAGCGAGGAAAATTATAATGGCAATGAATTGACGCCAATGCAACGTGCATGTGAGGCAGGACGAATGGATATTGTGGAACTTCTTGTTTCATGTGGTGCTGATGTTAATAGTAGAAATAATGAAGGAATGACAATGATTCATCATGCTGTACTTGGAATGAATTTAGATATTGTTGAATTTCTTTTACAACGTGGTTTAGATGTTAATGCATTGGATCACTTTAATCGTACTCCACTTTATCATCTTGTTAAATTACATTCAAATGACGTGATACCGATGATTGAATTTTTAATTGACAATGGTGCTGATGTTAATATCTGCAACAAGGAAGGTAAGTGTATTTTTTTTTTTTTTTTTTTTTGATAAAGAAACGACTTTTTTTAAACCTCGTCAAAAGTCATGGAATTTCCTTAACCCTTTAAGGACGGGAAGGACACTTTTTTAGAGCAATTTTCAATGACATACTTCTCTGCGACTAAGAGTTTTAAAAATTATGAGTATGATTTTGTAAAAAATTTTAAATTTGGACGCCATTTTTGGTACGCCATCTTGAATTAAAAAAAAAACCTTTTGCACCATTTTCATGTCTGAACATTTAGGACACGATAATTTAGGGTTTTATGCATCTCCTAAAGCGAATAGCTTCGAAAAATAATAATTTACAATAAAAAATTTTCAAAAAACCGTGTTTTTTTTCAAAAACATGACCGTAACTTTTTGAATTTTGATTTTTTCAAAATTTTGAATATGGATTCTGAAAGAGCGTTATCGAATACATAAGACACACTTCCTCTCAAATTTTTAAAACTCTTAGTCGCAGAGAAATATCTCATTGAAAATTGCTCTAAAAAAGTGTCCTTCCCGTCCTTAAAGGGTTAAATTTCTAGATTTTGTAACAAATTATAAAAATTAGAGCAAAAACGCCGATCTTTTAATTTCTTCTTTAACTTTTCGTAAAAATATGGCTAAAATTTTAAATTCTGCTCTATTTTTTTTGTAGAACTATAGCAAAACTGCTCTATTTTAATTTCTGCTTTAGTTTTTAGTAAAAATAGGGCAGAAATTAAAATGGCGCCATTTTTGCTCTATTTTTCACTAAAACTAAAGCAGAAAATAAAATTGCGACGTTTTTTCATCTTCTTTTGCCTAAAACTAGAGGAGAAATTAAAATGCCCAAGTTTCTGTTTTAATTTTTGGTAAAAACAAGACAAAAACGACGACCATTTAATTTCTGCCACAATTTTACGGAAAAATTAGAGCAGAAATTAAAATTGCGACATTTTTACACTATTTTTCCGTAAAACTAAAGCAGAAATTAAAATGCCGACGCTTTTGTTTTAATCATTCGTAAAAATATGACAAAAATCGTCAACAATTTAATTCCTGCCATAGTTAAACGGAAATACCAGCGCAGAAATTACAATGGCACTGTTTTTGCTCTACTTTCGTCTAAAACTAGAGCAAAATTTAAAATGCCGAAGTTTTTATTTTCTGCCATAGTTTTAAAGAAAAAGTAGAACAGAAATTAAAATGCGCAATTTTTTTGTTTTAATTTTTCGTTAAAAGAAGGGCAAAAACGAAGTCAATTTAATTTCTACTTTAGTTTTTCGTAAAAAAATATGTCAGAAAGTAAAAAGGCGCTGTTTTTGCTCTATTTTTCGATATAACTATAGCAGAAATTATAATACCTACGTTTTTATTTTCTGCTATAATTTTACAGAAAAAAGTAGAGCAGAAATAAAAAAGGCGCCGATTTAATTTCTGCTATAATTTTACGGAAAAATTCAGGCAGAAACTAAAATTGCAACACTTTTGCTCTATTTTCCCGTAAAACTACAGCAGAAATTTAATTTTTGCTATAATGGCGACATTTTTGCTCTCACGGTGCGCCAGAAGGTGATTTAAATAAAAATTAATTGGCACTTAAAAATTCTTTTTGATTATGATTCTTATATGAATAAAAAACATTTCTCAATAATTTTTAAAATCAGTTTACATGCCCGATTAAAAAAAAAATAGTTTTTATATTAAAAACAGTAATTTTATGGGGAATCAGAATTTATTTAATCTAATAAATACTGTAATAAATGATCAAATAATTACTTATTTTTAATTTTACATATAAATAATTATATTGCTGTAGTGTTTGTATCCGATTTTAAAAAATTAAATTACAATGTTAAAAGAACTATTTTAAGAGGGACAAAATTTATTTAAGAGAGTCGAATGGTCTCTGAAATTCTTTGAAAAGAAGAGACCTTTAATTATCGCCCTATAAAAACTACACTAAACGTGAAAATGATAAACATTGATTTTAAAATACTTTCTTCTCGAAAGACGGACACTTTTTACAAAAGCAGCTAGAGATCCTTATCTTATATAAATTTCCTAAATCCGAAAGATTATGCGAATCCATACAAAAACACGATTGCAAAACGAAAAGTAATATAATGACAGGTTCATTACCTCCTGCCGCCGTCAGATGGCAGCAGCATGCAGGGCGCACAAAGTTGCAGCTGTTATTAGATTACTTTTCTACTTTTTGTTTTGCTACCATGTTTTTCTATGGATTCGTACCGTCTTTTGGATTTAGGAAATTTATAAGATGAGGATTTTGGCTGATTTTGTTAAAAGTGTTCGTGTTTCGAGAAAAAAGTATTTTAAAATGAATACTATTTCACGTTGAGAGCGATAATTAAAACTCTCTTCTTGCCAAAGAATTTCAGATACCGTTCGACACTCTTAATGCATAAATATAAAAACGAAGCAAGAAAATAACTTCATTGTTAATAAATTTATATGAACTCAAATCTAAAACATCTATTATCTATACGCATATAAATATACATTAAATAAATTCTGGTTCCTCATAAAACACTATTTTTATATATTTAAAACTCAATTTTTTTTAAATTTATCACGTAAGTTGATTTTAAAACCTATTGAAAATGGTTTTTATTTATTTAAGAATGTAAGAAATGTATATAATAGTAATAGTCTAATGATGTATGATTCACCGTTTACGAATTTACACGACGTGTTTCGCCGAATATGCCCGAGGCGAAATTTAAGCCCTAATTTACAAGGAGTAAAGTAGGGTTAAACAGACCCTCTTTAGCTTCCTCAACTAGTCGCAAATTTCCCTTTCTTCCACGTTTGGATTTAAAGTAGGGTCTAAAAATTGATTAAAATATTGAAAATTTTGAAATTGCTCTAATTCTATTAATTTTTTGAAAACGCTTCAAAATATGTTAATTCCAGTTTTTAAAGGGTAATTAAAGAAATATTGTGTGAAGAAAAAATTCATTTTGCTTTAATCAAAATAATTAAAAGAGTTTTTTTTTGCATTTTTTTGTACTTTTTTAATCGAACTAGACCCTCTTTAGCTTCCTCAACCAGTCGCAAATTTACCTTTCTTCCACGTTTGGATTCAAAGGAGGGCCTACGGGAGTCTACAAGATCGTAAAGAGGGCCTATTTAGGTTCTAAGGGAAGCTAAAGAGGATTCAAATTTCGCCTCGGGTGATTAGTCTGCGACGAGCTACCGTGAAACCTTGACTTACAATAAAGTACTTTATATAATAATCCTAGTTTATTCATTTCACAAGAACCATAATCAAAAAAGAATTTTTAAGTGCTAACTCATTTTTATTTAAACCTCCTTCTGGCGCACCGTGCTCTATCTTTTTGTAAAACTAGAGCAGAAATTAATTTTTTGTAAAAGTTGGATTAAAACTGCGCTAATTTAATTTGTCATTTTGTTACGGAAAAAGTAGAGCAAAAATAAAATTTTCGCCATTTTTGCAGTTTCCGAACTACTTTGAACTGATTTCGGATTTGTCTTTTCATTTAGATTGATTAGATAATTTTTGTATAATTTCCTAAACAGTAACAGAATCGTTCGGATTTAACAGTTTCTAAATTTTAACAATAAAAATAAAATTTAATAAATTTTCCAAAATGGCTAAAAGATTTTAAAAAAATATTTGTCATTGCTTACAGAAATCAGTTCAACGGCAGGTGCAGGACCACTTCACGTTGCCGTCAAACAAGAACGTTTAAATGTCATTGAATGTTTATTATATTTTAATGCCGATATTACTGCACTTAATGGAAATCGTGAACGACCACTTGAATCAAGTTATTCATACACTGAATTTATAACAAGAAGAACGGAAATTGTAATTGCATTTATGGCAATGAAAAATATTGAAGTTAATTATTTCGATGATATGGAAATTGATGAAGATGATGAAACATTTTTGGAATTAAATGGCAATCGTAATATGGCATATTTTTATTATCGTAAATGTCAAGTGGAAATAATAAAAATGAAACAAAAAAAAATTTGCGACGAAAGAAATATAACATTCTATGATTTTCTTGTTAATGATTTAATGCGTGTTACAATTTCGGCAAGATATAAAAAAATTCTCGAAATTCTTGATTTAAATAAATATCAATTTGAATTTCCTTGTTATTTTTTTTTATTAAAAAAACGAATTGAAAGAATTAAAAAAATGCTTCAAATACAAGATTCAGTGATATGTTTATTTCAAAATTTTGTAAATATTGAATTGCCAATAATTGTTATTGATAAAATATTTGAGAATTTTAGTGCGAGGGATTTTAGAAATATTGCACGAATTCTTTTATTATAGGGTTGAGAAAAAAATTTTATTAAAAAAAATTGTAAATTGACTTTTCTTGATAATTGAAGCGAATTCTAACTTATTTAATCGTGTGGTTTATTATTATTAATAAAATTATTATTATTACTATTAACTGTGTTTACTGAAATTGTGAATTTAGAATATTTTTCATCTACACTTTTGATAATTATATGGCCCTAGAGATAATTTTTGTATTTAATTTTTATTTTCAAGAAACTCATAGTAAATAGGTTCAATGCCAATTACGATGTTTATAAATAATTTGTCTATTTAATTATTATTAATTTATTTGTGACAATCAGAACTTATCACTCAAAAATCTTTTTTATTATGACATTAATATATTTCTTGTAAAAATTTATATATATATTTTTTTTTTTTGCAAAATTGTGTTTTGCATCATATATTTTAATTCGAGTATAATTTTCGACGATAAATAATTGTATAAGATTTTTTTTTTTTTGATGAAATACGATGTAATATAATATAACGTATAATTGAAGGAAACTCAATTATTATTATCAATTAATTTATATATATATATATACTATGTAAGTGATATATTGTGATGTGCTCTCTTTTTTTAATTAAAATAGTAATTAATACAAATTTAATTTATTACAATGTAATCCTTTGAAAAATCTATTTTTATAATTTTTATTATTTTTCATGAATAATTTTTACAAATTTTTATGTTCATTGATTCATTTCGATGCATAGAATTTAATTTATTTATTGTATTATTTTTTTTATGCGTAAAATATTAAAATCAGTAAAAAAAAGTTTATTAAAAAAAATAAAAGTTTATTTTTTTAAGCCAATATGAAATTTCATACATGAAAAAATGTAAAATAATAATAAGATATTATTATGTATAATATGTATGTATAGTAATATTATTATTATTATGTAAATAATAAAGATAGTATGAAATCTCTACCACGTTAAAAGTATAAAAATTTTTTTTGTAATTGTGAATAATTTTACTGTTTTAAAATTTTAGCTTAAAAACAATTCCAAGTAAAAAATAGTTTTATTCTTTCTCTTTGAAAATTACAATCATTTAAAATATTATTGTGATTTTGAAGACTTCAACTTTTGAATAAAAATGTGTTTTTTAAAATTTTTGGTGCTCCTTCCTTTTTGCATTCTTGTCGTAGTAAACTGCAGTCCTACTAATATAAATAGCAAAACGGTAAGATTTATTTAACATTTACTTCTAATTTGTGAATATTATTATTCTTATATAACAGGCCTCGGATTGTATAACTTTTCCAATTTTTTCGACTTCTTTTACAAAAATAATTAGAAATTAATTAAATTCAAAACAATTTAATAAAATTTCATTTTATACGGTTTTTACTGCTTTAAAATTTTTGTTAAAAAAAAATATATTTTTATTTTCATATCCTAACAGTTAGTATTGTATTATTTTTTTTATGCGTAAAATATTAAAATCAGTAAATAAAAATGTTTAGGAAAAAAATAAAAGTTTATTTTCTTAAGACAATATACACCGTGCGACACGATTTTTCACACACGAAAAAATCAATGATTTTAAGAAACTAGGACCAAAAAAAAGATACCCGTGTCTGGCCGTTTTGCTAGATCAGGTCATTTTTTGCTTTTAGGGGTAAAAACAACCCTTAAATGAAAGGTGATAGGAAATCATGTACAAATTAATAATTTTTTATGTAACCTGGTATCTCGGGGTTTTCCGGGTCGCTGATTACGAATCTGATGTCAGATTTTCAAAATTCAAAATGGCGGATCCAATATGGCGGTCGAAATTTATAAAAGTTCATCGCGAATTCACTTGAAACTTGTTACTTGAAGGTTTTTGGGGTTGCTGATTACAAATTTTATGTCGGGTTTTCAAAATTCAAAATGGCGAATTCAATATGGTGGTCGAAATTTATAAATGTTATTAGTTTTTTATAAAACTTCGTATTTCTGGGTTTTTGGGGTCGCTGAGTACGAATCTGATTGTTGATTTTTAAAATTCAATATGGCAGACTCAATATGACGGTTGAAATTTATAAAAATTGTTAATTTTTTTATAAAACTTGGTATCTAAGGGCTTTCGGCGTCTCTAAGTACGAAAGTGATGTCAGATAAGAATAATAAAAACGCCAAATCTAATAAAGGAGAAGATCACAAATCTGAAAAATAATTTGGAAAATTTAAATGTTCGATCAATTTTTTGTTAAAATTTGCAAGCCAACATTTTAAAATTTTTATTTTAAGTGATTTTTAATCTGAAAATTCGTATATTTATTAACTAAGTTTCTATTAGAATTAATAAATTCAAAAGGTTATAATCAAAATTTATTAAACAAATATAATGCAATTAAATAAAATTAATAGAAACATTTCATAACAACTCTTGTATTACGTTTGTCTAAATTTTAGACGCTTATTTTTACGATTTAAAGATTCGACCGCCATATTGGATCCGCCATTTTGAATTTTAAAAATCTGACATCAGATTCGTAATCAGCGACCCGGAAAACCCCGAGATACCAGGTTACATAAAAAAATATTAATTTGTACATGATTTCCTATCACCTTTCATTTAAGGGTTGTTTTTACCCCTAAAAGCAAAAAATGACCTGATCTAGCAAAACGGCCAGACACGGGTATCTTTTTTTTGGTCCTAGTTTCTTAAAATCATTGATTTTTTCGTGTGTGAAAAAAAAGTTGAATTTTGTCGGACGGTGTTATGTATAAAATGTATGTATAGTAATATTATTATTATTATGCAAATAATAAAGATAGTATGAAATCTCTACCACGTTAATAGTATAAATTTTTTTTTGTAATTGTGAATAAGTTTACTGCTTTAAAATTTTAGATTAAAAACAATTTCAAGTAAATTCAAATCAATTATTTAATGTGACTAATTAAAATTAAGTATTTTTGAGTCTAAAATTCAGGTATTAATAAAGTTTATTTTATTTAGCGCTTCATTTCAAATTATGCACTTGACTCTTCATTTAGCATACCTTTAATAGTTAAAAGATGCATACAGGAAGTGGAAAACAGAGGAATGAATGAACCATTATTATACTTTGAAATTAGCTACGAAGAGAATGGTAAAAAATTATTCACAGAATTAACTAACAATCACGTCGATCTATCGCAACAAAATCCTCTGATAATTGCCGAAACTCTCAAATTCTTTTTGAGGTAAAAAAAATCAATCAAGATTACCTCATGTTTTTCGTACTTATTTTTATTATCATAATAATCTTATTAAATTTATTTTAGATTTTTAAAGTCACCTTTGATTGTTCCTGAACTGATTAATGAATTTTCACAAGCTGTAGAATCAACAGTTGATTTCGAAAAATTAGATGAACTGATTGACAAACTTCCGCTTGTAAATCGAAGAACTCTTGCATTACTGATGACACATTTAAAACGAGTCTTAAAACAGAATCACGTTTCACAAATGCAATTAAACATAATTTTTAAACATCTTTTTTTTTATTGTTATGCGTCTCCAAATATTGCGGGAAATGTAAATGAATTTTCAATTTTTTCTATTTTCATAATTATTCTGTGCGAAAAATTGTGGTTATTTTGTTAATTTTATTAAATTTATTATTTGCAGATTCTTGATGCCTTTTTTTCTTTTCCATTCAAATATTGGAATTTAATTACTAATTATACTTCAATTGTGAGTGTAAAAAAATAAATTTTCATAATAATTTTCTTATCGATTTTTCAACTTTACTTATTTCCCAAAAAGAGACACAAAATTGGCAAAATCTTACGTAAGAATGGCTTCTACCCCCCCCCCCCCCCCCCGACGTAAGACCATGTAGAGATTTTAAAAACCCCCCCTCCCCCAAAGGATCCTTACGTAATTAATTAATGGCCACTAACTCTCCATTGTAACTTAATGTGCAAACTATCTAAAAAGTATCACGCAGGGGGAGGGGGGGGTGTAAATTACCTAAAATTTGTATCACGTAATCTGTGAATGATCTTGTTAATAAAATGAATATATTTTTTTGACATGTATTTTAATAATTTTTTTTCTAAATTAAAAAATTTGTTCTTTTTTATATTGAAATAAACAGATCAAGATTCGTCAAGAAGAAAACTCGGCAATAAATACTGAAGATGATATGCGAAATGAAGTGGTAAAAAATATTCAATATTTTTAATGTACATGAAATAACAACTTATTTGAAAGAGGGTGGAGTATGACTTATTATTTATTAAGTATAATTTAGTCTAAATCATTTTATTTCAAGAAATTACGGAAAATCATAAGTACTTTTTGGAAACTTGACTTTTTATTTGTTCATTATAGAGCTGCCGGATTAAAGAAGGGAGCATAACTAATGTAATTCATATGGATTATGTGACATTCTTTGATCAGGCAGCTCAATTATAAACTAATCCCATTAAAAAGAAAATAAAATATTTTTTTAAGAAATCACTTTTCTCATTTTAATAAAAGTTTTCCTCTCTTTATTCTAATAAACAGATTCATGTATTATCGTCAGAAGATGAGACAATGCAGCAAAATTCAGATGAAAGGCAACCAGAAAAGGTTAAAAACTATTAAATATTTTTAACAAAAAATATCTTTTTTACAACTAGTACCTATATTTTTTAATTTGAAAATTTTTAATATTTATTTATCGCCTGTAATTTGTAGAAAAAAATCTTCAGTAATTCAATTTTACAAAAATTCCAAACGAAAAATCGCTTCAAATTCAATTATTCATACAAAAAAAAAATAATAATTTAAAAAATATTGAATAACTTTATTTTATTTAGCTCCGCATTCACCAGTATTCACTTGACTCTTCATCTTCCATACCTATAATAATTATAAGATCCATACAGGAACTGGAAAACAGAGGAATAAATAATATACAAGACACTTATTATTATACCAGAAACAGGAATGTGAATGACAATAATTTATTGAAAGAAATTATACTTTCTAACAATGTCGATTTATCACAATATGACCCTCTGATATTTCCCAAAATTATCAAAACATTTTTGAGGTAAAAAAAAAGTCAATCAAAATTTCTCAATTTTTCGTAATTTTTTTTATTATCATAATAATCTTTTTAAATTTATTTTAGTGATTTGAGGTCACCTTTGATTGATCCTCGTATGAGTAAAAACTTGTCACAAGCTGTAGAATCAACAGTTGATTTCAAAAAATTAAAAGAACTGATTAAGGAACTTCCGCTTGTAAACCGAAAAACTCTTGCATTGCTAATGATACATTTAAAACGAGTTTTAATTAATGAAAATAGCGTTTCGCAATCGAGATTAAACTTATATTATAGAAGAGCTTTTATTTCTTATTATACGTCTGCAGATAATCAGAAAAAAGTAGATGAATTTTCAATTTATTCTATTTTTATAATTATTGTTCTCTATTGGTTATTTTGTTAATTATTAAATTTATTATTTACAGATTATTGATGCTTTTTTTTCTCTTCCATTCGATTATTGGAATTCCATTACTGATTATGCTTCAGTTGTGAGTATAAATAAATAAATAAATTTAAAAATATTTTCTTGTCAATTTTTCAATTTTACTTAATTTCCCAAAGAGAAACAAAAATTCAATTAACAAATTAAGTAGAAATTTAATTATGCTACGTGATCTCGTCCTCTAGATCAATTGTATTAACGCTAGTTGCTAGATCCAATTCACAGTTTTTTAAATATTCGCGCTAAAATTCCGAGTGTCTCCACCTGATGGCCTCTCTCAGCTATCCCGCGTCTCTCACTTATTCAGCCATTACGCTTTTCTGTGCGATCCTTTACACACGCTCGCGAGTGCAATCAGAAAATTAATATAAAGTTTCGATATGGGTCGTGATAGGAAAAAGTCTAAGAAGTCCAAAAAGTCTCGCAAGAGGAAGAGGGACAAGAAATTAGAGAGAATTTTCGAAGAATTACAACATCTACGTAATAGGAGGAACGAAAGATTACCTTCAAGGTCGAGTAACACGAGGCGTTCGAACGACAACGTTGACGGCGAGCAGAACCCGAGAGGTCTGTCACGTCACAGTCGGGACCGATCACGGTCAATTTCGATCAACAGGGGAACCCAAAATGAATTGTATAAAAAACCAAAAGACAACAGAATTGACGGTGAGCGTGACCCGAGAGGCACGTCACGTCATAGTCGTCGCAGGCGTCGTTCTCCGTCTTCATCCCCATCTTCATCCTCGTCTAGCACATCCAGATCATCTTCATCGGATTCATCATCAAGCGGCTCGAGCTCTAACGCTTCGACCGATCCAGTAAAAGCCTCACGAAAGCGGCGTAGGTAGCGTTCACGCGAAAGAACGAACTCTCCCGAACATTTACGACAACAGCCGGAAATCGAAAACTCGACCATTGACGCCGAAACACTTAACCTATTGGGTAGTGTGAACGAAAATATTAAATTCGGCCCAGAATTAAATAAAAAATTAGTCGATGTATGGGAAAATATATTAAAAGCAGGGCTTTCCAAGGATATAAGGAAAGAGCTTATTGAAAAGTACCCAACTGCTATCAATTGCAAGATATTGCAATCTCCAAAACTCAACCCAGAAATAAAATCTGTCATAGGACAATTGTCTCTAAAAAAGGACAGCTTTCAGGTCCTCAACCAAAACCAGCTAAGCGCTGGAGTAATAGCCTTGGGAACGTGCTTGTCAGAACTTCTGTCAAAACCACAAGCCGAAATAAATGTTTCCCAGCTAATAGTCTTATTAGCAGACGCAGGGAGAATTTTAACCGATTTACACCACAGGATCTCGTTAACCCGTCGATCTTTTATCACGCCGGGATTAAATCAACTCGTTAAAAACGTCGCCGAAGATTGTGACGTAGATACTTTGCTCTACGGAGAAAAATTCACTGAAAAACTGAGTGCGGCGAAAAGTGCCGAAAAATCCGGCAAGGAAATCGCAAAGCCGTCAACAAAAACACCAATCGAAAAGAAAAGAATATACCCGAAGGAAGCATATCCTCGTCCTTTAAACTACCGAGGTCCCCCCAAAAGGAGCTTCAAGGAAACTCGCCAGGGAGGACATCAGAAGGAACAGCGGAATCGCCTTTACGAGAAACCTCGTCGTTAGAACAAGTAAGTGAAAATATTATTGCAGGGAGACTAAGACTGTTTGCCCATAACTGGGAAAAATTGACAACTGATCCCTTGATTCTCCAATACGTTACTGCATACGAAATTCCCTTCAAATCTAAACCTTGGCAAGCCGAAGCTCCCAAGGAGCCTAACATACCGGCACAAGAGGAAATCGAGTATAACGTGGCGATCTAAAAATTAATTAAAAAAGGGGCGTTGTCGATGTGTTCACCATTCGAAGGTCAATTTTTATCCACTTATTTTCTTGCTGATAAGTCCAATGGACAAAAAAGATTTATTTTAAATCTTAAAAAGTTAAATGTTTTTCTTGATCCTCTCCACTTTAAGCTCGAGGACAGAAAAACGGTTGCTAGAATCCTATTTAAAGGGGCATTTCTAGCAACTCTTGACCTTACAGACGCTTTTCTTTTAATTCCGGTAGCTGCCCCGTTTAGAAAATATTTGAGATTTATGTTTAGAGGCATTTATTACGAATTCAATTGTGTTCCATTTGGCTTATGCACAGCCCCATATGTTTTCACGAAACTCATGAAACCGGTCGTCGAGAACTTGAGATCGCGATTATTTTTATCTGTAGTTTATTTAGATGATTTTTTGATAATTGGCAAAACAAAAACAGAGTGCCTCGAAAATATTCGAGCAACACAAATTTTACTAAAGAACTTGGGTTTTATCGTGAACCTAGAAAAATCTAACATCGTACCATCAAAAAGTGCCAAGTATCGTGGGTTCATATGGAATACGCAAAAAATGTCAATAGAATTAACAGACGATAAAAAGAAAACAATTTATACGAAAGCAAAAGAATTTTATGTAAAGAAAACTTGCAAAATTCGAGAACTAGCACAATTTCTAGGTTTATTAATAGCTTCGTGTCCAGCCATACAATACGGTACCTTGTATACAAAAAATTTAGAAAGGGAAAAATATTTATCACTAGTTAAGGAAAACGGTAATTACGAGAGCCGAATGAACCTTCCGAAAAAATTGTTGCCCGATTTAAAATGGTGGATCGACAATATCCTAGTAGCCACCAACCCCATTCGAACATCGGAGTTTACCCTCGAGATTTTTACAGACGCCTCATTAACTGGTTGGGGAGCGGTTACCGGAAACAATCGTACTCACGGTTGGTGGAGCGCGGACCAACGCGATGATCATATTAATTACCTCGAACTCCTGGCAGCATTTTACGGATTAAAATGCTTTGCCAAAAACCTACGCATTGACAACACAACTGCGATCTCTTATATAAACAAAATGGGCAGTGTACAGTACCCAAAACTCAGTAGTTTATGTAAGCAGATATGGCAGTGGTGCGAAGAACGCAAGTTATGGATTTTCGCGTCATACATCGCATCACGTGAAAATTCCATAGCCGATAGAGAATCTCGATTATTACCTAAAGAAACCGAATGGGAGTTAGCACCTTACGCGTTTACAAAACTCGAAAACATCTTCGGCAAATTCGAAATAGACTTATTTGCATCTAGCTCGAACAATAAATGCAAGAAATTTATTTCTTGGAAGCAGGACCCGAACTCTTGTGCAGTAGATGCATTTACCGTGAAATGAGATCAATATAAATTTTACGCTTTTCCCCCATTCTCACTCATTCTTCGAACTTTGCAAAAAATAATCACCGATAAATCTGAAGGCGTACTTGTCGTACCATACTGGCCAACTCAGTCTTGGTTTCCCTTATATAACTCAATGTTAATAAGTGATCTCGAACATTTTAAACCGGATAATAATTTACTTTTTTCTTCGTTTAGGGAGACGCATCCACTGGCGAACAAGCTTATCCTGGTAGCAGGTCTTTTATCAGGGAAGCTTTTTTAGCACAAGGAATTCCGGAGGCTTCAATTCCACTCACACTTCAATCATTATCAACCAGTACCATCCAGCAGTACAACAAACCCTTGAGGTTGTGGTGGAACCACTGTAAAACGAAGGGAATATCAATGTTCGAAGCCCCGGTCCAGGATGTCTTAAATTTTTTAACGTCATTATCCGAATCAATAAAAACATACGGCACTCTAAACAGTTACCGCTCCGCCGTATCTCTTGTTTTAAAGTACGACCTTGGAAGTAACCCCTTGGTCAAAAGATATTGTAAAGGTTTTTCAATCGCCAAACCTTCACGTGCAAAATATAAAGACATATGGGACCCCGACATCGTCTTGCGGTACCTAGAGGAACTCGGCCCTAACGAAGAATTAAATTTAGAAACTATAACTAAAAAATTGTTAACTCTCCTTGCGTTGTCTACCGCTCAGCGGTTACAGACTCTGGTAAAAATAGATATTCATAATATTAAAATTCATAATAATGAAATAAAAATTTACATTCCGGATAGGATTAAAACGTCCAAGATAGGGAAAGAGCAACCTATGTTGCGCTTTCCCTACCTTCTAGAACAGCCGAATCTCTGCGTCGCAACCTTAATTAAAGTATATTTAGAAAAAACAAATACAATTAGAGAAACAGGAGTGAACTCCTTACTATTAACTTTTAAAAAGCCACATCATCCAGCAACCGCACAAACAGCAAGTCGTTGGCTTAAAGATATTATGAACGAAAGCGGTATTGATGTCACCACGTTCGCAGGCTACAGCTCAAAACACGCCGCCGTTTCGACAGCCCAACGCAAGGGATTAGATATTGAGAGCATTAGGCTTGCAGCAGGCTGGTCTAAAAATTCTAATGTATTTGGGAAAGTTTTATAATCGTCCCCTCCGAGAAAAATGTAATTTTGCGAAGACAGTACTTGAATGTAAGAAATAAAATTTGTTCTTCAAATCGATATCTTTTCCTTCTTTAAACAACTACAATTGATCTTAAGGACGAGATCACGTAGCATAATTGTACGATTAAATGAACTTACCTGAAGTGAAGTTCAATCGTAATTATGCAAGTAGATCTCGTCCGAATAGATCACTCCCACCCAACCCTAATGAACCCATATCGATTTGAATTAATCCAACATAAAAGCATAATGGCTGAATAAGTGAGAGACGCGGGATAGCTGAGAGAGGCCATCAGGTGGAGACACTCGGAATTTTAGCGCGAATATTTAAAAAACTGTGAATTGGATCTAGCAACTAGCGTTACTACAATTGATCTATTCGGACGAGATCTACTTGCATAATTACGATTGAACTTCACTTCAGGTAAGTTCATTTAATCGTACAATAAAATGAATAAATTTCTTTTAAAAACGTGTATTTTAGTAATTTTTTTTCTAAATTAAATAATTTGACCATTTTTATTGAAGTATTTATTAAGTATTTATTAAGTATCATTTAGTCTAAATCATTTTATTTCAAGAGATTACGGAAAATTATAAGTACTTTTTGGAAACTTGACTTTTTATTTGTTCATTATAGAGCTGCCGGATCAAAGAAGGGAGCATAACTAATGTAATTCATATGGATTATGTGACATTCTTTGATCAGGCAGCTCAATTATAAACTAATCCCATTAAAAAGAAAATAAAATATTTTTTTAAGAAATCACTTTTCTCATTTTAATAAAAGTTTTCCTCTCTTTATTCTAATAAACAGATTCATGTATTATCGTCAGAAGATGAGACAATGGAGCAAAATTCAGATGAAATGCAACCAGACAAGGTTAAAAACTATTAAATATTTTTAACAAAAAATATCTTTTTTACAACTAGTACCTATATTTTTTAATTTGAAAATTTTTAATATTTATTTATCGCCTGTAATTTGTAGAAAAAAATCTTCAGTAATTCAATTTTACAAAAATTCCAAACGAAAAATCGCTTCAAATTCAATTATTCAATAATAATTTAAAAAATATTAATATTAAATAACTTTATTTTATTTAGCTCTACATTGAAGATTATCCACTTAACTCTTCCATACCTTTAATAATTATAAGATCCATACAGGAACTGGAAAACAGAGGAATAAATAATATACAAAACACTTATTATTATGCCAAAAACACGAATGTGAATGAGAATAATTTATTTAAAGAAATGATACTTTCTGACAATGTCGATTTATCACAATATGACCCTCTGATATTTCCCAAAATTATCAAAACATTTTTGAGGTAAAAAAAAGTCAATCAAAATTTCTCAATTTTTCGTAATTTTTTTTTATTATCATAATAATCTTTTTAAATTTATTTTAGAGATTTGAAGTCACCTTTGATTGGTTTTCAATTGAAAAAAAACTTCTCACAAGCTGTAGAATCAACAGTTGATATCAAAAAAATAAAAGAACTGATTAAGGAACTTCCGCTTGTAAACCGAAAAACTCTTGCATTGCTAATGATACATTTAAAACGAATTTTAATTAATGAAAATAGCGTTTCGCAATCGACATTAAACTTATATTATAGAAGAGCTTTTTTTTTTAATTCTATCTCTGCAGATAATCAAAAAAAAGTAGATGAATTTTCAATTTATTCTATTTTTATAATTATTGTTCTCTATTGGTTACTTTGTTAATTATTAAATTTATTATTTACAGATTTTTGATGCTTTTTTTTCTCTTCCATTCGGTTATTGGAATTCCGTTACTGATTATGCTTCAGTTGTGAGTATAAATAAATAAATAAATTTAAAAAAATTTTCTTGTCAATTTTTCAATTTTACTTAATTTCTTAAGGAGAAACAAAAATTCAATTAATAAATTAAGAAGAAATTTAATAAAATGAATAAATTTTCTTTTTAAAAACGTGTAGGTATTCTAGTAATTTTTTTCTAAATTAAATAATTTGACCATTTTTATTGAAGTATTTATTAAGTATTTATTAAGTATCATTTAGTCTAAATCATTTTATTTCAAGAGATTACGGAAAATTATAAGTACTTTTTGGAAACTTGACTTTTTATTTGTTCATTATAGAGCTGCCGGATCAAAGAAGGGAGCATAACTAATGTAATTCATATGGATTATGTGACATTCTTTGATCAGGCAGCTCAATTATAAACTAATCCCATTAAAAAGAAAATAAAATATTTTTTTAAGAAATCACTTTTCTCATTTTAATAAAAGTTTTCCTCTCTTTATTCTAATAAACAGATTCATGTATTATCGTCAGAAGATGAGACAATGCAGCAAAATTCAGATGAAAGGCAACCAGAAAAGGTTAAAAACTATTAAATATTTTTAACAAAAAATATCTTTTTTACAACTAGTACCTATATTTTTTAATTTGAAAATTTTTAATATTTATTTATCGCCTGTAATTTGTAGAAAAAAATCTTCAGTAATTCAATTTTACAAAAATTCCAAACGAAAAATCGCTTCAAATTCAATTATTCATACAAAAAAAAAATATTAATATTAAATAACTTTATTTTATTTAGCTCTACATTGAAGATTATCCACTTAACTCTTCCATACCTTTAATAATTATAAGATCCATACAGGAACTGGAAAACAGAGGAATAAATAATATACAAAACACTTATTATTATGCCAAAAACACGAATGTGAATGAGAATAATTTATTGAAAGAAATGATATTTTCTGACAATGTCGATTTATCACAATATGACACTCTGATATTCCATAAAATTATCAAAACATTTTTGATGTAAAAAAAAAGTCAATCAAAATTTCTCATTTTTTCGTAATTTTTTTTATTATCATAATAATCTTTTTAAATTCATTTTAGTGATTTGAGGTCACCTTTGATTGTTCCTCGTATGATAAAAAACTTGTCACAAGCTGTAGAATCAACAGTTGATTTCAAAAAATTAAAAGAACTGATTAAGGAACTTCCGCTTGTAAACCGAAAAACTCTTGCATTGCTGATGATACATTTAAAACGAGTTTTATTTAATAAAAGTAGCGATACGCAATCGAAATTAAACTTATATTATAGAAGAGCTTTTATTTCTTATTATACGTCTGCAGATAATCAGAAAAAAGTAGATGAATTTTCAATTTATTCTATTTTTATAATTATTGTTCTCTATTGGTTATTTTGTTAATTATTAAATTTATTATTTACAGATTATTGATGCTTTTTTTTCTCTTCCATTCGATTATTGGAATTCCATTACTGATTATGCTTCAGTTGTGAGTATAAATAAATAAATAAATTTAAAAATATTTTCTTGTCAATTTTTCAACTTTAATTATTTCCGAAAAAGAAACAAAAATTTAATTGATAAATTCATTAGAAATTTAATTAAAATGAATTAATTTTGTTAATATTTATTTTAATAATTTTGTTTTCTAAATTAAATAATTTTCCCTCTTTTTATTGAAATAAACAGATTAATGGATTATAATCAGAAGAAGATGACTTAGTTTTATGATGATGTAATGAATATTTCTTTTTAATCTACAAAGAAAATAATTTTATCTTGATATATTTATGAGCGATTCTCGAAAGGATTTCGACAAAAATGTCATTTAAAGATTTCTTGTTTATGATTTTTTTATTTAAAAAAAAATATAATTATAATAAATATAATATATAAATATAATAATTATATAAATATATAATTATAATTCAATAAAAATTTTTTTTCTCATCTTTATTTATGCTAAGTATCTGAGAGAGATTTCAGTGTTTCATTGTTTCCTTCTTTTTCTTCAATTTCTTAATTTGAACAAAAATTGTAATTCTGATAATTCAAAAATTAAATCAATTTAAATTTGAATAAATTAGAATTCTAATTTTAACTTTAATAATTTAAAATTCAAAAAATTTCCAACTGAAACCAATATCAAAAAATTTGAAATAATTTTAAACGTTAAATTAACATTTTGATGATTTGAGACATCAATCGATTTAAAATTTGAATACAGTTTTAAACTTGAAATCAATTAGTATTTGAATAAATTTAAATTCGGACAACTGGAATAATTTAAATAAGAAACGTAAATTAATTAAAATTTTGATAATTTTAAACTTTTCATTTAAAATTCATAAAGAATTTGGAATTTTTTAAATTTACCTTCAGATTTGTAATAAATTTGAATTTTCGAAAGAAAAGAGAAAAAAATCGTAATATTGTACCAAATTTATTTCGGTTGATAGTGAAATTTATTTTAAAAAAAACATTTTTTAATTTAATTAAAAATTAAATACAGATTTTTATTACACTTTATACATTAGAAATTTATAAAAAATATACAGATTCAATTATAAAGATAGTAATTATTATTATTCCTATAAATAATTTTTTTACACATTAATAATTAAATATTTATTGCATAATACTTTCATTAAAAAATTGAAACAAAATTTGAACAAATAAATATAATTAGATTTTTTCATTTTGCTTAAATTAACATTTTCTTTGTTTCTTATATTAAAAATTATAAATATTTCTTTCATTCAAATTAAAATTATTGCTTTTAATAAAATTACAATTATTTCTTTCACTTAAATTATAATTATTTATTTTTACAAAGAAAAAAAAAAAAAACAATACTTAATAATATTAATTCGTAGATTTTTTTTTCGCAGTTTTTTTTTTACAAAAATTTGTATATTTTTGAAATAAATGATAAAACTTATTAAAAAAACCAAATGGAAATAAAGTTTCGTGATGTTAAAGCACGAATGATTATTTTAAGTTTTTTTTTATTATCATTCACTCTTTGCTTTGTCTTATGTCTTTACAAGACAATAAAAAAATAAAATAATTGTAAATGTTATCAAACTAATTTATCGATTTGAAAAATTTTATGGAAAATAAAAAGCGTTGTAAAAACAGAGAAAATTTCGTTATAATTGTAATAATAAATATATAAAATTACAAAAGTAATTATATCTTTTTTTTTTTGTCAATAATTCAGAAATTATTTTTTTCATTAATTTTGTCTTTTCTAATAAAAAAAAAAAAAAAAATTGATTTTTACAATTACTCTATACAAATATGTTACAATTTAAATTAATCAGATTTCGTATATTGGAGAATAATTTCAATATTTTTTCATTGCTCGTCGTCCCTTTAGAGAAAATGAATAATCACTTTCAGTATCGTCGGACACGGAATCTTCAAACCATGTTCTACTTGAGGCAAAAGAATCAAATAATGAATCATTACATTTTAGGGAACGACTTGAATACCCCGATTCTAAAATTGCGTTTTCTTCGTGTTTTAAAAATTTTTTCATCGACTCAAGTTGTTGTGTTTCAAATGTTTGTAAATTTTTATCAATTTTTGTCGCTGGTATAATGTGACTCATTTTTTCTGGTATTGAATTTGAATTTACACTCGATGTTCGACGAAACATTTCAATTTCTTCTTGATTCATATTTAAAATATTATTTGTCCTGTCAATGAATTCTTGTTTCACGGGAATCCAATGAACATCATTTTTCACGATTGTTGATTTATTGGTGGTAGTTGTGGATTTTTTTGTGAATGGACTTCGGATATTACTTTTTAATGTTGATGTTGCCGGTACTTTTGCAGTACCAATTTCTGAGCCCTTATAGGACAATGACATTGATGAGAGTGAGGCTGCTGAATTTGATGATTCATTATCACTTTCACTTACGCTTCCACTTTCAGTTCCGCTGACACTGACACTGTCAATTTCAGTTTCAGTTTCTTTTGTCATCATCTCCTTTAACTAAAAACAAACAACAACAAAAATACTAAATTTAAAATTCAATTTTTAATTTTGAAATGCAATTATTATTTTAATCCTGATTACAAGATGAAAAATAAATTTCAAGGAAACTTCCAAAAATTTTCATCATTTTTAATGGTTGAAAAAAAAATGTTTTTAATTTTCTAATAATTTGTAAATTTATATAAAAATAAAAATTTACCTTCTTTTCATTAAATTCAATAATTGATTTCTTCTCATGTCTCAAGTTATTCATTAAACGTTTCGTTTTTGTCACAACTGCATAAAATCGAGGCAATTTTGATCCACATTCTTCACAAGCTTTATTGCAATCCATACCAGCTGGCTTCACTTCGCCAATCCAATATGTTGAATTCAAATAATCTGAATTAAAAAAAAATAAATTAATATCATTTTAATAATATGAATGACACGAGGAAATTTTTTTTTCTTCAAATTTCCCTGATATTAACAAATTTTTTGTTAAATTTAATTAATTATTATAGAAATTTAATATATAAATTGAAAAGAAAATTTAGTTTAATTAAAATTTAGACAATTTGCAACATAAATCAATTAAAAATTTAAACAAATTGTAATTTGAATAATTTTTAACTTAATTTAATTTTTCTATTATTTGAAATTTAAATCAATTAAAATTTAGATAAATAAAAAATCCAGATAATTTGACACTTAAAATCAATTGAAATTTGAATAATTTTAAATTTAAGACAATTAAAATTCTAACAAATTGAATTTCGAATAATTTTGAAATTTAAATCAATTAAAATTCGGTAAAAATTGAAATTACGCATTTCTTTTTTTATTATTTGTTTCCAATTATTTTAAACTTAAATCAATAAAAAAAACTTGGAGAAATTGAAATTTAAATAATTTAAAAATTTAAATATCTATTTATTTAAAAAAAAAAAAAAAAACATTTTCTCTTACCTTTTCTTATTTTTCCTGATTCATTGCCATTTCTTGCTTTAGTTGACATACAGGAAGTGGCTGTTGTATCGCAAGTCGATGGTATTGAAATATCGAGTCCAAAATTTTGTTCCCGATTTATCATTGGATTTGGACGTAATGGCGATGGTCTCTCCAATGTACTTGTGTAGAAACCACGTTTTTTTACCGTATCAGGCGTTGATAATTGTGGAATCTAAAAATAAAAAATTTATTATTTGTTACAATTTTTTTTTTTTTTTGCTATTTTCTTTATCTATTTTTTGTTATAAATTTCTTGTTGTAAAAAAAAATTCCGAATAATTTTTAACGTCATTATTTAAAAAATATTGTTTCATATTGAAAAAAAAGTAAAATAATTTTCGACATTTTTTTTTCTTTTTTTGCCGATTTTAAAAATGATCATTTTTTATATTTTAACGAATTTTTTTTGAATTTTTTTTTAATATTAATTTTTCATAACAAAATTTTTTGTAGTAAAAAAAATTCCGTTATAATTTTCAAAGTCATTTTAAAAAAAATTGTTTTATAAAAAAATGTTAATAATTAAAATATACGATATTAGGATTCTTTAATAAAAATTCGAGCAAATAAAAATTCTGACAAAAAAATTCGAACAAATAAAAATTTTGTGAAGTGAATTTTCGATTATATAAAAATTCTGCAAATTACTAATTTGAACAAATAAAAAATTCAGCTCAAAAATAATTATGACAAATCAAATTTCATAAAAATGAAAAAATTCTAATTCTTCTTTTGAAAAATGAAAATTCTAATTATAATAAATTTCATAAAATAATCATGCGTCCCTTTTTTTCCGCAATTTGAATATTTTGATTTAATTTTAACAAAATTGAGTGAAATAAATTTTTTTCTTGTCTTTAATATTAAATTAATTAAAATTCATTTTTACTCACTTTAAATTCAGAAACTGGAGTCATAAATGGTGTACCAATTTTTTTAATAAATGGTTTTGGTGAAATAACATTCACCAATGATGAATTAAAATATGAAGATTGATTAGTTTTATCATTAATTGGAGTTATACATTTATCAATTTCAGAATCATTTAATCCAAATGTACTTTCAAAATTCTCCGTCATTCTGTCAATTTCTGAATTCATATTTGAATTAATGTCCAAATTTGGAATTTTCTTCAATTGTGATGAAGATGAAGATGACGATGATGGTGATGATGATCCAGAATTTGGCGATGAATCAAGAACAATATTAATGTTTTGAATTTTTCTTGATGGAGAAATTTTTGGATAACTATTACTTTTGTTTCCTAATTTTGTTTTTTGTTGCGAATTCTCATCGTTACATTCATCTTCTTTTGATGACAACAATTGATTATTATAATCGCTAATATCAATTGGTTGTAATTTCTCCAATGTAATTGGCTCTTGTTCGGATTTTTTACATTTTGATGTTAAAATATTTTTTTGATTTTCAATTATTGTCCGTGAATTTGTTTTATTTGTCAAATATGATGTTTCATTTTTGGAGTTTACAATTTTTGTATCTCTACTATAAACACCTGTGGAGTGAAAATTAAATTAAAAAAAAAAAAAAATAATAATAATAAATGAAGAATAATTTAAATTTTCAGATTTTATAATTTTTAGTATAATATTTTTTTAATTATTTTTTTTTTAATAATATTGTTTGGAAACTATTTTTTGTATATTAGTGTTTGGATAGTATATTTTGCATATATATATATTTTTTTGAATATAAATTAATTGAGAAGAAAATTTCATTTAAATAATAATTTTTTTTTTCAATAATAATTTTAAACGAAAAATAAAAATGATTTGACTCTAAATTATACTGAAATTATAAAACGTGAATATAAAATTTGATATTTACGAGTTGGATCGGCATTATCTTCGGTACGACGAGGTTCAGGAATAATTTGCTTCGAACCACCTTTCTTCCATGAGGGTTGTCTATAATCGATGGGAGTATCATTTTTAAGAATTTTCGGTGCCTTAGAATGTTTATTAAGATACCATTCTGGTATTTCCAATTTTTGCAATGCTTTTTGGACTCTCATTTCAGCTTCCGACATCACACGTTTAGGCTAAATATTTAAAAAAAAAAAGAAGTGTTATTTTTTATAACAGGGAAAGTAAATAAAACGTAATTATTATTTTTATTATTATTATTATCAATTATTTAAATTATTAATTATAATATTAATAAATAATTAATATTAATATACATATAATTATTAAGATGAAAACAAAATTAAAAAATTAATTATAAAAATAAAAATTATTAAAGTTTTATCAAATTTATTATGCCAAATAAAATTTATATCAAGTTGTTTTTTCAAATTTTTCTTTATGTGAAATAAGAAAATAATATGCTAAGTTTCTAAAATATATATACTTATAAAACAATTTTTTTTTGTTAAAATTGCTTTATTCATTATTAAACTATTTATTTTTAAAATGAGCTTAGATTAAGAAATACAAGCTAGAGATGCAGAATGATAGCATTAAAAATGATTTTATGGTGAAATGAGAAAAAGTATTTTAAAACTATTTGTATTTGTTGTTGATTAGGCTTTAAAATAGCTTTCATTTTTTTTCTCTCTTTTTTTTTTTTTTTTTTTGCTAATCTACTGATTTCATAATAAGATTATTAGAAATGTACAAAACATTTAGTTTTTCAATTAAAAAGTAATTTTATTTTTATTTTTATTATTATTGTTATTTGTATTTACAATTGTCATAAAAAAAAAGAAAAAAAAAATAATAAAAAGTAAATGAAACTTACAGATTTTGAGTTTTTTCCCAACATGTTATTTTTAATCCACGATGCACTCGATGACATGTTTAGTCACAAAAGAACTTGCTTTCAGAAACTGAAATAAAAAACACAATTTTTTTTTTATTAATATATTTTAATAAAGAAGAAGAAAACCGATAAAACATAATTATTTCATTTTTATTTTATTTTAATTATGCATTATTATTATTTATATTATTATTTATATTATTATAATTTTACTATTTAATTTTTGGATATTATTAAATTAATAATAAATAAAAAAATTAAGATTATTTTTTTTTGTCCCATTTAATAATAAAAATTGCCACTTACTAGAATTTAATTAAATAAATAAAAATTACGAATTAATTTAATTAATAATAGAAAAAATAAATTTCATAAATACAAAAAAAGGAGGAAATTTTTTTTATTTATTTGCAATTAAATTTTTAATCAACTAATTATATTGTACTGTAATTAATTTTCATTAAATGATATTTTATTTTTTTTAAAATATTTACAAGTTTATTATTTATGCAATTTAATTTTATATTTATAAAATCCATAATTTTAGCAACTATTATTTTTAAAAAAATAATTATTAAATAGCAATAAAAATAAATTAAGTAAATATAAAATTTTTTTGTAAAAAAAAAAGTATGAAATTTATTTTGTATAATTTTTGTAATGAAAAAAAAAGTGACAATATTATTAAATAATTTTCATTTACAGATAAAGTAAGACGATAATTACGCTCCTGAGAAAATAAACGTAAATACCAATATATATATATATATATTTTCAAAATATATCCCATTGAAAAATTTTGTGGGTTTTTCCCACTGGGGGGATTTTTTTTTTTCTTTTTCAAAGTTGAAAATATTGAAATTTTGTATATAGTATACCATAGTATATATATATAATATGAATTTAGGGTTCTTTTACATTTTCTGTGTCGGATAATAAAAGTCTCTGACGCCAATATAACCCAAGAGGCTAATCGTTGAGGGATTCAAATATTTTACGAATCAGGCAGGTCACCGTCTTACGAGACCCTCATTTTCGCTCAAAGAAAAGAGGAGTCATAAAACTTAAACGTCATTTTCTCCTGTCGCAATGAAAAGCCTCTTATAATATAAATATATATATATATATATTGCTAAACTGACATGCAGCTGCCCCATTATATATTTACATAGTAATTTGACAAGTTGGAAAATTTAAAAAAAAAAAAAATTTTTTTTTTTTATTTTATAACTTTGTTCCAAACTTTTGTCAAAAAATTTGACTTTTGTATTGTAAGTTATATTTTTATAAATAATAGACTGTAAATATTTTTAATTTAATGAAACAACAATGGACAAAAAAACAGAATATTTTCGCAATTTTAATTTATATTTCAATTGTATTTTATTTATTATTATTATTATTATTATTTAATAATAATTACTATAATTATTGTTATTATTATTATTACTATTATTATTCAATTATTATTTTTTTATTATTATTATTATTATTTTTATTATATAGTTAGTATTTTATTTATATTGTACCTTTATTTTTATATTTTACAATACACAAAAAAATAATAATGTTATGTGAAATGAAAAATTAATGCAACAATAATTTGTTTACAAATAGAAAAGAAATTTGAAAAAAAAAATTGCAGAAAAATAAAATATTTGTTTTTATTATTATTATAAATTTTTTGAAGAATTTCTCACTCGGTGGTAATTAATTATTATTTAATATATATATATATATATAAAATTTACCAATTTCTCCGAATCATTATTATTATTATTTTGTTTATTTTGTATATTTTTATATTTTACCATTTAAAACAAAAAATAATTTTATATATAAAATAAAAAAAAAAAAATTAATGCAACAATAATTTGCTTACAAAATGTAAAAATAAATTAACAAAAATTGTAAAAAATAAAATACAGAATACATTATTATATTTTTATTTTACTTGAATATTTATATATATATATACTTTTTTTTACCATGTACAACCAAAAATAATGTTACATGGAATAAAAAATTTTAAATAAATGAATATTAAAAGTAAATAATAATAATAATAATAAAAATAATTTAAAAATCGTAAATAATTTATTTATTTACAAAATAATGAAAAATAAATATATAAATTTAAAAAAATAAAATATTTTTGTTACTATATATGTCGTAACGTATAAGTAATATTTTAAATAATAATAATAATAATTAATAGAAAAAAATAAAATAAAATAAAAATAGAAAATAAAATAATAATAAAAATATATAATAATGACGATGACAATATTAATTATTATTATTATTTATTTATTTATTATTATTTAATAACGTTAATGACAAATAATATTATTTTATGCATGCAATAATTTGAGGGGAAAAAAATAAAATTAAAAATTATATTATTTAAAAAACAAAAATACTTACATTTTTTTGATTCAAAAATATAAATTATGAAAAAATCAGTAAATTATTTGATTTTTTTTTTTTTGTAAAAATTGCACTTTGTAACACATTTGATGCACTTTTCGACACTCAATAAAAATAAACTTGTAAAACTTTGTTATGGCACGAGGGTTAAATGTGTGACACGACTGAACACGACTGCGACTAAATGCTGAATGCAAAACTAATTGCTGACTTGAGGGGGCTGCTATTATGGATTTCAAAGCAGGTATAAGAAAACTTGACAAGTTTCTATATAATAAGACCAAAGCACCGGAAAAAAAACCCATTATGCCCTACTACAACTCTTCGTTTTTGCGCATCAACCAATCAATGCACTTCCTTTAGTTTCAGGTATATTATTTTTACCCCCCCCCCCCGCAAAGAGTTGTATAATACAAAATTTATACCTAAAAGCTTTTAGCATCAAGTGCTACTGTTATAATATTATAAATATGAAAAAAAGAAGGGGGGTGAGGTCCAAGCAATTGTAAATTTTTTCTAAGTTAAAAAAAAATTATTTTTTTTAAAAACTTTTTCTAATTGAAAAAATTTTTTTTACAAAAATTATTGGTTCAAATATAGAATTAATTGACTTATATATTTAGTTAATTTAAATAAAAATTATTTGATTCAAATGAATAATTATTTTACGATAATAAAAATTTAGCTATTTTATTTGTTCAAATATTTATTTTTAAAAATTTGAATTTATTGAAATTTTTATTTATCAAAAAAATTTTGTACATATTTGAATTTTCATTCAAACAAAATTTATATTTGTTCGAATTTTTATTTGACAAAATTTCTATTTGTTTGAATTTTAATTTAACAGAATTTTTATTTTTAAAAATTTGTATATATTCGAATTTTTATTTGTTCAAATTTTCATTTTTCAAAATTTTTGTATTTCGAATTTTTATTTTAATAGTTATATATTTTCAATTTACCGATTTTTCATATAACAGAATTTTTACCAGATTGAAAATTCATTTATCAGAATTTCTATTTAATTGAATTTTTATTTGACACAATTTTTATTTATTTCATTGAATAAAAATTTTGTCAAAAACTCATTCGAACAAATAGAAATTCTAACAAAGAATTTTTCGATCAAATAGAAATTCGGATAAATGAATTTTTAAGTAAAAATTCTTTAATATGAAAAAACAAATAAATGCGGAAATTCTGTTAAATGAAAAATTCAAACAAATAAAATTTCTGACAAATAAAAAATTCAAACTAAATGCTAATTCTGAAAATTAAAAATTCGAATAAATAGAAATTCCGAAATGTAAAATATTCGCGGTTTACAAATTCTAAAATACTGAAAATCGATTTAATGGGAAATTCTTGCAAAAAAATAATACGAACAAATAAAAATTCTAATATATTAATTTTTAGGCATTATTCGGAACGCATGATAATGTTCTAAAAATCATTAGTTAGAATTTTCAATTTTATGAAATTTCATTTGTCATAATTATTTTTGAGCCGAATTTTTATTTGTTCGAATTAATATTTTGCAAGAATTTTCATCAAAACGATTTTTTATATATTACAGAATTTTTATATAACCGAAAATTCACTTCGTAGAATTTTTATTTATTCGAATTTTTATTTGCTCGAATTTTCATTTAACATAATAGATATTTTAAAGAATTTTTATTGGATAAAATTTTCATTTTACAGGCCTCGGATCGACATTAAAGCACAAGAAAAGTCGTTTTAGTCAATTTATATATTCGAAAAAAAGTCGAAAAAGTAGTTTTTTTCAATTTTAACAAAATTTAATTGGTTAATGAATATTTTACTTCAAATAACTAATGTTATTAGATATTAAATTCATTTTATTAATTCTGTAATGAGAATAATTTTATTAAAGAACATTTATCAAGAATTATTATGAAATAATTGAATTTCAAAAGATTTTGTTAATTTTCTGAGAATAATTAAATTTTACAGAAATGAAAATAATTTATGTTTTGGAAAAAGAATGATTTCACATATTTAAATTTTCGAAATATTGAATTTCAATTTTAATTTATTATCATTGAAAATTTGGAAAATAATTTAATTTTTAGAATTTCCATTGAAAATTTGAAAAATAATTGTATTTTAATTGAAACTTTGGAAAATAATTGAATTTCAGTTGATTTTGGATTGAAAATTTTAAAAATCATTGAATTTTAGTTAATTTTAAATAGAAAATTTTAAAAATAATTGAATTTCAATGGAAATTTTGTAAAATAATTAACTTTTAGTTGATTTTGAATTGAAAATTTTCCTTAAAAAAAATCCTACTTCTGTATTCTTTAGTACAAATGAAAAAAAAAATTGAATTTTAATTAATTTTAAATAGAAAATTTTCAAAATAAATAAATTTCAATTGAAATTTTTGAAAATAATTTAATTGTAGTTTATTTTTGAATTGAAATTTTTTAAAATAATTGAATTAATTAATAATTAAATTTCAAATGTTTTGATTTGAAAAATTGCTTTCAGATAAATGAATTTTTTAATAATTAAATTTCAAGTGATTTTGAATTAAAATTTTTTGGTAATTTTATTTGCTAATTTTTATTTGAAATTATAAACAATTATGAAATTTCATAAAAATTTGAATTAAAAAATAGTTTAAGATAATTGAATTTGTGAAGAATTTCATTAAAATATTATTAAAAATAATTAATTTAGTGAAGAATTTGTTAAATAATTGAAATAAAGAATATCTGCATTGTATACTAAAAAAAAACGTATTGTGTTCAAAATTTTTTTAAAAAAGTCGGAAAAGTCGCATTTTATTAAAATAAGTCGAAAAAAGTCGAAAAAATCGTATAATCCGAGGCCTGATTTTCTTCTTTCAGATGAAATTTCATTTGTTCGAATTATTATTTGACATTATTTTCATTTAACCGATTTTTCATATTACATAATTTTTAAGAAAAATCAATTTAACAGAATTTCTAATTGATAGAATTTTCATTTGTCCAAAATTGCAAATGTCAGAACAATCGATTTTAGCGCGATTTTTAAAATCAACCAATCAAAAATTATCCATAAAATTGTGATTGGTTGATTTTAAAAAATCGCACCAAAATCGATTGTTTATTCGGCCGTTTGTAATTTCGGACAAAAATGAAAATTTTATCAATTAGAAATTTTGTTAAATGATTTTTCAGTTAAGTTAAAAATTCTGTAGTAAAAAAATCGGTTATATGGAAATTCATTCAAATAATAATTCGAACAAATGAAAATTCATCTGAAAGAATAAAATGAAAATTCTATGCAATGAAATTTTACCCAAAATGAATTTTCGGTTAAATAAAAATTCTGTTAAATAGAAAATCGTTTTGATGAAAATCAGAGAATAAAGGAAAAATTTTTCTAAAAAATAAAATTATAAATTTCGAAAATTTTTAAAAATCCCCAAAAAATATTGTTTCCCAACAATAGAAAAAGATTAGTAAATTCGACGCCACAAAAATTCCTACATTGGAATATTTGTACTTTCATTTTATTTTATTTTGTTTTTTTATTCTATTCTATTTTTTGCGATGTTTTTTGAGACACATTTTTTGTACCTATTTTTTTGAAGTTGAAAAAATTTTTTTTTTTTTTAAATAAGTTTTATTATAACATACAAAAAAATCGATGCATATACTATTCTCGTTTAATTTATTAATATTCAATAATGGTTTTCTTCCATATTCTTTGATATAATAATCAAAAAGAATTATTAACAATAATTCTTTTTCCCCGTATATTTTTCAATAAATAAATAATATAAGAATATTGCTATTATATTATTATTTATAATAATTAAATAAAAAAAAATTATATTTTTATTATTATATTATTTATTCAAATAAATAAAAATAATAATATTAAATACAAAAAAAAAATATAGTAAAAAGTGTTTTTTTTTTACAAAATGCTATTTATATTTTTTTTTAGACTAAAAAGAAAATTGTCTCTAGACCTTATTATATTCATAATCAGTTTGACATGTAAAGATTTATATTACTTGTCTGCTGCATTGGGCAGAAAATATTTTACTAATGTTCTTATTGTTACCAGAAAAATCTACTTGACCGCAGGTATAAGTAAAAATGTGTATTTTCTATTGTATATAATATAGAAAAAGAACGACTTGGCGACACCCTTTGGTCGGGGATCCTCGAGTCTTAATTACTTTTTGAAAATTAAACATTATAATTCCAGACTGTTCTGTGTGATTCACTATTATTATTTTTAGTTGGTGAGGGAAGGATTTATACTAATTGTATTAGCAATAATATTTTCATGTTTTTTTTTCCCCCCTAACAATATGTAAATTACTTGTCATTTAAAATTAATTAAATATATAAATGAGCCAAAATGTAATCTTTTTTTTTTTTTCATTTGTACTCCTACAACTATTCTATTCAGTTTCCTATTTTTCTGTTTACCACATTTTAAGTATGTATAATAAATCTTTAGTATTTATGTAATTAACTGATTGACAGTTTTTTTTTCAAAACTAATTTTTGAATTTTTACTGAAAAAAAAAAATTTGTTAAAAGATTATTATTTATTTATTTACATGTATACGGGGGTACAAAATAAAAAAAAAGAGGGATTTTTTTTTTATAAATAAAAGTCTCTTTATTTATGTTTATTTATTTATTTTTTTTAAATTTATAAAAAAAAATAACGATGAAAAATATCGATATAAAAATAATATCGAAAATTTTTGGAAAAATAAATTTTCTTTTTAATGAAGAATAAATTTTTTTTTTCGCTGTTTTTATTGTATACTACTTTGATGGTTTATAAAACAAAAAAATAATATAAAATATATATTAAACTTTCTCTCTGCAATTTTTATTATGGATTTTCATTTTTAAATTTTATCACTTTTACACGATAAATATCTAAAAAAAAAAAAAAAAAACTATCCATGAATATATAGATAATTTGAAAAGATACATTTAAATTTTTATCTTTCAATATATATATATAATTATAACGAGATAAATGTGTGTAAAAGTCATAATTTTTATGGGTTTCATGTGCATATGATATATTCAAAATACAATTTTCTATTTTCGTATAATGGGATTTTAAAAAAATACTTAAAAAAAAATAAACGATAAAATTTTTCTGCAAATGATTTTTTCCAATTTTTTTATTTTTTTATTAACACAATGGAATAATTTTAATTTTATTTCATAAAATATAAATGTCCCCTTGCTTTTTTTTTAATTTTACGAGATTTTAAA